CCGGCACTAGCTGCGGGGTCATTTTTCCTGGAGCCTCAAAGGGTGGTAGTGACCACGGATGCCAGTCTACTCGGTTGGGGGGCCCATTGCCAAGGTCAGTTGGCTCAGGGCACTTGGAGCCCGGCAGAGTCCCATCGCCCAATCAACTGGCTAGAACTACAGGCGATCTTCCTGGCTCTCAGGGCCTTCCGAAACCTGATCTCCAACTCCCACGTCCTCGTTCTGACGGACAATGTTGCAGCGAAAGCGCACCTAAACAAGCTGGGGGGGACCAGGTTGAGGTCGCTTCTTCTGTTGGCCCTGCGACTGGGATTCTGGGCGGAGCGGTACCTTTGCTCTCTCCGGGCAGAGCACATTTCCGGGGTGGACAACTCCCAAGCGGACTGGCTGAGTTGTCGTCGAGTGGACAACGCGGAGTGGCACCTCCATCCCCGGATCTTCCAGGAGCTGTCTCGGCGGTTCGGCATGCCGATTATCGACCTCTTTGCAACGCACACGAATGCTCAACTGCCACGGTTCTTTGCCCGGTTCCCAGATCCTTGGGCTGCGGGCGTCGACGCTCTTCGAATTCCATGGCCGGCGGGTCTTCTCTACGCTTTTCCCCCGACCTCACTCCTACCCAGGGTTGTTCGCAAGGTCTTATACGAGCGGGCGGAAGTGGTCCTTGTAGCACCTCATTGGCCCTGGAGACCCTGGTATGCGGACCTTGTGTCCCTCTCGGTGGCCCCATCGTGGCGCATCCCCCTCGAGGACGACGTTCCGTCCCAGGGGGTTCTGTTACACCCGGACCTCGCCTGGCTCAACCTGACTGTTTTGTGGTTGAGCGGAGCACTTTGACAGCGGTGCACATCCCGCCGGACGTTATTCAGACATTGCAAGCCTCGCGCCGCTCTTCTACGGATCGGATTTACTCTGCTACCTGGCGTGCCTTCTGTTCCTGGTGTTCCGAGTTTGGAGTTTCCGCTCTTCAGCCATCCATTGTGGACATTTTATGTTTTCTGCAGCGGGGTCTGACTCAGGGCCTCTCGTCCAATACATTACGGGGGCATGTGGCCGCTTTGTCTTCGGTCCTGGTCTGTGGATCCCTTCCATCATTGTCGCAACATCCTCTAATCCGGCGTTTCCTTCGAGGGGCCATGAATTTGTGTCCTCCTGTATTACACAGATACCCCACCTGGGATCTCCCTTTGGTGTTGGAGTCGCTTATGGGTCCTCCGTACGAGCCACTGCGAACTACTAGTCTCCGGCTTCTTTCATGCAAAGTCGCCTTTCTTGTGGCGATAACGTCAGCCCGTCGTATATCGGAGATAGCAGCGTTGTCCATCCATGCTGACCTCTGTGTCTTTCATTCGGATCGGGTAGTACTCCGTTTGGACCCCACTTTCATCCCGAAAATCAATTCGGTTTTCCACCGCTCGCAGGAACTCATCCTGCCTAATTTCTGCCCGCGACCTGCTCATCCACGGGAGCGCAGATGGCACTCACTCGACGTACGACGGGCTTTGCGGATCTACATTAAGAGAACATTTGTTTTCCGTCGTTCGGAGTCGCTGTTTGTCTCCTTTTTGCCAGTTTCCCAGGGGTGCAAGGTCTCCTCGTCGGTTGTTGGTCGTTGGATTCGGCACACCATCGCTACGGCCTACGACCTTCGTTCCCTTCCGCGTCCAGCTCGTTTGACCGCCCATTCCACCCGTAGCGCAGCTATGACCGCCACATGGGCGACTCAAGCGCCTTTGTTCGAGATCTGCAGGGCGGCCACGTGGTCTTCGCCGGTTCCCTTCATACGTCATTATCGATTGGACCAATTTGCATCGGCGGAAGCGGCGTTCAGACGACGGGTGCTTCAACGTGTCGTTGCCGGGGAGACTGTTGTTGTCGACCAGCCGGTTCCCACCCTGAACTCGGGACAGTGAACTGGGGTATGTCCCACACTGGCTGCTGTCTCCACTCTCAATGGAGAAGGGGCGTTGGTCCTACCTGATACGCTCCTTCTCATTGAGTGGAGACAGCAGCCAGACCCTCCCTTATCCAGCTGTGTCTCCTGTCTGTCCTTTTTTCTCTCTTTACTTACCTGGTGGCTTGTTGCCTTCTGTGCCCACACGCCGAGTCAGTCTTACGAGTCTTCGCCAAAGCTGGGTCTGCCCGGCAACAGGGGCGGGACTTGAAATTATTGGCTGGCTCAGTCCTTCAATCTGATTGGATGAGTGGTACCCACACTGGCTGCTGTCTCCACTCAATGAGAAGGAGCGTATCAGGTAGGACCAACACCCCGTTTCAACAGGCTGGGCTGGCTTAAATAACGAATTTTAAAGGGTGTTTAGTTTTCTAGTTTTTTTAATATAAGGGCCAAATTATTTAATATGTTTTAAAACTGTTTTTAAATTTTATGGATATATGTTGTTTTATTGTGGCTGTGCACCGCCCTGAGTCCCTCGGGAAAAGGGCAGTATTAAAATTTAAATAATAAATACATACATACATACATACATACATACATACATACATACATACATAAACAAACAAACAAACAAACAAACGGCCAGGAGGGAATTGCGCATCCCTCTGCACCTCCATTTATGGCAGCAAAGGCCTTTCCTCAAGACCTTTGCCACTGAGAAAAGTGGCCTGGAGGGATGCATTGCAGCAAAGGCTTTTTGTAAAGTTGGCAAAAGGATTTGCAAATGGAGGGAAGATTTCAGTGCTTCAGGCCTTCTTTCCATTTGCAAAGCCTTTTGCTGCAGATCTCCTCCAGGCCTCTGTTTGCAAAGAATGGAGGCCTAAAGTACTGTGACATGATACGAGATCAGTAGCGTGAGACAACATTACATACATACATGCATACAAACAGGTGTGTGTGTGTGTGTGTAATGTTGTCCCTGCTGGCTGTTAGAAAGTTGTTAAGAAACAAACTATTCCAGAGGGCATGTTCTTGGTTGTGTTGCACTATTTTAATTATTTTATTTGTTTTTGTTAGTTATGTTGTTATTGTATGTTTTAATGTTAGTTGCTTTAGATGTTATGTGATGCATACCTGTTGGTTGTGGCAGGGTATAAGATCAATAATTAAAAAACACAAGGGCAAAGCTTTCATTGTACTGATGCAATGTTGCTTTCATTAAGTTGTTGAAAGTGCAGGATCCTGTGAACACTTCTGCAAAAGGCATTTTGTTCCCATTTGTATTCTTTTATACTTCCTGAACATGTTGCTGAAATGGATTAGATGGAGCGGATTGGTTGCCCCTTTAGTAAGACTGTAAATAGGTGGGTAGGGTAGTCTTCCTCTGAATAATTTAACTTCTATAGAGTTTGGACCTAATATGCCAAATCCCGTAAATAATCATTGCGTCTGTCCATCATAAATCTGGCACCAAGCTGAATCGAATCCAGGGAAGAGTCTGAAAGGAGTCTTAAAAGAGTTTGTTGACAAATCTACAGGGAATCTGGTCTTTGATGGAATGGCTTATTCTCCTTTTTGCACTGGTTAAAAATGGTAGGAAAAACTAGCACATGGGGTTTACAAGAGTATCACTCGTACAGATCCCCTAAAAATGGGGGTCACCCACTTTTATTTCTTTGACCTCCAGCTGAAGCACCTATGTTGTTTATGACCAAAGGGAAGACAATCTTGAATCAAAGAAGCTTCCATTCACTTTTCTGAAAGTTCCTCTGGGTTTTTTTTTTTTGCTTTACATCTCACCTTTCATTCAGAAGTTCCAAGTAGTATCACTAGTGCTCCCTCGTCTCATTTTTTTCCCATCCACCCCCAAAAAACCCCCAAAACTGTGATGCAGGTTAAGCTGACAGACGGTGGCTGTTCCATGGTTTCTGTGGCTCACCATGGACTAGAACCTAGGACTCTCTGCTTCTAAACCAATGCTGTAATCCCTAGACCACACTAATCTCATCACAGGTGCTTGTATCCTAACCATACCTTAATTCTTTACCCCCTGTTCCATCTGAGAATAGGTATGGAAGAGGAAAAGGAGCTTAATTATGAGAGATTGAATCTGATAAAAAAAAAAGTTATGCATTTCTCAGTAGATTCTCCCACTGAAGGCATGTTTAAATCTTCCCAATTTTCTTTGATGCCTCCTACATATGGAAGAAGGTCAAATTGGATGAGTTGCAGCCTTTGTTTTGCAGCTGCTTTCAGCACTATATCTTTTCCATTATACAGGATGGAACTCTTAATTGTTTTGTTTTGTTTTTTGTTCACTCTATAAGCAATGACAGGGGGCAGGAAAGAGTGACCAAGTGGCCTTTGCATTAGCATGGAAGAGCTGTGTGCTGCTGTTATTCCACAAATAATTATAAAAAGAAATAATGCAGGGAATTCAATGTTGGGTTTGTGGTCATAAAATCAGTATCATTTCATAAAGAACCTCAGATCAACTTAATCCCAAGTAGAAATCCTATCATCATCCTGAATTCTTAGTGGTTGATTGTTACATCACATCAAATTATATTGTGGTTTATTTAAAAATTTATTTTAGCATATTGTGCTAACCTTGCCATTGTAACAGTTGGTTAACTGCTTGGTATGGTGTGTAATCCAGTCACTTATGGGTTATTCAACAAACTATGATTATGCTAAGATTTGTAAACTCTGATTGTCAGATATCATATAAGTAGGTTGTAGAACAGACACCATGAACTTCAAACATTCCAGTTCACAGCATGCAGTTGTTCTAACATCTATAATGACATACTCATGGATGAACAATCATTTCCTTTGAATCTACCATAATTTAAGCATTGTTTTCTAGTTTGGGAAAAGCCCATAGGGCTTCCACGTGGCTTCCCTGCAATGGTGTGATTTAAACTGAGACACCGGTTTTATCACAATATTTTATTCAACAACATTGATAAATCTTAAATTTCAGAGTTCCAAAGCCAGACTTGTCAAACCCTAAGCTTCCAGGTATGTGTTTGATAGAAATCATTTTGGATAACTCATCTTGACTCTTTTAAGCACTACCACAAACACTTGTCACTCAAAATTCCCTTTAATATTTAATTTATTAAGTGCTTTGGGTGCTACATTTTGAATTTACAAATGACATAGCAAACACACACTCTACCATGCACAGTCCACACACACAGAGAGAATCCTGTTGCCTTTCCCTGGAAATAGATTAAATTGTCAGAAGCACTCTACACAAAGGAAGCCATTACTCAACATGAAACTTGTATTTAATTAAATGCTTTGCAAAGATACATGAATAAAGCTATGCGTATGGCTTTTCTTTTGTGTGTGTGTGTGTGTGTGTGTTTATTTAGAAAAACAAACAAACAATCAAGAAACAGGAGAACATAGGTCTTCAACAAAGAAGCCAACTGAAGAACTAGTCTTGTAGCCACATGCTCCATGGAAAGAAAAATACGGTGATGAACACCCCATTCTGTAGATCATAAAACCATAAGAGGAAAAACGCAATGTATAAGAATTTTTCCCAGACACCAAAAATATAGTATTTAAATTCTATTAAAAAAAGAAAAGGTTGATGACAATAAATTTATTTTTCCAGGATTGTACAGAAACCATTTTAGCACCATTCCCTTTTTCATAAAGAAAACATTTTAATAATTATTATTACTTCATTATTATATTGCCCTGTGTATCTCCATTCTTGGAATTATAACAGAAGCATAGCACCTTGTTGTATCTAGAATTAACACTAGATTATTAAATGCATCCCAGCTTCTAGAGATGAGGTAGCTCATGCTAAGAAATGATGGACCATTGGTTTGTCCTAATAAATCAAGACACACAATGTCACAATTTCTGATGATGCATGACCAGTTATTGAGTGAAACATTTCTTTCAGCCACAGTAAAACTCTAATATTTATGTTAATACCTGATTTGGGATTAATACATGGGAATAAATGACAAACACACATAACTGGACAATACACTTGAAGAAGTTGTAGCAGCCTTCCATAATCTCTTTGTTGTGTCCACTCCAACTACCAACATTCTTAATAATGACCCTGCTGGCTTGGGAATTCTCAGAGTGGAACTAAACTTACTTAGAAAATGCTCAGATAGAGAAAGGCTACATTAGGGGAATTCTGATGTTACCTGAAGTCATTTAGAAATTTCATCTTTGACCACATGCAAAATGTAATAATCTACAGTTTATTACTTTCAAGAAATAATTGTTCACTAGAGGTTTGCTGCTCATTAAGTCAACAAGTAATCCTCTCCACAAACAAAATATTTAAGTGTTGACTCCGAAACTTATTTTGGAAAATAATTTTGGGGGATTGTAAATTTATTGAGTAAGATAACATACTTTGAGCTCTGGGAACCTTATAACTAAAGCATTAAAAACATAAATATTGTCTTCTTCAATTTTTTTCCCAACCTATTGTCCAGGTGTTTAATTTCCATGATCACCAATGCTGATTACTAAATTAAAGGATTTAACATCCAACACACCTGGAGTGCATCATGTTGAAGAAGACTGATTCACTTTCATTCTCTGCTATGACTGATTGCAAAACACATTTTTAGGGAGTGGCTTCAATTATATGAATAATGATCTTCCTCAAGAATGTAGCCATCTTCTAGTATCTACTGCCTGGCAAACCTATACCTACTTATCCAGGAACAAAGACTACTGAACTCAGTGGGAGTTGCTTCTAAAAAGACAGTACTAAGATCACTTTGTTGTTGTAATCTATGGATTTTTGCCACCATTTTCATTGCCAAATTCCCAATAATCTATATGAAGCTGACCCACGGATCCTTCTCGCCATTCCTGGTCTTGAAACCATGAGCTACTCCTGAACCAGTTTCCAACATTTCTGAATTTCATGTTGTCTGAATTTCTCCATATCATAATGATTTCTTGGGAAAGATCTGTGCATTGTCCCTCTATTGTATTTTAAAGTAAGATAATAACATTTTGTTAAGATGTCACAATGGCTGAATTTCTATTGGAAAAGACTGGATGAATTCAGAGCTGGGGTGATGCCACCAAAGGGAAGCCACTCTTCAAGACATCGGTATATCAAAAGGGAAATTGTTTCAACTATGATTTGAAATTCACAAATGGTGAGCTGGAAATAAAGTGGCTCAGTTGACAAACAGAATAGTATGGGTTCATACAGATGGCACAACATTTTGAAAACAGAGCCATGGCTGACTGTGGAGGTGCCCTATGGCGCTGCATTGATGGACTGGTAATTTTGATATGGTGAACATCTGAATCTTTTATTTATTTCCTATTGCTCTTCAGCATACTTCTATTATATGAATTACACTTTTTAAAGTTGAGCAGAACCTCCAGAAATCATGATTACCTTTTCTAATTAGGCAACGAAGATTAGTTTTGAATTATTTTAGATACAGGTGTGGTCACTTGTCGTTTTAAAATAGGATTTACTTCATTAAAATGTTGACTTAGACAGTGAGACTGAAGATTTGTAAGTAAAATAAATACACTAAAGAAGGCCAGGGAGTTAGAAAGAACTGTTATATACAATGCTGATTGTAATATCAGCCGTAATTTCAAGAGTCTCAGGATTAACTTCACTCAGTCTAAGTTCTTGAGTTCTGTTGCTGCTGCTGTCATCCCCAATGCTTTTGAAAAGATAAGCCCGTTTATTTATTTATTTAAGTATTTACTTATTTGCTTCTTTACTTTTTTACACAAAACAAACTGGTCCAATCTCTACTCCAAATTCTTGGTCTGCACCTCCAACATCTACTGGGGCAATATCAATGATAGGTAATCGTGCCACGTTCTGTGTTTTGTATTCGAAGATTGTGCTGCCCACATTCCCATTGTGTTTCTGAAAGAACAAATCAAAAGAGAAAAAGAAAAAACAAGGTTATCAGTTGGATTCCTTGAATATCAAGAAGAAAACCAGAGTAGTCTAATTATTACATTCTATGAAAGAGCTCATTAATAAACATCACTCCAGTTCAGACCCTTTGTATATACAGTGATTTAGTAGGTGTAACCAGTGGTGGGTTGCCCCCAGTTCGGATCGGTTTTATAGAACTGGTAGTAAAACTGGTGGGAGGCTCCGCCCACTGACCCTGACGTCATGAGAAGCGATCTGTGCATGCACAGAAGCTTCTGCACATGTGCAGAAGCAAGGTGCGTGCACGAGCAAAGCAAGAGCATGCGGGCAATCCCATTGTGAACCGGTAGTACTTTGTAAGTAGAACCCACCCCTGTGTGTAACCCTGCTTAGACTTTGGTTAACAGGTAAATAAGTATCAGTTGGCTGATGCTGTACATTAGAATTTATTTATTTATTTATTTATTTATTTAATTTATATACCGCCCTACTCCCAAAGGACTCAGGGCGGTGAACAGCCAAGAGATAAAATAATACATAATACAAACATTAAAAAACCATTTAAAAATACATTAAATACTTTGGCCCACAAACAAATTTAAAACACCCCAATTTATAAAACAAATTTAAAACAATTTAAAAGGGAGGTTAGGCCAGACCAGCCTGCTGGAATAAGAATGTTTTGAGGGCACGGCAGAAAGTGTGCAAATCCAGGATCCTCCGTATCTCTGGGGGGAGCTCATTCCATATGGTAGGTGCCCCCACAGAGAAGGCTCTCCCCCTGGGGGCCGCCAGTTGACATTGTTTGGCCGACGGCACCCTGAGAAGACTCTCTCTATGGGAGTGTACTGATTGGTGAGAGGCTACTGGTGACAGAAGGCGGTCTCGTAGGTACCCTGGTCCTAAGCCATGGAGCGCTCTAAAGGTGATCACCAAAACCTTGAAGCGCACCTGGAAGACCACCGGGAGCCGATGCAGCTTGTGCAGGAGGGTAATCACATGGGAGCGCCACGTCGCTTCCGTAACCACCCGCGCGGCCGCATTTTGGACCAGCTGGAGCCTCCGGGTGCTCCTCAAGGGGAGCCCCATATAGAGAGCATTGCAGTAGTCCAGGCGGGAAGTGACAAGGGCATGAGTGACCATACGTAACGAGTCCTGATCCAGAAAGGGACGCAACTGGCGGATCAGACGAACCTGATAGAAAGTCCTCCCGGCCACAGCCGTCAAATGCTCTTCTAAAAACAGCTGTGAGTTCAGGAGGACACCCAAGTTGCGAGCCCTCTCCGTGGGGGCCAACGACTCACCCCCAATAGTCAGTGATGGCACCAACTGACTATATTGGGACATCGGAAACCACAGCCACTCAGTCTTGGATGGGTTGAGCCTGAGTCTGTTTCTCCCCATCCTGATCTGTACAGCCTCCAGGCACCGGGACATCACTTCAAGGGCATCATTGGGATGATCCGGGGTGGAGATGTACAGCTGAGTGTCATCAGCGTACTGATGGTACTTCACCCCGAAACCATGGATGATCTCACCCAGCGGCTTCACATGAACAGAAGGGGCGAGAGGACCGACCCCTGTGGCATCCCACATACAAGGGGCCTCGGGATCGACCTCTGCCCCCCTCACAGACTGCGACCGGTCAGAGAGAAAGGAGGACAACCACCGCAACACGGTGCCCCCCATCCCTAACTTTTCCAACAGGTGCAGCATGATACCATGGTCAATGGTATCAAAAGCCGCTGAGAGGACTAATAGGACCAGGACAGAGGAGCAACCCCTGTCGCAAGCCATCCAGAGATCATCAACCAATGCGACCAATGCCGTTTCCATGCTGTATCCAGGCCTGAAGCCCGACTGGAACAGATCTAGATAAGCTGATTCATCCAGGTACTGAGGAAGCTGTCGCGCTACCACACTCTCAACAACCTTCGCAACAAAGCGAAGGTTGGAGACTGGACGATAATTAGCCAACTCTGCCAGGTCCAGGGAGGCTTCTTGAGGAGAGGCCTCACCACCACCTCCTTCAAGGTGGCAGGGAAGACACCCTCACTCAAGGAAGCATTTATAATCCCCTGGAGCCAGCCTCGTGTAACCTCCCGGGAGGCCAGCACCAACCAGGAGGGACACGGGTCCAATAAACATGCGTCACGCTCAGTCTGCCCAGTATCCTGTCCACGTCTTTGGGAGTCACAGGATCAAACTCTTCCCAGATAATATTCTCAAGACCTGCCTCCATCATCCCTCCTGAATCTACCCAGTCAGAGTCCAGGTGTTCCCGAATCTGAGCAATTTTGTCATACAGATATTGTACAAAGTCCTCGGCTCTACTCTCCAAGGGATCCTCCCACGCTCCCTGATGGAGAAGGGAGCAGGTCACCCTAAACAGGGTGGCCGGGCGATTAGCTGATGATGCAATAAGAGCGGAAAAATAATTACATTTTGCCGCTTTTATCGCCACCAGGTAGGTCCTAATATGAGACCTTACCAGTGTTCGGTCGGATTCAGAATGGCTGGCCTTCCAACTACATATAGTACTACAATCCTTTCTCTGGATACAACAACAATAAATTGAGATGTTTCCTCTCTCTTTGCACCCTGGTAGGCTGTATCTACCTAGGACTTTTCTATCTGCTCAAGGATATAGCTGCAACTTATAAAGAGGAATCGGCTCTGGTGATCCTCAGCTCACTCTACTGCTATAAATTAATTTGGAATTCAGAGCTGTGATTATTTTTTTTCCTCATGAGAAACAATTGAATACACTCACACCCACACTATTCAGTTTATGCCCCAAGATTAATTCACTGCTAAAAAGACTTACAGAGCAAGTGTCAGAAATGACAGTGTATCTAAAACGGTTGTTTCCTTCAGCTCGGATATCATGGTCATTGGCTCCCTTCAGCACCACAGCCTTCTTCAGGTTCTTAGCTTGGTCATCCATGTAACCTATACTGTTTTTGCAATGATAGGTGATATTCTGAGAGGCCTCTTTGGAGAGTAAGCGCAGGAAAGTCATTTGCGTGATCACTGTGTTGGGTGATTGATTATCACCATAAACGAACTACAAATGAAGAAAAAATGAGACATTATTATTATTTTTTACAATTTCTTGAAAATTTTAATAACCTTCAGATGGGTTGGCACTTCAACCTTGTCAGATGTTCCTGCATCTTCCTTTAATAGCTTGTTGTAGATTTGGACAAGTTCAACTACAGAAGCAAATAACCCAATATGAGTTTTAGAAGGAAGGAAATGTGTTTTGCCTTCTTTATTACCTTATCCGGTAAAGTAAAATCTTTATGCTTATAATAGGGCTATGCAAAGTTCTTCCCATATTCTTCCCATAAATTCAAAGGAGAGGATCAGATTCAACTGCCTAGATGGTCCCTTCCACTACAGATGGTCCCTTCCACTATACAATGCACTATCTCTGTAATTTAGTTTCTTGCCTTTTTAGTCCAGTGCTCTAGGAGCCAGAAGATTGAAATCTTTTAAAAGACTAGTTAAATTAAATAAACCAACACTAAATCTGAGGAAAACTTATTCTAGTCAGTGTATAATATTCATTTGTTTTCATTAATTAATGCATTAAGATGAAGACCCAGTAGCGCTGGCGGTGGGAGGCTCCGCCCACCAGCCCGGATGTCATCACGTCCCATTTTTGACCCTCCGCACATGCAAAGAAGGCTCATGTAGGAGGCATACATGCTCACATTTGCGAACCAGTAGCCAAGGTAAGTGGATTTCACCCACTGTCCTAAATCAGTGTTCCTCAATGCTGGGAAGATGTGCGGACTTCACCTTCCAGAATTCTTCAGCCAGAATACTAGCTGGGAAATTCTGGGAGTTGAACTCTTCATGTCTTCAAGTTGCTGGCAATGAGAAACACTGTTCTATGGCAATCTCTGTATTTTGATTGACTGCCCTTTCATTTCATTTTCTCTGTTATTCCTAAATCAAGCCCATGGCAGATTCTGTTACAGCAATCTATCCTTCCTAGCATGGTGGCTATAACAACTGCCTAACAGGCAAACACAGTTTGAAGTGCAGCAGTAATTAGATTTTTTTGTTTGTAATTACTATTTTCTTTTGCTAAACCTCTGTTCTATTCTATTGTGGTTTTTTTAATTAAAAAGAAATACATTCTTACAAGGTTCAGACAATTTATGATCATTATGCTTATGAGAAAGATCTCTTTTAATAGCCAAAGATTGTGCGAAGAAAAAGGTAGGAAAATGCAAGTAGGAATTGTTTTATTTTAAAGTTGCTAATTATGCCTCCAAAAATGTGTGTTTTAATGCTTTCAACATTATAGATATAGATATATTTAAAAGCTATTGTGTCTTGATATATTCATATGAATGTTTTTGATGCTTTAATTTTGTACACATTCATTTAATTCAAATATGTGAATTTCTGTGTGTACCCCAAATATTTATTTAATTACTGAGATCAATTAAAAGGAAATATTTAATTCCCTTCAATACAAGGGTATCTTTTCAACTGAAATTCCACCAAAATTCAGTCTGTTGTAGCACAGACAGGATAATTTAGAGAACCTGCTAGCATCTATAGTATCTCAAAATAATTATTGGCTCACTCGTTGCATGAAAATCTATATATTTGGGGAAGTGGCACATGAAAAAAAAACATATAATTAAGGAAACTGCAGTAAAAAATGAATATATGGGAAAGTTGAAAACAAAAATATGTCTGGAGGCATAGATGCATGCACATAATGTACATGTATATAAAGGAAAACTGCATGATAACAAGTATTATGTTAATGGAAAATGCATATGACAGCAATTGCTGTAACATGGGTGGGATAGAATTAGCAAAAACATGGCTGCATGTTATGGCAGGCTGCATAAGGAAGTCCGGGGTTAGACTAAGCTGCATATGTTTATTCCAAAATAATAACTGAAATAAATACAAAGAAAATTCAGATTAGTTACCTGTGAACCTCTGTTCATATCAAGTCCATACCATATTGGTTTTAGATCAGATGACCTACTTGTCCACCATGTTTTACGTGGAATAACAGCTGGTTTTGCAGCTATACACGTTTCTCCTGTTTCCATATTGCAGAATGCTTTAATTGCATCTTCTACACAGCCCTGATTAGGGTCAATCCAGTATTCTCCTGTGAAAGCAAAACAGGAAATCTTAAAGTATAACAAACCAATTTTTGCTTCTCTACATTGCAGTCCAATTTCAATTAAGGACAAAATATAATTTAAATCAGAGGTGAGTTTTAGCAGGTTTGACCAGTTCTGGAGAACTGGTAGTGGAAAGTTTGAGTAGTTCAGCGAACCAGTAGTAAAATTCTGACTGGCCCCACCCCCATCTATTCTCTGCCTCCCAAGTTCCAGCTGATCGGGAGGAAATGGGGATTTTGCAGTAACCTTCCCCTGGATTGGGGAAGAAATGGAGATTTTACAGTATCCTTCCCCTGGAGTGGGGTGGGAATGGAGATTTTACAGTATCCTTTCCCTGGCATGCCCACCAAGCCACGCCCACCAAGCCATGCCATGCCCACCAAGCCACACCCACAGAACTGGTAGTAAAAAAATTTGAAACCCACCACTGACTTAAATGTACTTTCCTTCCTATTCAAGTTTAATACTGCAATCATGTGCACATCTATTAATAAATAAATGTGCATATGGTCAAGCAATGTATTTGACTTCAATATGAATTGTTCAAGGATCAAGGTCTGTGATGATGTAGCAAAAAGGTAAAAGAGGAGATACTGGAAGAAGACTTTATCGTTTGCAGATATTTGGTGTCCAAAAATAGCTAAACTAATATTCAAATTCTTAATTTTTGTTGTCCAATATTTCAAACCTGGGCTAATTTAAACTGAATTTATAACATTACTGCCTTTTCAGTCAAATGTTTGTATAAACCTTAATATTATCTTTATTTATTTATAATTAAATAATTTCCCTTACATTTAAGATTTGAGCAGAGTAGAATTGGCTTAATTATCTGACAAATCCATCATCTTTGGCCTACTTTCTTAATTTGTGTTGACAACTCTTACAAGAATTCTTTTCCTTGGAAGTATTTATTATGTATCAAATAATATTAGTGTATATTTGGACAATCTGAACAAGATTTCTTATATAGTTCATCTTTTATGTCTGCCTCCTTTACATTATTTATGTTCTGGCTATCTTGTAGCAGGCTGATTAAATTTTAGTTCCTTTACTCTGCTGAAGGTACAATAAAGATAAAAAATGAAGACAAAGAGGATGCGCTAGTAAAACCAATCTATGAACGGAAGGGATCTAATCATCTAATCCAATCCTTCACTCAATGTTGGAATCTACAACTACACATTCCTGACAGATGGTTATTCAGCCTCTGTTTGAACAATTCCAGCAATGAAGAGTCCATTACCTAAGGCAATCTATTCCATTATTCAACAATAGCAATAGCACTTAGACTTATATACCACTTCACAATGTTTTTACAGCCCTCTCCAAGCCGTTTACAGAGTCAGCATATTGCCTCCAACAATTTGGATCCTCATTTTACCCACCTCAGAAGGATGGAAGGCTGACTCAACCTTGAACTTGGCGAGATTAAACTGCCAAATTTCAGGCAACCGGTAGTCAGCAGAAGTAGCCTGCAATACTGCATTCTAACCACTGCGCCACCACAGCTCAATAAGGAACTATTACTCTTAGATATATGTTCCTGATCATGTCCTACTGAATTCTACTTCCTGTAATTTGCACTTACTTGTACTTATTGCTTCTTATCACCCAGAACAACTTAAGACATTCTACTCTGTCTTCTATATGACACCTCTTCAGATATTAAAGAGAGCTGTCAAGTACCCCTCAATCTTCTCTTCTCCACCTAACAATTCTTTCAACTATCGCTCATAATGTGGTCATTTCAGGCCCTGGTTACCTTTTCCTTCCAGATATATGTATAACTAGACTTGCACTTCTATTTAAACATATTTGAAGAGTTTTTTTAAAAAAGAAATATACACCTACCACTCTTTTTGGATGGATGACATGATCTTAAATCATCACAAGTACGGGCTGGGTGCTTCTTGGATCCATCAGGGCTGCGCATGGTTTCAATCTGGCTACTCAGTGACTTCAATGTGGCATGGACTCCTGGATCTGTTTTATTGCTGTCATCTGGAGCAGCTTCATCTTCAGTGAACTCTGGTAGTGGGTCTGCTAGACCATCATCATAATGTCCCATAATATCACCAATTGCAGCAGTAAGATGGCCGGGGGGACCTGGTGGGCCTGGAGGACCAGGATCACCAGGAGGGCCCTACACATAAAAAGTAGTAATACAGACCACATCCAGGATTGTAATATCTGGGACACAAAGTTACCATAACTGCATAGTAGTTCCAATCACTACAACTAGAGTTACTGGTTAAGATAGATGGCTATACAAATTGAATAAATAAATAAAAAGTTAACTGAAGGAATCTTTTAGCTACCCAATTTGCATCAGTAATTGCAGTAGCAAAAGAATAATTACATTGTTTCAGTAATAGAATATTATAGTTCTAATTGATTAATACCAGGGCAGAGATTAAGAATAATTATTTTGGAGCACCCTTCCCCAACACTGTAAGTACTTGATATTGATAAGGTCTGAACTCATTGAACTAACAATTTTATGTATTTCTTCTTCTCAGGGTAAGCAGAGTCGCCCCTTTCCCCCTTATTTTTTATTCTTGAGCAGAGGCAATAGTGGCAATAGTGAAACGTTTTTGTAGTCCTGTCATGTAAAAGACATACAATGTATGAAGTCACTAGGCATCAAATACAATTTGAAGTAGAGTTTACTCTTTTAAAAAAAAAAGTTTAGGGATCTAATCTTGATAGGAGATGAAGGATAGGAGAGTTTTTTGCTCCTTTATTGACAGATTTGGATTTGGATCACTTCTATTACCCCTGTCACCATTAAAAAGTGATCCATTAAATAACCAAATTGGCAGTGCAAATGGCAAGGACAAAAAGTCTGATCTGGGTTGCTCCTAAAACAAGGAGCATATGGTCAGATTCCTACCTCACTAGATCAGGTGCCCTGCATTTATAAGGAAGATGTGGCTTCTTCCAAATTGGCATGTAATTTGACTCATATAAGCTTACAAGTCATTGAATGGACATAACTGTTCCTCTCTCTGACTGAACCAATTTCCCATTATTTACCTCAGGTCCTGCTTCTCCTAAAGTTCCTCTTACACCAGGAGGTCCAACCGGTCCATGTGGTCCAGAATTTCCTTCTTTACCTGAAGGTCCAATAGGACCTGGGGGACCCTATATTAAAAACAAAAGTTCACGTTTATCATGTCAATAAGGGCACAATTTCTTTCCTTTTCAGCTAAAGATACTTCTGGCCTTTTTCGGCTTTCTACAAGATAACTGCAAATGCTCACAATGCATGAATGAATCAAAAGATCCAACTGCATATTATTTACTAGTAATTATTTAATTTTAATCACTAATTGCTGAGCCTGATTGTTTTTCTTCTTCTCTCTCCCCTCCATGTCCCTTCAATATTATATTTTTTTGTTAATTGTATATAAATTGCTCTTGACATTTTTGGGGAAGATGATAAAAATACTCATGGGATAAAAATACTAACTGAGCGATGCTAAAATATTAATTTGGTGGGTAAATGGCAAAGATGAATGAGGTAACAAATGTTACTGAATAAGAATGAAAAGCGTAAGAATTGGCTTTCTTACATGTCTTTGTTAGTTCAATGCAGCGGCATCTCCACTGTGGCAGCTAACTTCATTTCTTTAGATATTGTCTAAAGATCTAACAGATCTAACTGACCAGCTGAATTGCTTACATAGCAAAAGTATTCTCTTTTTCAATCCCATCAATAGATTGAGAACCTAGGAGAGCATTTCTGCCATACTGTCTCCATTTCTTTTTTAATAGGGAGACTGAATAAATGCCAGATAAGCAGGCCTAGAGCCCTACTCCCCTTGTTCGAGTTATTTTAAAAGAACTGTGCTGCAGTTTATGACCATTACTTTTCCAAAGTCTTCCTATTATAATTATCAGGTGTTTCCTGTGGGCACCCCACAGAGCTCCTAGACAAAATGTGAATCATGATATAAAATGGCTCCCAAAAGGCCATTGAAGGGAGCAGCTTCCTTGTTGATGGGCTATTCAAACATTACAATGAAGCTGGCTTTCCCCTAGGATAAAAGATGCAGATGGGTAAATTGGAATATGCTCAGACTGCCCTTTTTAGCAGCTGCTGCTGCCACTAACTAACTACAGTAAATTGCTGTGCTTAGCTTTACTTGGGGGAGGGATTTGAAACTGGGAAAGCTAGATGCCACCAAACCCATTTCCAATTTTAATGTTACTTTCATGTGGCAGAATCTTGTTTTCTGGAATTTCCAATAACAATCCAGTAGAAATTTGGGAGGGGGTTGCTGTTTTTTCTTTTACTTTCCTCAATTTAATCATTTATTTTGATAAGCTTCAATGGTAACATACTGAAGTTTTTTTCACATATGCAACAAGCACACAGATTCCCCCATGTGCACACATTCATTTTTTCACCTTTTCCTCTCCCCCTTTTCAGGGAAAATTGCTGATATCAAAAGATTACAGTCTTCACTGAGTATCCATCCACATCTTAATCCATTTTAAATTTGTATCTCAACGTTTGAATCCAAGAAACTTAGAAACTGATCTGCCCCCTCTCCCCCCATTACGTATTCTTCAGAAGGCCTATTCTGGTTGCTGATTCGTAAACTGGAGCTGTTGATTGAAGAAGTCTTACCTGGTATCTAATTTGATGCCTTTTGGCACAAACAGAAAACTGGTTCTCCCATATATTTTAAATCTTTATTCATGCTCTTTTTGTTCTTCTAAAACATTATAGTCTATCATAGTTAAAGATTCTTAAAGTTTATAATGATGCTGATAAAATCCACAGCTCTCAAATTTTCAAATGTCCCAGCCAGCCAATGTAAGCAATAAAAACATTGATAAAATTAAAACCAGAGCAATATTAAGCTTTTAATTACTTATATTGTAACTTAGTCCTTTAAAATTTGCTTGAGTTCTGTGCAAAACTGGAAAGACATAAGGAGTTTGGAAAGAATATAATATGAGTAAAGAATGAAGAACATTGAGATCTGTGTGCAGGAAAAGATAACTAAAGGCCATTGGAAAAGTATGCATTGATGTGCACCAAAGTTGCCATTGGTTGATACTATCAACTTGGAGATTGTTCTTGAAGCTTAAAAATCTTGAGGGATAGAACCTTTTTTAGACTGAAAGCTAAATCTTTGTCAAGTTAGCATCTTTGCCAAATACTAGGTTATATTTAGAATTCCATACACAAAGGAATTAAGGAGAGTAAATGACCTCAAGCACAACCTTGTTTAATAAAAAAAAATTGCAATCCCTATCCAAATTAATTTTACTCTGAAATCAACAAACACCATCTGTAGAACAGCAAACTTAAACCAGGGGGGAGGGGGATTTAATTGTTTCCATATTATACTTCACATCTGGTTTACTCACTCTTGGGCCAAATGGGCCTGGAATCCCAGCACTGCCTTGTTCACCAGTAGGTCCCTGCAAAACACAGTGTGGATGATGTACATTTTCTCAAATTACATCTTATCTTTAAAGAAGAAAATATGATGGTTTTGAATACATCAACCTTGAGTATCCAGTGATGACCTATTATTCTTTAGTTTAAAGTCTCAGCATTTCTAATTCATGACATAATAACCTGAAGATAGCAAAACAAAAAAATGTGCATGAAGTCCATAGACAGTTCTTCTATGATTAAGATCACAATGGAGCAAAGACAGCCATGCTTGGCCTTAACCACTGTAAAAAAAATATAGTTTTGAATTTTGGATCCCAAGATTATTTAACCACCTTGGAAAATCAGAGCCCTAAATTAGAAGGAGAGGGAAGGCAATGTAATAAGACTCTTCCCTATAAGTCCTCATTCTCCCGATCAGCAATATTTTCCAATGAATCACTTGTTAACAGCAAAATGATTTTGAAGACACTCCAGATTTTACTACAGACTGGATCACAATGAAAGCAAAAACATCAAGCAATCATTTCCATTGTGTCATATAATGTACTGCTCCTTGTATGCATTTGTTCTGACTGACAAACAGTCGCTTAGCACTTTTCCTATGGCAAAAATCCACAGAAAATCTTTTAAAGAATTTAAAATAATTAGCTAGTTAAAAGGAATTATTTTTTTCTCTTTTCATTTCCAGATAAATACACAATTTTGAGCATTGAGACAGGCAATTAGTCAAGGTTAATGCTTTTTATGAACTGTGGTGGTACAGTGGTTAGACTGCACGATTGCAGGCTAATTCTGATGACTGCCAGCAGTTTGGCAGTTCGATCCTGAACGGCTCAAGGTTGACTCAGCCTTCCATCCTTCTGAGGCAAAATGAGGACCCAAATTGTTGGGGGCAATATGCTGATTCTGTAAACCGCTTAGAGAGGGCTGTAAAGCAGTGTAATAAGTTGAAGTGCTATTGCTATGGCCTTTTTTTTACAAGGCAGTCATTGGAGCCTTTATGATGTGAGATTCTAAAAGGTGAATGAGTGCATCACCCAGAAAAGGAGTGTTCCACCACAATAAATAAGGAAGCAGAGGCAGCAGGTAGTTCCAAGTGCAATATGATACAGTATATGCACAAAAATGGCAGGTGCCAATGGAGAACTGGCATAAGAATAAAACAAACATATAGAGAATGTCTTACAGGAGGTCCAGGGAGACCTTGCAGGCCAGTGAAACCTCGATGACCTTTCTGTCCCCTGTCCCCTCGATCACCATTGTCACCTTTGTCACCACGAGGACCTTGGGGACCCTTAAATTAGAAAAATAAAACAAAACAAAATAAATATAAAACACAAAGGTACAATCCAGCTAAAATTAAGCATGCTTCTATGCTTTTCAAATCAGGCATTAGCAATATGCGCCATCGCTCATTGATTTCAGTGAAATAAGACTACAAACCAGGGGCGAAATGCTCCCGGTTCAGACCGGCTCGGGCGAGTAGGTAGCGATGATGGCCAGTGGTTCGGAGAACCGGTAGCAATGGCAGCTGGAGGCTCCGCCCACCCGCCCCATTCCCCGGACTTGGGGAATGCACCATTCCCGGACTCCTACTGCTCACCTTTCTCCCGCGGCTGGCTGTCAGGGAAGGCAAGCGCCCGAAAGGTACCAGAGTCCCTCCCTCTCCTTCTTGAATGAGCCGCTCTGGTCCACGTGCCAGCTGCACAAGCGCACATCCAACCTGCCGCTGAATTAAATAAACTGTGCGCTTGCGCAGCCGGTGCGGGAACCAGAGCGGCTCATTCAAGAAGGAGAGTGAGCGACTCTGGTACCTTTTGGGCACTTGCCTTCCCTGACAGCCAGCTGCGGGAGAAAGGTGAGCAGTAGGAGTCCGGGGAATGGGGCGGGTAGGCGGAGCCGCGGGAGAAAGAAATTTAAAAAGTTTTCCTACCGGGTTCTGTGGGCGTAGCTTGGTGGAAGGGGGTCTTGTGACTGAGTGGGCGTGGCTGTGAGTGACATCAAGTTGGCCATGCCCACTCAGTCACAGGACAACCCCCCCACCAAGCCACGCCCACAGAACCGGTAGGGAAAAATTTTAGATTTCACCCCTGCTACATACCATCAATTCCCTAAATGAATATAATAAGTATCCATAACTCCTACACGCTCTTTGGGGTTACACAGCTACAACATAATTTTCTTTTTTAAAACTATATTTCATATCATTAAAATATCTGAGTGTGTGTTGCACATGCATTGAAAAGTGCAAAACTGTTCAAAATGCAGATTGATATGTACTGAGAAAATATCTGTTTAGATTCTAGACAAACTCCACTTATAATTGTGGATTTTTCCTATTGGTTTTAATGTCCTGCATCTGTTTATAGTGTATATAAATTCATATGGAAAATTTAAAATTTGCCATGAAGAATATTTAAGAATGTTTACCTTCTTCCTGGAACTAGATACAGTATGGGTGAATCTAATATGAGTAATTCATATATTTTAATTGTTACTTTATTTTTCATGAGCTTCAGTTACATTGAGCTCTAAAATACAGATATACGAAGCTTGTATTATTGAATTTATTTTTAACCAAAAACAATTAAGATTTTCATTAAAAGAAATGTAGAGAACATACGTGTAAACCTCGTTTTCCAGCACGTCCAGGAGGACCTACTGGGCCTCGTGAACCCTGCAATGAAATGAAAAGATGGTTTTAGATAATTTTAGATAATGAAATTTACTGAACAAACACTTTTGGAGACTCGAAGCCATAAATTCCCTTGCTGTTTGTAACAGAATGAAAAAGTAAATTTCAGCTATAGGTCAATGAAAATAAAGTTTTTTATTTATTAAAAATATTTATATGGCTGCTCATCTCACAAAATGTGACTCTGGGTGGCATACAACCAACAGTGTCACATCTATTAAAAACACTTTAAAAAGTTTAAAAGCAAGATTTCCAGAGAACATCGATCTAAATACAGGGGGTTGGACTAGATGACCTCCAAGGTCCCTTCCAGCTCTGTTACTCTTACTGAGGATCCCGCAGGATTTCCAAGGTTCATGCTGAGCTTAGAGATCCCTGAAATTCATCCACAGAAGGGATCCATGGAACCCAGATTAAGAACCTATGCCTTAGAGCATTCATTCATTTAGCATTTTAATTACTCAGCTGCTCTATATAAGATCTTCATAAAGGATGCACAGTAGAGCTTGTCCAATGACACATCCAGGCCATCTAGGAAACTACAGTAGCAAATCTTACTTAACTCAGAAACATTAATAGACATTCATCAGCCATCTCATTTCATGGCCAGAATTCTTCTTTCATGATATATGTCTTAAGAAGGAACTTGATTGAATGATCAAGAGTTCTGTCAATGAAATGCAAATAATATAAGGGAACAGCTATACTTACTGGTTCACCTCTTTGTCCCGCATCCCCTGGAGATCCAACTGGCCCTGGGGTACCTGGAATACCCTGAGAACCAGGAAGTCCTGCAGGTCCAGGCTCACCACGATCACCCTACAACAAATACCATTCCAATTCTACAATCAGATAGAGTTTGTTTCCAAGGGCATATCTTTATACAGACAAAACTACACATTTTGTTCTATTATACTATTATTGCTGAACTACTACTGTGTACTACAACTAGCTACATATATAGCTGGGATGGATCAGCAGAAAGCCATGAGATAAAGCCATATCTGCAAAATAGTCCAATAAGGACTGAACGTGTTTAGTGTGTTGGAGAAAAAATTATCTGGAACATCGAAAGGAAGGAACCTGGAAAAGAGAGTTGCTGACTGCTGGATTTCTGAAGGGGAGCAAACACTGCAAGATTTTTACACACCTCATAGAATAATTTTCCTTCACACATAGGAGCTATTCTTCCCTAATGAGTGTTTATGAAGAAAAATTTGACTCTGGGGGAAAGAATGTGGGAATATTAGATTTGTGTTTCTAAACCTCTCAGTCAATGTTATTATACATGTTGATTATTACTGTCTTGTTATTTTAAGTGTCAAGTTTTTCTGTCTACGCCACTCTGAGCCATTGGGAGTAGACAGGCATAGAATCTTTAATAACAATAATGATAACAACATTTTATTGCAGGTCTCACTCTGCTAATTTAGCTTAGCTTCCAATATATTATATGCCGCATGGTGAATTATAATCTTTTTACTCCTATCCTTACTAAAATTATATTCATGAAGACCCAAAACAAATAGACTAGACACATTTATACTTCTGTTGTAAAACTGAGTTTGTTTTAAAACTTTCACCCTTATTAAGAGTTCTGACGGTTGAAGATTGAAATATAAAGGTTGAAGATTGAAATATAAAGGGCAACATAAGAGTCTAAATCAACAAGAAAACAACAGCTTTATTCATTGAAATTTCAAACTCACTTACCCTTTCACCAACAGCTCCATCTCGCCCAGGAGTGCCATCATTACCAGCAGGACCCTAAATTGAATGAGAAATGGAAAAGTGGATTAAGTGTGACATCAGATTTGTCCTAAAATAATATTTTATACATGGAATTGCCTTTGAAAAAGGCTTGGAATTTACAAAATAATCACAAACATATAAAAGGAAACTCCAATGATCGAAGTTAAGGTGTGTTGATAATATTAAGGATAATATTCATATTGCTATTTCATGAAAATGCAGCAATATTTTTAGTTGCATTTTTGAAACTACTAAAACCAACTAGATTATGATACCAATAGAGAATGGCTTACAATACTTGCCATTTTTAAAACAATTAAACAATTGGCCTCATGTTCAAGCTCCTAAATTTTATAGCCTAGGTAATGAATGGGCAACTGGTAGCCTTCGGCTGAATTTCGAAACTCGACTACAAGAGAACATTGAAAACCTTCAGTAGCATTTCTATGCATTTTTCCTTCAGTCAAAAATGAAAGAGAGGAAAAACCGAATGCCAGAAAGATGGGGAGAAACAACATGTCAAAAAAGAGAATAGATGATACCAGCCATTTTTAGCTCTTCCCTACTATTTCCTTTAGTTCCGCCAACACTGAAGCCTCTAACAGACTACCCTCCCCCATTACTTCTACTGAGAGACTTTCAGTAGAGAAAAAACTGTCCACATCTGGGACTGATTTTCTTAAGGATCAATGTGATAAAACTATATTTTCGTTGAAAGAATATCAGTTCTGGAAATGTATACATTTATTCACAGCAGTTATTTGAATCCATAATGTTGTTAATGTATTCATATGTCAAAACTGCCTATGAAAAACCACTTACCTCTGGCCCTGCTTCACCCACCGGTCCAGAAGCACCTGGAGGACCAATAGGCCCAGAAGGACCCTTGTCCCCTGTTGGTCCAGTTGGACCTTGTTTTCCAGGAGTTCCCTGGCATGAAAAGAGAGACCATGTCAATGATTAAAACCATGGACGCTTGTTATGTATAGCAAACCAGTCAGACATCAGTTTAAATGGGCCTCAATCATAGCTACGTTCTTACAGCCGTAAAACAGAATAACAGAATAAAAGAGTTGGAAGGGACCTTGGGGGTCTTCTAGTCCAACCTCCCTGCTCAAGCAGGAGACCCTATACTATTCAGGACAATTGGCTGTCCTTCTTATAAAAGCCTCCAGTGATGGAGAACCCATAACTTCTGAAGGCAAGCTGTAATACTGGTTAATTGTCCTCACTGTTAGGAAATTTTTCCTTAATTCCAGGTTGCTTCTTTGATTAGTTTCCATCCTTTATTGATTGATTGATTGATTGATTGATTGATTGATTGGTTCGATTTATATGCCGCCTTTCTCCAGAGACTCAGGGCAGCTTACAATGAGTTAAGCAATAGCCTTCATACTTTTGTATATACCTGCTTAGTAGGGCTTTCGGCCCCCCCAAGTGGTGTTCTTTTTTATACAAAGTCAGCTTATTGCCCCCACAATCCGGGTCCTCATTTTACCTACCTCGGAAGGATGGAAGGCTGAGTCAACCTTGAGCCTGGTGAGATTTGAACTCGCAGTAATTGCAGGCAGCTGGCAGCTAAGTGCTACTTAACAGCACTTTAGTCTGCTGCGCCACCAAGGCTCCTTTTATTTCTTGTCTTGCCTTCTGGTACTTTGGAAAATAGGTTGACTCCCCTCTTCTCTGTGGCAGCCCCTCAAATACTGGGATACTGTTTTCATGTCACCCTCAGTCCTTCTTTTCAGTGGAGTTGAGTGCATAGTCAAAAATGCCAGTTGTGGCAATACTCACTGCAGAGCCTGGCAGGCCAGGCATGCCCCTCTCTCCACGTTGGCCGGGCATTCCCACAATACCTCTCTGTCCAGTAGTTCCAGATGGACCTGGGGGGCCATCAGGACCCTGGAATAAACAAGTAGCAAGTTGGCTTACCTAGCAACCTCTAACATTTACATTTGACCGGGGTGTCATAGTTTAGCATTTGAGCTAATCAAGAGATAGCAAAGATAAGAAAATCTGATACCGCTGAAAGCTTCAGCTGTAATGTATGTTTTTTGTTCCCTTGCTCTAAAAGAAGTGGTTTAGGAGGGAAAAATTGAAGATAAAGGCTCAATGACCCTTAGCATTTTGAGTTGAAATCAAGGCTTCCCTCTACTCTTTCCCAAAGATCAGAGCTACCGTATCTGCTGCTGAAATCCAGACAACCATCTAGAGAGCAGCAAAGAAATACAAGCTCTAACATTCTGTTACTATCCAGGACCAATCCAGAGTTTGTCTGCTCACTTGTGGGTTACAATAAAGAATGTTGTTTTCTTTAGCTTTAATGCAGTCTTCATTTAAAAAAAAACAGCCTGAGGGGACACGTGAATTAGAATGGATGAAAGAGAAAAAAGTGCAGAACAAAAAATCAGGATTTGTTAATGTCAGAGGAGATTTAGAAGCATTAGGAAATAAAAAAGGGCAGCCATGTCACAGATTAGAAATATCACCATAAGAATATATTCTTGTAGGCTTTGTAACTCCTGGTAATGAGATAATTTTGGTACATCTAAAGGTATATCAAAAACTAGATTCTTGGGCAGGGGGGAATCAAGAAATAGTTTAGAATGGAAAGTTTCCTTATTTCGTTTGCAAACGTAAGCTTTTCTCTACTTCCCAGTCTCTCCCTCTACTTACATGTTGTCCATCTTCTCCTGAGTCTCCTTTGTCTCCAGAACCGCCAGATGGTCCTGCTGGGCCTCTATCTCCTACTCGGCCATGACCACCAGGATCTCCACGAACACCTGGAGGACCTTCTTTGCCTGATTCACCAAGAGGCCCAACTGGACCAGGAGCTCCCTGAAAAAAGGAGCTTCTGTTAGAAACAGACAGGTCAGTGATATAACTTCTTTTCTTTATTGCATTTAACAGAGTACTGCTGCTCTAGAGCACAGCTAGGATGCTTCCTATTTGATCAATAATCTTTCACTTCCAGACCTGATCCAAGCCTCGGAAAAATGTAATATATATTTCTACGTTTTCGACATCTTGCTTTTCTAAGAAATAATCATGTTGCCTATATTACATGCACTGAAAACATAATAGATTGCCATTAGATTATTGTTGAATACTCCCTAATTATTAAATACAACCCTGTGTATGACTCCAATATTCACATACTGTAAATAATGTTAATCTTTTTTTTTTATTTGGATTTTAATATTACTGTTTCTTATCCCTTTCCTGAAATATTCTCAAGCAGGTCAAAAACCTCAATAAAGACTCAGTTACTTACTACTCAATATGACAATACACATAGGACACTTTTTTTTTCTTAAAATGCAAGATAGTCCTTAAAGTTTTAGAATTCCAATAATCTTTTTGTAGTCTTGAGCCAGGTGACAGAATTCATCCAACCTCTAAATATGGTATTTCATGCACTCAAAGTAGAATTTCCTTCCAAATGAAATTGCACTTTAGCAATGTCTATCTTACAAGAAATATATTGTGCAGCATTATCTCTATCCATAAACTAGAGTATGTAACATCTTTATTGATATTAATACTGGTATTGTCTTTTTCCCTAAGAGCGTATACAAAGAGAGTTAAAAAATCTGCAAATGGTTGGTCACAGTGTTGCAAATGAAACTCCGGTCCAGTTGTAACACCATGTTCATTAACTTGCAAGTATTTACCTACCATCTGTGGATGTCCATGTTTCTACCCTTTTAGTCTTATGACCATCCTGCACTGAGTGAGGGACAATAACTTGGCCCAGTAATTCTCAATCTTTTCTCCATGGACCCCTTTTAAATACTTTTTGTGGCCATGTACCATGTCCACGGACCCCCAAGACTCAACTGAAGATTTAAATCATATTATTTCTTCAAGCCTTTGATGACCTCCTGTGATGACACTGCAGTCCCCCCAGGGGTCCACGGACCATAGGTTGAGAACCACTGACTTGTCCTAAGAGCACCAGCACAGCAGTAATGAAGAAACCTTCTCTGTATAATTCATAATCTGCTATAACACATTGACATATTACCTCAAGGGCTGGAAACCTGCGATCCTGAATCTCTAGTCCCAACCTCCCCCCATCCATTTTTTGGCATTGATGAATGGGAGTTGTAGTTCAACAATAACACAACAATGGGACCCAAATGATATTAAAAAAAATAATTTGATCTTTGCTATGTTTGCATTGTTTTACAATACTTCTTTTTTTTTAAATAAAGTCCTTACTGTAATATATCTAATTAAACGTCTAACGTACTGTAGGTCCTGGGGGTCCAACTCTTCCAGCAGATCCAGGAAAACCTGTAGCACCCTAGAAATAAATAAACATACATGGGACCTAGCAAATATTAACATGTAATATGTTGACAAGCATTCTTTATTGTATAAAGACTTAAACATCATGTCTGAAATATGGGTAAAGGTAAAGGTTCCCCTCACACATATGTGCTAGTCATTCCTGATTCTAGGGGTTGGTGCTCATCTCCATTTCAAAGCTGAAGAGCCAGCACTGTCCGAAGACATCTCTGTGGTCATGTGGCCGGCATGACTAAATGCCAAAGGCGCACGGAACACTGTTACCTTCCCACCAAAGGTGGTCCCTATTTTTCGACTTGTATTTTTTACATGCTTTCGAACTGCTAGGTTGGCAGAAGCTGGGACAAGTAACGGGAGCTCACCCCGTTACACGGCACTAGGGATTCGAACCTCTGAACTGCCGACCTTTTGATCAACAAGCTCAGCATCTTAGCCACTGAGTGGATACCATTATCTGAAATATACAAGGGTGCTAAGAAAGTCATAGACATCCCAATCAAAATAAAAGCTAGAACTTTACTCATAGGAACTTTGTTCAATCAACTTACAGGGGGTCCTTTTGTACCACGGCCTCCTTTGAGTCCATGAACCCCAGGAGGGCCCTGAAATAAGAAAAAGATTATTAATATTCAGCTGCCGCACTGAATGATAGGAAGCAGAGTTTTATTTCAGTGAGATTTTTACTTACTGGTGGACCATGAGAACCTGAAAGACCTTGAGGTCCTGGGGATCCAGCATCTCCTTTCTGCCCAGGCTCCCCAGGTTCACCTTTCACACCAGGTTGACCATCAGGGCCCTAGAAACATTCAGAGAAATGACCAGTCTGGTTCTTTCATCTATTCCAAGCCTATGTTATGAATGTTATTTTTAATTGATAAAAATGTTTGTTTTTTTTTTAAAAAGACCCAGCGTACGCCTCGTGTTTAAGAACCTTGCAACATAGTTCTCCTTCTCTGAAATCACAGGTTCAAAAAAAAATAGTTCAAAGAAACTGCACACCTGAGGGCCAGCAAATCCAACTGGGCCAGTTGGGCCATTTTCACCACGGGAACCCTAGCAGGAAAAAGAAAGAAAGAAAGAAAGAAAGTGGGTTCCAAAAGAATGTTAAAAACTTACAATTTTTGCTATTTTTTATGATGTAACTTTAGTTCATGATTTATTCTGGTAAAAAAATAAGCTGGTTGTATGCTAGATACATCTACAGAATACGTTCTGCAGAAGCAACTAATGGTATCAATAATCACACAACCATATACATATATAGATGATCTCGTTAATATATTTAAAAAGTTTCAATCATCATCACCACTACTGGAATTCTATAAATGCTAGAACAGGAAATCTGATTCTTCCCAAGAATACATACATACATACATACATATATATATATATATGTATGTATGTATGTATGTATGTATGTATGTATATATATATATATATATATATATATATGTATATATATATATATATTCTAATTATATATATAATTATGATGCTTTAATATATGATTTAATTGATGCAAACCATCCAATATTTTAAAAATATTATACAGTTACATTCAAAATGACATGTTCTTTTATAAATTGATATGCAGCCATTATTTATTTTCAATTAGCAGTTTTATGGAAAGAGAGGAGAGAAAGAGAGAATGAATGAGTGGTAAACAGAAAAAGCAGTGAAAAAAAATAGTCATTGTGTATAATACCAACATCCAACTTATAAAAATACAGACAATGTAATTCTTTACTTACAGGATTTCCACGAGAGCCTGCAGGGCCAACTAAACCTCGAGGACCAGGTTCACCCTTAAATTTAAAAAAGGCTATGAGATATTATCATACATTGTCCTGAAGAGTTGTACTATAACATAATAATAAACCCATTGCATAGTTGATAGTTCTTCTAACTGTTTTACCTTTTCACCAGCCGGACCTGCAGGGCCATTTGGGCCTAATGAACCTGGGAGTCCCTAGGAGACAATCATAATTCCAGTAAGACAAGCAATCTTTCATGGTTTGTACAAGCTCTTATTTTTTTTACTTTCTTCAGAAAAGAAAGCCATGCTGGTCCACTGACTATTATTAGAACCCTAATAAATCAGAACAAAACTTTATTTGGAATGGAATTTGGTGCCTTCAAACATTTATAGCACTAGAAGTAAGAAGTATATATATTCAATTGGTTTCTATTAATATGTTGATTATTTGGAATAGTTAATAAAAAAATCATTGGTGATTAGAATAATAGAATTTAAGGAAATAATTGGGGATTGTATTATATTATGTGAATTTAAACTTAGGGGTTCGAATTTTAAGGAGGGAAAAGAAAAATTGAACTATAATAGGATGAGAAGTTAAGATAAAGGGTAATATTGGTTTTTTAAAATTAGAGAGAATAACTGCTATGAGAAAAATTGAACATATAAAATTGTGTTAAAGATGAACCAAAATCTGTACAAATGTAAGACTGGGCTAATATTCTGTTCAGAAAAGATGTATTGTATGTTTGTTTGTGTGTTTAAAAAATAAAAAAAAACTTTACTAAAAAAAAAACATTTATAGCATGTGAGGAGCTCCTCCCACAAATCAGTTCTGGTTTACTAACACGTGAACTAAAAATACGCTGCAATACACTATTAGTTGAGAGTGAAGCTCTGAGCTTTGGGGTTGGTTTCCAAACGTTTCATTACCTGGTTTCGAACCTGACCTGATGTAATCTCCTTATCACAAGACCCATCACAAGATTCACTGATGACTCACAGCTGACTCATCACAAGACCCTCACTTGACATATCCACACCTGAAGCCATTATAAACAGAAGAACACTGACACTAACATCCCGTAAACTCCACTGCAGATGTTACCTAGCCTGGTAACAAAATGTTTGGAAACCAACCCACAAGCTCAGAGAACGAACCTCCACCCTCATCCTACACCTGAGCTACAGATATTCATCACTATTGGAACCTATTAGTTATAATCTCTTCTTAAGACCCAGCACTATTAGCAGAAAAAGAGGACATTCCACTTACTCTGGCCCCATCATTGCCAGCTGTGCCTTCGCCTCCTTTTTCTCCTATGCTGCCCTGAAAAAAGCATAAGAAAAACTCAAGTCACTTACAAATAATGATATAAAGACATAAGGTTGTGTAGAAAAGAAAAAAAATCCTCCTACAGAAAAGAGAAGGCATGGACATTTCTAAAAAGCTTACCCGATCGCCCTTGGGGCCAGGTGTTCCAGCCAGGCCTCTCTCTCCAGGCATTCCCTGAAGACCAGGTGGGCCTTGATCTCCTGATGCTCCTGAAGGGCCTGGATTTCCCTGAAACAAAAGGAAAAGGAAGTTAAAGGGCAGGAGATAATTTTAGGGAAAGGAACCAATTTGTGGTCCTGTCTCTCTCTCTATTTATCTGTTGGACAGACCCTCTTTACATTTTTAGGTGGGTGCATTTCCCCATCTCCAGAACACATGAATCTCCTATTAGGATGTACTATAAGGAATCATATTTCTTCTAAATTGAAAAATAGCTCAGATTTCTTCAACTTGTGAGCCATCAAAATGCAGCTCATTAGCCATAAATAGCAATGCAATGGTGTTATATAAACTGTGGTTTAACCAATGTTTTGTTGTCTGAATGTGATCATTCAGCAGAGCTATTTCAGAATGGATCTCAATTAGATCTGTCTCCTAAAACACCTGAAAGGTGTCAAAAATTTTGTAAGTTCATGCAATTGAGGATCACAATTTGTTTGTCAATGTATGTATAAATGTGAGTTCTTTCTCTTCATTTTAGCCCTTTTATTATCAAAATAAAATCAGGAACAAAGGTAATATGAAATAAATCCACAGGAAAATGATTGTAATACGTCAAAATACCATCACTTATATAATCTCATTGATATATTCTTTAGATAAACTCTATTTTGATTAATGTATTTCTCCATATTTATAAATAAACAAAAATCTCTAGTTTTGCTTTATTCCTCTCTTGTATTTTTAATTAAAAGTCAATGCCTCTCTGCCTTCTAGCAACTGGACGTATCTCTTTTCTGAAATGCAATCTTCATGATATGATTAAACGGAAACAATTCCTCCAGAACTAATTGGATCTTTCTTGCTCTCTAAGCCTTTTAAGACAGAAAAGGAGTGAAACCAGTCTTGGCATAATCCCAGCTTGATTAGTGAATTCATTTGACCTAGACATATGCTAAGTACTATTTTCTACTCTATATATAACATTAAAATGAACTTGTCAACCATCTTAAAATAAAGTTAATGAGATCCACAAAAACCCTAAGCTGTACAAAACTGATTTATTTTAACTACTGTTTGTTCCTTGTGTGGGCATCCACTTAGAAATTCCAGATTTGTTGGCTAGTCTGGGAAGAAGGAAAAACATTCCAGAGAAAGACAACGGCAAGCCACTTTTGTAACACTGCCCCCCACCCCAAAAAACACTTCATGGATGCAATTGCCAGGAGTTAAACTCATTTTAAGAATGTCCATATCTCTATTTTACTACTTGATTGGATGAATGCTACTATAAGCATTCTTCTGCATCATCCACTCTCTCTCTATGGAGACAAATGGTGCATGCAGACATGCATACCCAGTTGTAGTATATATGGGCTCTGCTTACCTTTGGACCATCAGGACCTTGACCTCCAGCCATACCCTTTTCCCCCTGAAGACCAGGTGATCCTGGGTTTCCTCTTTCACCTGGATGGCCACGTTCTCCCTGGAAATAGCATTTAAAATAATTTAGTGATTGCAAATGTAGTTCCATCAAACAAGAGATAATTCATTCCATATATGCTACAAATGAATTTTACAAAAAAAAAGTTGAAAGATGAACCTGCTGACATTGGCAACATATTTTTAAACAGAATATTAAAAACTGCCCTTCCTCTTTAAGGGATACTGATCTGATGGTCTTTATATATTTTGAATTTCAACTTGAACTCAGCGAAGATGGCCAGCCAAGTTGTGGATCAAAATACTGGAGAGGAGCAGGTTGCCTGGAAATGCTATCTCTGCAGATTTTGTACAACAATCTCACATCAGTGGTGGGTTGCCCCCGGTTCGGACCGGTTCACAAGAACTGATCATCATAGGTGATCTGCGCATGCGCAGAAGAGCACAAGCGTATGCTAGCAAAGTGAGACCGTGGCGCAGGCGCAATGCAAACCAGTAGTAAAGGTAAGTAGAACCCACCCGTCTCACATATCATATAAACCTAACAGTTTCCCCTAATTGCTATAAGATGTGGAGGTGTTGTTACTCATTAAACTGTAACACATCACATGGTTGTAGAAATTGCTGGGGTGTCTTCTGATGAACTTTCATCTCTAGAGCTAAGTGAGTCTGCATCAAGCTAGTACCTGAAGCACCCAAAAATTACATATGCAATGCGATGTACCCAGCACTGAAATATGTAAAGCAATGTAAGCTAAACATACCAATTGATAAACAGAAATAAACGGCTAACACAGGGAGTTCTAGAATCTGACAGAATCAAGTCCCATTGAAATGAAAAATCAAAGATTCAAAATATTTCAGATAAATATAAACCTAACATTGCACAGGGACCTGTTTGTTTGTTTGCTTGTTTTGCCTATCAGAGCTCAGGGAGCATGTGTTTATTGTAATGAATTCAAACTGTAATATATGCAACTTGCCTCTTAGGGATTTCTGCGGCTCACTGTTATAATACGCATGATTGTTTTTCTTCTAAAATTAATTTTAAAAATATTCTGAAAATTTGCTCTGAAAAGTCATTATTAAGAAATCAAACTTACCCTTGGACCTAAGGGACCTAGAGCTCCGGGATCACCATGAACACCCTAAGACAATTATTAAAAAAAGAGATAAATTATTGCTAACTACATACAGAGAGAGGAAGAGAGAGAATTAGGGACTAGTTATTGGTGATTTTAAAAAATATAGCAATGGTGCCAAAGATAGTAAGCTGTGAGTTCTTCTCACTATGTTCCTATTCATGAAAACTGTATAAGACCAACTACATTGGCAACTTGCAAACTGTTATCCCTTAGTTAGGAAAAGGAATTGCAATGGGTAGAGTAAGAAAGATACAATCACAGATCTTCCAGAATTACAACACAAAATCAGCAACAGAAGCAACATTAAGCATAATAACTCAAAAGTACTGTGATAATAGATGGATGGATGGATGGATGGATGGATGGATGGATGGATGGATGGATAGATAGATAAATAGAAGATAGAAATTAGGCTTTGTTGGTACTGGGCAACAAATTATGAAAGAGGGGATCCATGTTATTGCCATATCTTATTACTGATACAATGCTTGTCACCATTAATAAAAGTTCCCAGTGCAATGGGAGCTTTTCATTGGACTTCAGTCTTTTAAAAAAAATCTCAGCAAGGAATGTGAAGGAGGTTAGGAGGCAGGACATTCCTAGATCAGTATCTAGCTAATGTTCTTCCATGCTATCAAAGAATTAAAGGAGAGTTCCTGAGACGACTTGAGACATTTCCTGTTGCCCAGATGTCCTAGACATCCAAAGGCCCACAACGTCCCAACCATGCTTTTCCAGAGAAGAGGGACTGGTCTAAATTGTTCATGTGCAAGAAGCTGAGCCACAAATGCTCCCTTCTTGCACCCCAGCTATATCTAGGAACATCTGCACAGGAAGCAAGCTCATCATAGTGAGTACTACATTGGGACTCTGGGGTTTTGCTCTTGGTTGCTGAAATATCTTCTCCCTTTATTCCTACAGCCAGATGAATTCAGCAATTGGAGAGTCTTGGTACCGAGGAAATAGGAAGTTAAATAAGTAATTAGATTAAACAATAAAAAATGTCTTCTACTTGACATTTCTACGGAAGGGAGGGAGGGAGGGAGGGATTTTCTGTAATTGTGAGGGCAAAACATCTTGACATTTCATATTTTTAATTTCATTTTCTACTTTTCTCCATCAATCTGGACAAGTTAAATACATGTTGTACACATTTGACATCCCCCCCCCCTCAGTGAAAACATATATTCTCTCAAAAACATCACAACTTCTGGGAGGAAAAACAACTGTAGAAATATTTATTTATCTTATTTCATTTCTACACTGCCCATCTTACTGATAAAGTGACTCTGAGTGGCTTTCACTATAATAATAAGTTAACAGTGCTAAACAAAATTAAAGGAATGGATTAGTTAAAAACAGGCAAAATTAATCAACCACGCAAAACCATTATAAAATAGTTACCTGATCACCTGGTTTTCCCCCTTCTCCTGGAGGGCCTGGGGTACCGGGTAAACCCTGCAAGGAAATAAATAAACCAAAAACAAGTCACATGGTCAGCATATCTTGGACTATATGTTGAAAATACTGCTAGAGTGGTATTTTAATTTGAGCACAAAGAATAATTCATAAGTAATCCAAAAACGTGGTGGTCATTACTTTGGCAGTTATTTTATTAAATTTGTTTGACTGAAAATAATAACAGCCCAAAAGCCCTGGGATCAGGGGTGGGTTCTAAATTTTTTTAATACCGGTTCTGTGGGTGTGGCTTATTTTGTGGGTGTGGTTTGGAGGTCATGTGACTAGGTGGGCATGGCTAGCTGGTCAGAGTCATTTCTGGAAGGTCCTCGCACTTACAACCAGTCCTCGCACTTACAACCCGATTCATTTGTTTGCTTTTAACACTGATCAGCTGTAGGACGGCCCTTTGAAGCCCTGCGGCAAGAGTTTAAACAGTTTTTTTCCCTCTAGTCATCAGCTGGGACTCAGGAGGCAGCAATAGATTGGGGGTGGGACCAAATAAAAGGTAAGAATAACATGGGGGGTGGGGGGGAGGGCGGGGTGGGAGAACCAGTTCGGTGACGTCATATCGTCACCGCTACCGGCTCGGCCGAACCGGACCGAACCGGGAGGAACCCACCACTGCCTGGGATGGCTTATATTGAAAACTGATTTCAAAAAGACTCACCTGAAAGCCTGTGGGACCTGGAGGACCTTGTTCTCCTCTTTCTCCTGCTGGTCCCTACACGAAACAAATGTTTTTAAAATCATTTCACATGGTACCATGACAGCTTAATCATACACGTTTCAATACCTTGATGCAACAATAGGAAGATATTGTTCTTTTGTTATTACTCCCCCAAACTTACTGCAATTCAGCTGATAAAACAAGCTGATAATATTTACATAGAGTTGAAAAGTTAATTTGACTTACTGCTTTATTTAGTCAGACAGTTTCCCCTTTGAATCTATATGATTTTAGATATTCAGTTGTTATGACAAGCGATTAGGAATGGTTTTCCTTTTCTCTAAACCTTTTTTCTTTTAATGTATCAGAAATTAATAGAACAAATAAAATAAACCATCTGGGTCAGGGGTGAAATCCAGCAGGTTCTTACTGGTTCTGGAGAACCGGTAGCGGAAATTTTGAGTAGTTCGGAGATCCGGCAAATGCAACCTCTGGCTGGCCCCAGAGTGGGGTGGGAATGGAGATTTTGCAATATCCTTCCCCCAGGAGGGAAGGGAATGGACATTTTGCAGTGTCCTTCCCCTGGAGTGGGGTGGGAATGGACATTTTGCAATATCCTTCCCCTGCCACGCCCACCAAGCCACTCCCACAGAACTGGTAGGGAAAAATTTTGGATTTCACCCCTGATCTGGGTTGCCAGCATCAATGTCCTATGTTTCTGTTCAAAATAATAAAAAAATGAATGTATCTTTTTCAATATTTCAGTGGAGGGGCAGGAATGTTCCTTTTTATCATTTTTATAATACGTATGCTATAACATATGTGGCAATTCATATGGATCAGTGGTAGGATTCTACCGGTTCTACCCAGTTCGGGCGAACCGGTAGCGGCAATGGTGGCGGAAGGCAGGAGGCTCCACCCACCCGCCCAGACATCAACATGGATGCTCTGTGCATGCGCAAAGGTGGCGTGCACATGCTCACATTTGCGAACCGGTAGCAAAGATAAGTGAATACCACTACTGATATGGATGAAGTGAAGATTCCTTCGACAAAAGAACTAAATAGCAAATCTTCTGCCTTTGTTTAGCAACCTGTGTTATTCTCCAATAGTTCTGTACCCCAACATGAAATATATCTCACCTTTCCTTCTTCCTACTACCATGCTTTTTAAAAAAAATGATTTTACCAAAGAAATGATCATGCATGTATAAGAATGTACAGAATACACAGGACTCTTATTCTGCTGGAATTACAGTGCCATTCAAAAACACTGATTTTGAATAATATTCTTTCACACCAAAAATGTTCAGTTAGAACTTACATGGGGCCCAACAGGACCAGCGGGGCCAACTTCACCATCTTTTCCAGGTGCCCCCTAAAATGGTATAATAAATAAAGTTGATTTAAGGTGGCATATACATGTATAAGCCCATGCACTATCAATGCTATGGTTTAGAACTTTCTAACAAAAAAATTATACTTACCCTCTGCCCCGAGACACCAGGATTTCCTGCTTCTCCAGGTTTTCCAGGATCCCCCTATTTAAATATATTATTAATATATTATTAATCATATTATACAACTTGGTAAATATGGTCAAACTCTAAAACACAATACTTACACTGCTCCCTTTTGGGCCAGGAAGACCCATGCTGCCTGGCTGGCCTCTAATTCCAATTGGACCTGCAGGGCCTGGCCGACCATCTTCTCCTGGAGCACCCTAAGGGAACATCAAGTATTTAATCTTGTGTGGGTGTATTTGTGTTCTGTGTGTAAAATTAGTTACAGAATCATCAATGCAGGATGCAAATCAGCAGTGAAATCCAGCTGGATCTATCCGGCTCATGTGAACCGGTAGTGCCGGCGGGAGGAGGCTCTGCCCACCTGCCGGGGCATCATTACGTCCTGTTTTTGACCCTCTGCATATGCGCAGAAGAGGTACGCGTGCTCACATTCCCAAACCGGTAGCAAACATAAGTGCAGGAAATTAAATTGAAAAGATGGAAATGTGCATCACAAAATGGTAAGTTTGTTTAGCATTTCAGATGTTTGTTAGACCATGGCTGTAAAACATGTTGGGATAATAATCCCAAATGCTATTAATTTCAATTACAGGTTATATGAATAAAACACTAATTACACAGATCGACTCCCTCCATTTTGGGAAAAATAAAGATAAGACTAGGAAGTGCCCTTCGAATTATTCCAGCTCTACATACCGTGTCATTTATGTAACTCAACAGGATGTGTTTTTATTCTAATAATTACTCTATAATCTTAAGAGCTTCTCAGAACTACAAAAAGGATTAAAAGTATTCACAGTAAACTACTGTTCCTATTCCTATATTGAGATCATTGTTCTAAAACTGTTTAATTATTTCTAGTATTTATGGACTGTAATCAACCCAGACTTGACCTATGCATCTTCTAATTTACATACAGGTAATCCTCAATTTACGACCACAATTAAGCCCAAAATTGATATTACTAAATGAAGCATTTGTTAAGTGAGTTTTGCCCCCTGTTACGACCTTTCTTGCCACAATTGTTAAGAGAATCACTGCGGTTGTTAATTTAGTAATATGGTTGTTAAGTGAATCTGGTTTCCTCATTGACTTTGCTTATCAGAAGGTCACAGAAGGGGATCACATGACCTCAGGATGCTGCAGCTGCCATAAATATGAACCAGTTGCCAAGCAGCTGAATTTTGATCATGTGACCATAGAGATGCTGCAATGTTGTAAGTGTGAAAAATGGTCATAAGTCCCTTTCTTCAGCACTGTTGTAACTTTAAACAATCACTAAATGAACTGTTATAAGCCTAGGACTACCTCTATATAATTTAAAGTTTCAGTTATACAGATGATTTCAATATTAGCGTTAAGTAAACCACTCAAACTATTGGCATCGTCATCCAGAAAACCTTTTCAAGTTGGGTGTACATCTGAAACGGGGAAGGGGACTGAAGGAAATAACTTTTGGAAATCTGATATTCAAGGCCACCGATCAATAGTTTTCTCTTGTCACTTGTCTGAATGTGTGCATAGAAAAAACAATAAAATTGAAAAGACAAAAGGAATTGGGGAGTTTAAACTCAGAGCTGCTCACCCTTTGTTATTCTGACAATGCCCTCATGGTTTGCTTCTGGCATTCAACGATACAAAAATCTCTGAATTTAGGTCTCTTTAGGTTTGATTTGCTCCAGTAGCTAATGATATTACAGTTCAATCTTCGGCATTTAAAGCTAAATGTTAATTAGTTACATTAGCATTTAATGTTAATGCAACTAAAACTAAATGTTAATTAGTGTGCATTAAGCTACAGTTAACCTCAGTTTAGTGAATTTATATCCGAAGTAACTATTAAAGAAGATTTAACTTTTGAAAATGTTCCATATAAACAATTCTTCAGCTAAAGGTTGAAGTGTTGGTTAGTTTTGTTTTTATTTTCCATTGAATCTTGAATCCTGATGACTCCCTGCAGTTTTCTTGGTGATATCTTTTGGAAGTGGTTTGCCTTGCCAAAGTCACCTGATTGGCTTCCATGCCCAGGGCAAGACTAGAATTTGGGGGACTAGAAATTAGAAATCCTAATTTCTAGCTTGATGCCTTTAAAAAACCAGTCCCATGTTCTCCCTCACCAGGTTGGGTACTCAGATAAAATGTTCTCCTTTTCTTCCTACCCTCATGAGAATTGCTCTCTAAAGTACTCTTGAGAGGGATACAGAAGGAAAGCAAGAATAAGGCTATCAAGAACCAAGATCCTATTCAATTACTTCGACTTTTTAGTCAAATAGGTCTAGACACGAGTCAACTAAATTCTCTCACAAATTTACTTACCAAGGGACCAAGTTTCCCTTCTGGACCTGAGACCCCTGGATTCCCTGTCAGACCCTGTAAAAATAACGTATTACAAAACAATGCTATTTCTGGCACTTGGTCACCATTTTCATCCAAAAAATACACATATTCATAAGATTAATTCATAAGTTATCCAAGTTTATACTATTTTATATCTGACATCTACAGTCCCGCATTCACCTTGACCTAAATGATATTAATATTTATACAGTGCACTCTCATAAATTAACCAAGACTTGTGGATCTGAATAGTCCTTTCCATTTTTTAGGCACGTTCAGTCTGGATGTATAGAGTAGGATTATTATTCTTTCTTTACCCTGGCACCTGGGAGACCAGGTTCACCCAGGCGACCAGGATCCCCTTGGCTTCCTTTAGGGCCTGAAGCCCCCGCAGGACCACGTTCCCCTTGAGCTCCCTGAAAAGGAAATCAAAAGCAAGATCAATCTGTGGCATTTCAGGTATAATTACCCTGTTTTCCCGAAAATAAGACCCAACCAGAAAATAAATCCTAGCCTGATTTTTCAGGATGCTCATAATATAAACCCTACCCTCCCCCAAATAGGCCCCAGTTAAGATTGTCAGCCAGATGGATGCATTTAGTACCATATTTCCTCAAAAATAAGACCTAACCAGAAAATAAGCCCTAATGTGTCTTTTGGAGCAAAAATTAAGATCCGGTCTTATTTTCGGGGAAACACGGTAGAAGTGTGTGTTGGGGTGGAGGTGATTTCAAGGGTATTTGGGTTTTGTTGCCAAATAATTTCTGAGCTATCCAATAACAGCTCTTACAGAACAATGTCTTTCAGGCTGAGTTATTTCGCTAAGAAACATGCATCAACCAAAGAAGCAAGATCAACCAAAAGGAACATAAACAGATAGGGTTTTTTTGGCTAATTTCTAAATTCAAAATTGCCTCTTTTAAATCACCAATGGCAACATCTTTCTACCAGCTGAGTGTTATTTTTAAATGGAAACTTTCTGAGAAGAGAAAATAGGAGATGACATTAAATTTCTTGTATGATACACTATTTTGATTTTGATTACATTTCCTGAATATACGTACTATTAAAAAAGATCTTAATAATCCTTATACTCACCTTTGGTCCTGGCAAACCATCAGATCCTGGAAAGCCACGGTTACCAGGAGGACCCTATGGAAACAAAAGTATGTTTTTTTAATGGAGTGACATGTATGATCCATGTCACTTGTGACATTTAAACTTCCTTTTACGTTTAAAATAGCATTTGAAATACATTGTATTTGGAGAAAAAACTTTCAAAGAATAAAAATTGCCAAAGAATTACCAATAGACCCCTCTGAATCTGGGAGGTGCTGATGAGCCCACTTCTTAGTGAAATCTAAGTTTATGCAGGATCATTATCTATAAATGGCTATAATAATATGTATAATCAAACATATTTAAATATATAGCATGGCGGTAAGGTCTGTTCCTCCTCTTGATGCTGCTGGACACTGCCCGCCTGCCAGGGTAGTGCTGAGCTGAACACAGACCAAACCGACATCAGACCCAGGCAACAAGCCAGTGGGTCAATTTTTTTGTGGCAACCAATAGATCTACAGTATAGTCATCCCCATCAAAATGCAGACACATCCCAGACGCTGGTTTGATTGTGCAAGATGGCATTTTGTCAATCTGAAAAATGGATCCTGTGGGAATAACACTAGGAAGATGATGATGATGATGATGATGATGATGATGATGATGATGATGATGATGATTTAAATGTATAGCATAGGATATGCAGAAATCTGATAAAGTTATAATAATGATAATGACCATATGATAAATTTTTCACAACATTGTTTATTCTAGTCAATAAAAAACCTATACTATAAATAAATACGCAAACAAACCAAACAAATTTTAAAAGTGAATGCTTGCCATGCAGATATATAGAAACCAACCATGTCACTTATTTAAACACTGGAAAACAAGCATATTGCAAAAATGACATTCTTCCTCCAACTAAAAACTAAGAAGGAAAAAGGACAAAAATCACTTTTCTCTGAAATTCTCAAACAAAATGACATTTTTCAAACAAAATGACATATGGATATGGGTAAATTTGAGGGGTTTTTTTACAATAATTGCATGACCTGACCATATCAGACCAAATGTCCCATATGTCAATTTTTAAAAATGGTTTTGCTGTTCTGGAATTTATATACATTTTTTTTTCATTATAAAAACTCAGTTGAATCACTCTAGGGAGTTCAGATCCTATTAGTTCAGATGTTAGGGTGACTCTAACAACAGTTTTTGGACTACCATTGGAGGAAGTTGCTAACTGGATCCAAATTATTCAAAAACTTTTTTCCCCTGTGATGAATTATTACCAAAAAAGATGGAAAGGTGAAGAATGCTATTTTTCTTTACTCTTGAAGCCACAGATGCCTTTCAAAAAATCAGATAAGATTTTTCTACAAAGCAACGAACTGAGTTAGAAATCTAGCACACTTTCCTTTGAAAGGACTAAAGTCAAGATCCAAACCGAAACCATTGTTTGCCACCATAGTTGGATTTATTTTGGATATTCTACTTTCAACGTAAAACTAAACAGGGCTATTCCCAAGATAGCTCACCAGGAAACTACTGAAATTTTTTTCCCTTATTATTCTTACCCTTTCTCCAACAGGTCCAGAAATACCAACTGATCCTGGATCACCACGAGGACCTCTTTTCCCTTCTTCACCAACGGGTCCAATTGGTCCTTGGAGGCCATGGGGACCCTAGTGAAAAACATTTGCACTTGTAAAGAAAATGAACAAACCCATCATTCAACCATGCTGCCATTGACACAAGACAAATACAGATGCCCCATTTCAAATCCAATTATATTCCTTGAAGAAGGTTTTGAAAAATATATCATTTCTGCAAACATTCTTTTTAATGCTTTTTTGCTTGTGTATATTCCAAAAATATAGCTATACTAGAACACTGGCCAAATTGCATTAGTAGGAATTAATTCTGCAATTAGTTTTGGAATAACCACTGAATGATTGAATAGTGAGTAGTAATTGAACTAGTCAAGGGTTGACCTTGACAAATAGTTTATTAGGTGAATATGGATTTTCTAGTATTGTAGATATTTATGAAATAGATATAAACAACTCTAGGTCACTTCCACAGCAGTTTGCAGATGTCATGTGGACGTGTCCTTTAAAAATTGTTACCAATCAATTATACCCTTGATTGCACAGAAAGTGGGAAATTAGGATCACTTGTTATATTACCACTTATTTTCCCAAGAAAGGGAGAATTATTTTGTGTGGTTTTTTAAAAAATAATTTTTCAAACCTCCCCTTTAAATCAAATAAATATTTAAAGAGAAAAAAGAAACTTTAAGCCAAGTTTCATATTTATTTACCTAAAATGAAAAAATGGTATTCCTTGGCAATATGAAGAAGTCAATGGGACAGCACAATTAATATTTAAAGTTTGCAACTAAAATCAGGGAGATTCAGATTAAAATCCAGCTTCAGGCACAGAAAGTTACTAGAGGATTTTGAACCAATCACTATCTCTCTGCTCAAACTACCTCACAAGATGTAGAAAAAAATGAGAGGACGGACTGCATTTTTGTCACCCTGAGGTTCTGGAGAAAAGTAGAGCTCTAATAAGTATTAATAAATAATTAATAATGAGGGGGGGACATAAAGTTTGTGGCAGATTAAGGACAGAACTGAAGAACAGAAAAACATGCATGTCATTTTGTAATGGAACATTTTAAAGATGGTTTCTAGAGAATATATTTTGAAAACCTACTGGCTCTCCTTTGGGTCCAGCTTCTCCTTTGAAACCTGGAACGCCAGGATCTCCCTGAAAGCAAGTATCACCATTAGAATAATGATCTGAGGTATTCAAAGTGACAGGAAGTACAACATTTTTTATGAATCCATGTCTTGTTCAAAATTTATTAATGTAGGCCAAATTCATGGTTTCTTCAGCATGGTATAATCTACATCATCTGTTCAATAATATAATCATATCCAGATATGTCAGTCTTGTTCCGTGTAAATAAAGAAGATATGGATTGTTGTCTGCAATTGCTAAATATTAAAAGTTTAAAATGTTGGTTTTCATATTCAAAACACTTTGCTCATCTCAGTATCAAATTACTCAGTCACTACTATCTATAGAAGAGGCTCCCTTAAATTTGCTTCAAATTTCCAGCCTCAATCTCATGAGCACCTGGTAGCTTGCAAGTCATAGAAAGTATTTCCCTAAACGTCATGTGATTGTTCTAATAAATAGACCTATTCTTAGTCTGTTGTTCTTAAAGTTACCTCTGTTACTGTTAATAAGAATTCAGCCAAATAATAATTCACTCTTTTGAGGGCCCGATGTGCAGAAAGATGGGACATAAATCAAAATGTAAATAATAAACAAGCTAGCAAGTCAACCGAGAACTGACATTTGTGCCAGAAAAAGAGTTTTTCACTTTGTGAGCAGCTGCTCTTAGATGTTAAATCACACAATGTGATCCAGAGCATCTTTCTGGATATTGCAGTATTTTGAAGTTACTAATAGGCTGTATGTTAGGCTCCTTTGAAACTATTCAAAAATTGGTGAAAAATACAACAGCCTGTTTCTTAACAAATGAAAGCTCCAATAGCCATATAATATCAGTACTACAAGCTTTATTCATTTATTGTTCTAGTAGTCTATGGAGATTCTCCATCATCCAGGTCATGATTGTCCCAAAGGTTGTTTTCCAAAAGGCACCTAGACTTTGTTGGGTTTTTTTTAATGTTTCACTTTTTATCCAAGAAGCTTCTTCAGTTCCTCATGAAAGAGCTTCTTGGATAAGAAGCTAAACATTTTCAAAAAAACAAGAAAGTTCAGTTGCCTTTTGTAAAACAATCTTTGGGACATATCGTTCCAGTAGTTTTACTATTGTTACCTTATTTTTGTACAATTACCACAAAGTTTTAATTGGTAATTTAATTTGGTAATAATTACCAAAATGTTTTAACCATGGATGCTTCAATCCTGTTGTTGACTGTCAGGATTATGGTGGGGTATAAAACCCAAAATAAATAAATGTGCATTAAATACAAAATTTTACCATTTCTGATTTTTCAAATCATTACCATTTGTCCTCGAATGCCAGGAGGACCTGTACTGCCTTGTGGTCCTGGAGAACCAGGTGGACCTGATAAGCCATGTGGCCCTGAAGTTCCTGGAGATCCCTATGAGATACATTGATGTGGTCAACAGTGTCCATGGAATGGAATATAAAGTCTTAAAAAGAGTATTTGCTTAAGTCAGTTACTTACTGAAGGCCCTTTTGTACCTCTGGAACCATCTGTACCTAAGGCACCCTAAAACAGCACAAAGCAGATATGTGTTAATACAATTTCATCAAATATGGCTATTCCTATGTACCAATTTGGCTGAAATATCACATGCAAATGTCAGTTTCTTATGTATCAAGTGATTTAATTTCTGAACAATATAGATTGGAGGCAGCTGTTTAATATCAATTCCAGTTGGTCACAGTCTAGAATTTTGTGGATAGCTATCCTTTGATTTCCATTGAACAACTACCCTAAAACCTTGAACTAAAAATATCAAGAATCTTAAGATTCTGACCTAGCTTCAGGTATTCAAGCTTAGTTAAAAAGGAACAAATTTATTATTAAATAATTTCTCATGGGATAGACTTTGAAAAGGTGTCATGAGAAAAATGCTTAATCATTAAGGTGCCACAAAATCTTTTATTATTTCCACTGAAATATGAATTAAAGGTGCTATTTGCTAAAAACTGTCATAAAAAAAGTAATAAGAATTAAATACAACAACCAAGCTTTGTACACATATTAAAGAAATACATTCCAAAAGGTATGTAGGTAAGAGTGCATCTTTCACATAAGATGCTTTAAGGGATACAAGTAGTTCTTGACTTGTGACCATAATTGATCCAGCAATTATGGTCGTAACATATGCTAATTGTTAACTGGAACAATGACCAATATCATTTTATGACAATTTTTTGTGGCAGTGAACATGGTTACTGTAGAGAAAACACAATAGGTGTTTTTTGTTGGCAAATGGAAGTAATTGCTGTTATTTGTCAAAAAAAAATGTAAATCATGAACATCTGACCACAAAATGTTGCAAACATCTCTAAATGAAGCAGGTTGCTGAATGCCCAAAACGCAAGGGGGTCAGAACTAATGAAGACCATCAATACCTTCTTTGGGATCCATTGTAACTTCAAACGATCACTAAGCAATGTGTCGGTAAGCAAGGACTATTTGTAAAGTAGATGTTTTAAATATCTATATGTTTCCCAACTTAAATGCAAGCAGTTTCAGCCTTTTGGAAGTTGCCTAGTCTGGGGAATTCTTACAGATTTTTGAAAAATTGTAACTTTTAAGCAATTCCTACAAGGTGAAAGAACATCAGAAAATTTCATCTGGTCTACATTTTAAAACAAACTGATCTATTTCATACTTGTGCACACAGTAATTTGGATCAGAACATTTATCCTTCAGATTCCCTACTTCTCTAGAATTTGTGATTTAATTCCAAGCAGAAAATAAACCATATAAAAATGCATCCATATGGAAAGTATAATTAAAAAGCATATAGTATGGAAAGATACAAAGAAAACGCATATTGGCTGATATATAAATTTCCAGCTAATGCACATATATCTGACTATCCTAAGCAAAGAAATTATTGTACCATTGCTTGAAGCTACATATTGCAAAAGTAGTTTTTACTTTTAAGTAAAAACTATTACTGACTATCATAGATAGTCAGAAATTTACTTTTCTGACTATCTGTGACACTGTGACTAGAGTCTAGACACAGAAAACGATATCCCCTGTTATACCAAACAGGGGATATGCTAAGTGATTTCTTTTATAACCTGGGCTTCTGTTTATGTGATTACAACCATCTTTAACTTTTCTTGCAATCCATTTCAGGTTTTGGGTGAATTATTCTTCATATTCTTTTCTGTGAAGACAATGCATAGATTTTTGCATGTGCATGCTATACTTCTATCTCTGTACATTTATGAATGATTCCTAGCAACCAGTCAGGGATGAATAGCTCCAAATGTAATTTATGACAGTTTGAAAAACTTACAGGAAGACCAAACAATCCTGGGGGACCTGGGGCACCCGTTTCTCCTCTTGGTCCTTGAGGACCTTCTGGACCACGAGCACCTGTGGGACCAGCTTCACCCTGAAGTTTTACATTAAAAAAGAAAGTAGAAAATGAAATATTAATACTAACCATTAACTACTACATTAACTACATTAATACTAACCATTAAGCCTCTCATTAACTGAAGGTGCTTTTTGTTTTTAAAGAAGTGCTTATTTAGATTTAAAATTGATATAATGCAAGAGTTCCCCCTCCTAGCTATTCCTCATAGTTATCTGAATTGCCTAAGCTCTCCTAAGCGTGATATACAATCTTACCCTGGTGCTAATGCAGTATCAAGTCTATCTGGATTTTTTAAAAAGAATGATGGGTTTCCATTTTGTCCTTTAGCGCAGAAATAAAGTGTCTTCAGCCCCATCACGTGATCTGATCAAAAATCCATGCAGGCTCACATCTAGTCTCTGAATTCACCATATTAGGTGGGATTTTTTTAAAAAAACCTGGGATTATTTTTCATTTTCTGTTGAACTGTGCTGTGCTATTGTTTTATAAAATTATGTTCCTTTTGAACTCAAGGCTTTTCCTTATACAATGAGATAAATAATGTTTTATGATGAAATTAGTGTAATAGACAAACAAATATTTTATGGCTAGATATGATTACTACTGCGGCAATCTCCTCTTCCTCATCTCCTCCTCCTCATCATCATCATCATCACTTTACTCTCTCTCTCTCTCTCTCTCTCTCTCTCTCTCTCTCTCTCTCTCTCTCTCTCTCCCTCCCTCCCTCCCTCCCTCCCTCCCTCTCTCTCTTTTGGCTTCTAAAGACCACAGGGAACTGTGGGTTGTGATACCATAATCACATGGGAGGGAGGGAGGGAGGGAGGAAGCTGAGATAGAACTGATGGCTCTTTTTGAAAAATGACCTTTGCTTAGTAAATTGTCTAATTAAAATAGGCATGAGAAAGCCACTGGAGACATTGTAATTAGACATTATTTGACCAAAAAACATATAAAACTACTGTTGTTATTCAGTGTTTTACCATAAAATTTTGGCATGATGGTATTGGAAGATTCCTGGAGCTACAAAAATGAGACTGGGTGCCACATAAGCCACATGCTCTATCTACTGTATTCATTTACAAATCATGTTAATCACATGCAATTAATAAATAAATTGGAGATAGTGGAAATAGGATATTATGGATGTTTGTGGTGATTGTTAATATAATTTAATATAATTCTACTGATCTTTAAAACTGAGGGACTTGCCTCCAATTAAAAGAAAAACAACAGGAAAGACATGCCTTTCCTTTAGACATTTTTTAAATTTTGGGCTTACTTTATTATACATGTTTAGAGAAATCATTTGATTCACTGAATTACAGCACTGGCAATTAAGTTCTTGTTCAGTGAGAATTGCCAACTGTAAATACATAATGCATCTGTTGGACTGATTAGTTTTATCCTTTCTCTCCAAGGCCATGGTTAACTAATGCTTGCTATGCTGCATAGGATTTCATCATTTCAAGGCACAGAAAATTTCAATCCAACAATTACACTGTTCCACAAAAATATATTCGTACTTCTTTCCTTCAAATATTAAAGATAAGGAATGACTAGGAGAAGGGACATAAAGATAATTGAAAGCAAATCCTTGAACTTTAACTACATTATATAAGTGACCAAATCCTAGTACAATTGCCAAAAATTTATTTCAGAAATTTAGCCCTTAAAAATTCTCAGAGCAAAGAAGAATGAAACAAAAGTTTCTCCTCAGCTCATCTACCAGCTTGCTTTACAACACCTCTGGAGTCTTGTTTAACGGTCATAAATAGTGCAATACACAATCTGGGAGGAGCTATAGCCTCATTTCTCATTGTACATTCTCAGGGAACATACTTTACAGCACAAATGCTAGTCTCCTCCAGGTCATAGCTCAACTTTTGGTGACTCCATGAACATATTGTTTCCTTGGTAAGAATACAAAAGTGATTTACATTTCTTTCCTTCCTTTTTTTTTTTTTTAAAAAAAAACCTTCCTCATCCAGTCTATAGCCCTGTAGTTTTCTTGTGTTCTCCCTATATGTTTCTAACAAGAGTTGACTTTGCTTAGGTTTTCAAGATTAACTAAGATTTGCCAGGTCTAATGAAGGGACCTCAACTGTATGATGGGCCCATATCAGGGCTTCTCAACCTTGTCAAATTTAAGATATATGGACTTCAACTCCCAGAATCCCCCTGTCAGCATTCCCAAATTCTGAAAGTTGAAGTCCACATGTCTAGATAATGGCCAGATTGCCTTTTCTATCACAACTGTTTCTTATGCTCAATGTGCTCAAAGAGTCTGTACTCTGCAAGGAGTAGACACAACACAGCATAGCAAATCTGTACACAACTTGCAACCACAATTGAGCCCAAAATTTCTGTTGTTAAGCGAGATATTTGTTAAGTGGGTTATGGCCTATTTTATGACTTTTCTTGCCACAGTTGTTAAGAGAATCACTGCAGTTGTTAAGTTACTAACATGGTTATTAAGTGAAACTGGCTTCCCCATTGACTTTGCTTGTCAAAAGGTTGCGAAAGGTGATCACATGACCCTGGGACAACGGAACCGTCATTAATGTGAATCAGCTGCCAACTTTTGATCACATGACCCTGGGGATGCTGCAACGGTCATTAAGTGTGAAAAATGGTCAAGTCACTTTTTTCAATGATGTTGTAACTTTGGTCATTAAATGAGCTGTTGTAAGTTGAAGACTACCTGTACTTAATTATAACACACACCTTCCCCAACCACAGGGGAAAAGTTACTTTTGAAAAAAGCAGATAGCAACCCTAACTTCATTCTCTCACATGCAAACATTCTACCTAGAGGAAAAGAGAAGATCAGCTAAAGAAATCTGTTAAATAAGACTATTTATTTAGGACAGTTTTTCCCAACCTGCACTTTCAAATGTGTGAGGCCAATAACTCCCCAAATTCCCAGCTAGCAGCACCCCTGGCTGGAAATTTTGGGAACTGCAGTGCCAACCCATGAAAGGTTTTCCAGTGTCAAAGACAGGGAATATTTTTCCTATTCCAATTCTTTTACACTAAATAACCTCTCTCTTTTCAATTTTGTTTAGGCATTGCAGCTGGGAGGAGAGGCATTAACACTGCATGAGAAGTAGACAGTTAATGACACCATATAAATGAGTAATAAATTCTGGCTGTTCTCAGCTTTTCTGCTGTTCATTATTCTGTGGCACCGAATCCAAGGAGCACTGCCAACATCCATTTAAATAGATTGCATTTCCAGCTGTTTCAGCTTCCTAAGGGATGTTGCAACCAGATCTGTGCAAATCAGTAACATCACATTCACAATAGTAAAAAAATAATAATGTTAAAACGATATATTGGGAAGTAAAGTTAAGTTTATTTCATCTAACTGATTATCTCTACATGATTTTCTCAGAAACAGGCCTCTTCACTTCATAACTGGATGTACATGTGATATACTTGTTTGTCCTTGGTTCATGCCTATCTCCCATTTCAAATTACATCCATCCACATCTGGAGCTGCAACAAAATACTTGACTAACAAGCTTTTTGCAGAGTTCTTTTAGAGGGGACTTTAGGGCAATATGCTCACAAAACAATACCCATAGTGGTGGGTTGCCCCATAGAACTGATAGTAAAACTGGAGGGAGGCTCCGCCCACTGACCCTGATGTCATCAAAATGCTTCTGCACATGCACAGCAGAGCATGCACACGCGCGAGTGAAGTGAGCGTGCACGCGCTGCCACATTGTGAACCAGTAGTAAAGGTAAATAGAAACCACCCCTGACGCTAATATCTCCTGCTTGACTTCTCCTCCTACTAGTGAAAAAGGCTGCAATACTGATAGGCTATTTGGGGGTCTCAGGGCTAAAAAAAATAAATGCTAAGCAAACAGAATTTTGTCTGAACTCAGGCTTAATCAGTCCTGTACAAGCCAAGTTTCAGAAACTGGTACTAAACTCTTGTTTGAATCTGTAGTTTTAGAAATAAATCAGAATGTGTAGTCTTTCTATAATGTTGACTCTCCCCAAAATTATTCAAAATCCTAGCAAGCAGGAGAATCAATCTAAACCTAGATCATGAGAAATAAATTAACCAAGGGTTCTGTCAATTCCTTCATTTCTACTGAGTACATGTTCCTAAAATTGAGGTTCCTGGTAGAGTTTATTCCTCTTTTCCAAAATCTGAATGTGATAAACTGCTATCATGTCACTCCTAGTCTTTCTTTTCATGTCTAGCTATTCTCCAAAGCACCTGAGGGCATGACAAGAAGCAATGGGTAGAAACTAATCAAGCATAGAAGCAATCTAGAATTTAGGAGAAATTTCCTGACAATTAGAACAATTAATCAGTGGAACAACTTGCCTGCAGAAGTTGTGAATGCTTCAAAGCTGGAAGTTTTAAAGAAAAGATTGGACAACTGTTTGTCTGAAATTGTATAGGGGTTCCTGCCTGAGCAGGGTGTTGGACTAGAAGACCTTCCAACTCTGTTATTCTGTTAAACAGTTCATGGTTGCAGGAATTGGATATGTCTAGTTTGATGGAAAAAAAGGACTAGGGGTGACATAGCAGTATTCCAATATCTAAGGAGCTGCCACAAAGAAGAAAGATCAACCTATTCTCCAAAGCAACTAAAAGTAGGACAAGAAGCAATAGATGGAGACTAATCAAGGGAAGATCCAATCTAGAACTAAGGAGGAACTAGGTTGGGATTTCCTGACAGTTAGAACAAATAATCAGTGGACCTGTTCATAACATCAGAGAAATAATTTCTAAACTAAGAGGCTTTAATTATGAGCAATCATATTTCCTACTACCATTCCCACTATGGTAGGTGTCCATGTATGTGCGCCCCCCTTCGAGTCAGTGTTGACTCCTTGGGACTGCCTGGACAAGTTCCTGCAGTTTTCTTCATAAGGTTTCAGAAGTGGTTTCCCCTTGCCTATTTCCCAGGGCTGAGAGAGAAGTGACTGACCAAGATCACCAGTAGTAGGTTTCAATTTTTTTTACTACCGGTTCTGTGGGTATGGCTTGGTAGGCGTAGTATGGCTTGGTGGGCGTGGCTTGATGGGCATGGCAGGGGAAGGATACCTTAAAATCTCCATTCCCTCCCCAATTCAGGGGAAGGTTACTGCAAAATCCCCATTTCCTCCTGGTCAGCTGGGACTTGGGAGGCAGAGAATAGATGGGGGCGGGGCCAGTCAGAATTTTTACTACCGGTTCTCCGAACTACTCAAAATTTTCGTTACCGGTTCTCCAGAACTGGTCAGAACCTGCTGAAACCCACCTCTGAAGGTCATCCACCTGGCTTTGCCTCTAAAATGGGATTAGAATTCACAATCTCCTGCTTTGTAATCTGGTGCCTTAATCACTACCCCAAACTGGCTCTTTTACCAGTTGCATGAAGATAACGTATCCTACAAGTTAAGCTCTGTTCCTGATATCTATATGGACATATATATCTTGTTAGCAACAATATTGAGAAGATATATCATTAACTTCTCCAAGTTTTTAGAAGTCTCTGCCTAGCCTGGATTTCCTGTTGATTTTCTATTCAAGTACTAAGTAAATCCATTTGAGAATGGTTCTTGAGCTGAGGTTGACCAAGGGCTACCATCTAACTGTACATTCCATCACTGATTAATAAAGTTTTTTTCAAAAAAAAACTACTTACCTTCATGCCAGGTATGCCAGGAAAACCTGATGAACCAATTATACCGAGAGGACCCTATAAAGAAGAGATGTTGAGGATCAATGAGAAATACTCTAAATATTCTTGCAAGAGCATGAATTAAACCAGGTTTTCAGTGTGGAAGGGAGCTTTAAGGAGCAACATACTGATATATAGAAATAAAATGTTTATTTCATGCACACCTTTCTCATGGAAAAGTAATGATAAGACTTTTGACTATAATTTTATTACTAATATTTAACAATGTAATGTAATGGAATATTGTTTCATGCCAGGAAATGTTCTGTGGACATTTGGAATGATTAGCCTCAGGTCAGATGTGAGTAACATTTTCATTGGATTCTTTTTTCACATTTCTTTATGAATAAATGTAGACTTTTTTTAATGTGGGACAAAGTGAAACTGACAGATCTTTCTGCTAAGGGTTTAACTCATATCTGCAGTATTGGATCAGGATTTTCACCTATTTTTATCAGACTAATTCCTGATCTTTGAACAACCAGGCACACAGAAAGGACAGCCTGACTGCTTCCGTTGCAGCTTCCAAATTTGGGTGATAAAGAAAGAAAGTAAGCATTTTTCCTGTTAATTTCTGTAAAATAACTTGACAATATTTTCCAATTTATTTATGGGAAAAACAGAAAAATGTGAAGATATAGATATAGATATAGATATATAGATATAGATAGGGTGTGTGTGTGTGTGTGTGTTTTCTGAGGTTTTCGCGGGTGTTTGTATGTAGGTCTTTGGTTATTCGGGTTTTCTCCTGCGTAAAATTGGAAGTGTCTTGGCATAATATAAATATATATTAATGGTTGTAGAAGAAAGTGAAAATGGCAGATTTATCTACCCCGATCCTGTTCTCTCAGGATGACAACAAATGAAAACTTACATTTTGAACATTAATGCTTTCCACTTCAGTCTAACAAATAATCACTTCTGTATAAAATAATACTAATAATAATAAAAGTGAAGGCTATATAATTTAACTAATCTCAAAACTAATCTCAAGACAGTGAAAGTCCCAAAGGCACAGATTATAATGCAGAGTTTCAAAGAAATATGAAAGCATTAGATGAATGAGTTACTTTGAATATTAAGGGAGAAAACCCTGAAGGGGATTTACATCATGCCATCACATAGTTTGATAGTATAAAGCAATAGCAATAGCACTTAGACTTATATACCGCTTCACAGTGCTTTATAGTCCTTTCTAAGCAGTTTATAGAGTCAGCATATTGCCCCCAACAATCTGGTTCCTCATTTTACTGACCTCGGAAGGATGGAAGACTGAGTCAACCTTGAGCCAGTGAGAATTGAACTGCTGAACTGCTGGCAGTTAGCAGTCAGCAGAATTAGCCTGCAATACTACCCTGCAATACAATACTAACCTGAAATACTACATTCTAACCACTATGCCACCAAGGCTCAAAGCTAAAGCTGTTTTGTTTTTTGTTTTCCATTTAACCCAAGAGCTGGTGCAGGAGAGGTATATTAGGATTTTACTTTGAGCAGTTTTGTCCCTTGGCCATGCCATGGTTTTAAGCAACTTTGAAAAAATGATGATGAATACTTTCTGCAAATGGTTGAAAGTCTGTGTTGCTGCCAAAGAATTCCTCTATGTGGTTACAGGAAAAGAGAGTATTCTAATCTGGATCATTGCAGAGCAAATCTCTCTTCCTTATGATAAAATTCTAATATTCTCCCTAACTTTCATGCCAGTTAATGGTTTAAAGGCCAGACATATTACATCCAATTTAACCCAAGTGGTATTCTTTTGTTGTTTTTCTGCTAATTTTGATTCACTTTAGACAAAACGCTTTTGGCAGCAACAGAGCAACATACAAATATGTTTGTCTTCTACTCTAAGATGCTTTAATGGAGCTCTACTATTACTGCTTAGTAAACTGTAACAATTAAGCTCAGCGGCCAATGTTTGAAGTATGGAATCTTCAAAGTTGGGAGCTGAGTCAGCTGAGACATCTGCCAGTTTCACTTTTTCCCACATTGAAAAAAATATATATTCTATATTTATTCATAAAGAAATGTGAAAAAAGAATCCAATGAAAAATGTTACCCATTTCTGACCTGAGGCTACTGATGCATTCCCTATACAAGTTAAAAGGAGACAGAATTTGATTGACCATTCTCTTTAAATATTTCACTTCCTCAAAATAGACCTGGGGACTTTGAATTTCATAGTGCTTGGATGTCAGTGCAAGTCAAGTTGCGGAGAGGCAGAACAAATCTTTAGTACTGTTCAATGCTTGCAAAGCAGCTACAAAGTTCCATCCAAAGATCAGAGCAGAGTTGTAATACAAAATGTCACATTCCATGTCGTCTTGAATGAAGAATCGGACATCAGAGTCATTAGCAGAAATTATTATTACTGTATATCGCTTCCAAGACAATGTAGTCCATGGACAATAATCAAACATATACATCATACCAGCCACCTAACTTGAATATAAGTATTGAACAGAGTCTGTGCCACTGTTCATTTCTTCTACAGAAAAGAAGAATATCCTTTTTTAGAATAGAATAAAATTGCAATAGTGGTGAATATCTGTAGCTCAGCTGTAGGATGAGGGTGAAGGTTCATTCTCCAAGATTGTGGGTTGGTTACTGAATGTTTCGTTACCAGGCTAGGTAACATCTTCAGCAGAGTTTAGGGGATGTCAATGTCAATATTCTGTTTATAAGGGCTTCAGGTGTGAGTGTGTCAAGTGAGGGTTTTGTGATGGGTCAGCTGTGAGTCATCAGTAAATCTTGTGATGGGTCTTGTGATGGGTCTTGTGATAAGGAGATTACCTCAGGTCAGGGTCATTGGGAGGCGAATTGCTGGTGAGGGGATTGGTTGAAGGTTAGTGCTGTCTCTGGTTGACTATGCAGTTGATTTGGATGCTGAAGAGTTCATAGGCTGGTTGTAGGTCAAAGTGTCTGTTGGTGGAATTTCTTGTGGAGTGCCAGGCTTATATGAACTCATGAGTGTGGTGGGTGGTAGCATGGCCGATAATTTTTGTGTTGCTCCATTTGAACTGGTGCTGGTGTGGGACTAGATGAAAGATTTGGGATCGTAGCATTTGACTGCCAGCCGGTTTTTAATTGACATGATGTTTGTCCCACGTAGAACTGGTTGCAATGGCTACAGTTGATTTTATAGATTACATTGTTTCTTTTATCCTTCTGTATTTTGTCTCTGGTTCTGGATAATTCCTGGAATGTTTTATCTGGTGCATAAGCTCTCAGTGTCCATACAAGCAACAAGTGATCATAATCATAAAATACAATCATCATAAATCATAAGATACAACACTCATTGATAGTCATAAGATATTAAATAAACAAACAGCATAAATCATAATAGGATACTAAATAAAGGCAACATAAATCCTGAAATACAAACAATGAAGTTATATGACTATAATTAGGTAATAGGAAATAGGAAAGATGAAAAGATAATAGCTAATATGGCCCTACTAGGTGGTTTGACATCCTAGGGCATAGACAGTGTTGTAGGAATTAGTTGTTTAGCAGAGTGTTTAGCAGGGGCAGATAGTCCTATGTAGGTCCACTCTTCTGTCTTCCAAGTAGTGGAAAGATTTCTATTTGGGTTGTATAATGCTTTTTGTGTGTTTGGCTATTCTGAACAGTTAGATTGCTTAAGCAATCTCTGGACAGTGTTGTGCTGCAATAATAAACTTTTCCAAATCCTTTCAAATGTTCACTAGTCCCCTGTGATTTCTTTTTCTTTTCCTTGGCTGACTGGGCTCTTCTTGAAGAACAAGATGCATATTCCAGTATAAAATATTGTCCGGAGTAAAGGATGTGTCTCCTGGCAATCTTAATAAGAAGAATGATCTGTTCCAGAAATGATTGACTATGGGAAAATTATTTGGTTTCTGGCCTTGTATTGGATTTTATTCAAAGCATCCCTGCAAAATCTCATCTTCTTTCAAGTTATTAGCCATTTGTGTCTTCCTTTAGAAAGTTGGAGGCAAAAGAACACAATCCACACACAAAGGAGAGTTGCAGAAAGACAAAGGATTTGGGAGAATAACAATAATGAAATCTCAAAAGGGAAATGAAAAAACAGAAACAACACGGCAAATGTCGCCGACTGGGTGCCAAATTAGATAAAACGCTGTTCTTTGGTTGAACCCTGTTGCCTCTAGTCAGGACAGATTCCTAATCTAGATCAAGAACATCTTACCAGGGAAGGGAGGTTTAATTTATTCTCCTTCATTTTTCTACTGAGATTTACACACTTTCACACCGAAAAGAATACATTTTGTAGCAAGATTAAAGATAGGCCTGACTTGAATCCTAATGTGTGTTTCAATCACCTGAATCATATACGGGTAACATTCATGGCAAGGATAGGGTGCAATGTTTGATTATGCTTTTTTATATATTAACAATGAAATCCATTTTTCACCTCTGGATGCTGCCATGACCAAAATATCTGGACACAACTTGAGCACAATGGAGAAATACAGTAGATCTAGGGGAATATTTTTCAATCTTGGCAACTTGATGATGTCTATCTTTAACTCCCGGAATTCCATGCTGGGGAATTCAGGGAGTAGAAGCCCACACATCTTCAAGTTTCAAGGTTGAGAAACATCTATGTAGGGAAAGTCTAGGATTTGCAGTGATTTATCAAAAAGTCAGGTTTTGGAGGGGGGGATTAGGGTTAGAAATTGGATTTTCTGTTGGGAAAAGATGAGGAAACAGAAAAACAGTTTGAATAGAGAAAAGCCACAGGAAATCAAACAATTATTTTCTTTTATTGTGATGTTGTGTTTCCTTATGTTCAAATTACCTTTGCTTCAAATTTCCCAATCATTCTTTTATTTTAATAGTAATTCATGTATTAATGTACACTTTCTTCTACTGACATTATTGTTCAGTGACAATATGACTCAATCTATCCAACACATTTAGGTTTTTTTCCTGATCTTGTGAAAACATATGGCACATTTCTGCACACTGGTTGTCAGGCTCACTCTGCTTCAGCCAACTCTGGAGACAGATGAAAGGAGATTTAATTTGGAATTATGTAGTGCTAATGGTTATCAGCCATGTATATATATGTGCATATTTACATACATATTTTAATTTTTGTGATGTTTTAGTCTACTATATATTTCCTTCTTTTTGCCATTTAAAATTCTTTCACAAACTATCTCTTATTGTTATCTTATGATTTATCACATGTTTGTATGATTAATGAGTGTAACTATGATTTATGATCTATGACTTATCATTTTGTTGTTTGAATGTACATTGAGAGCTTATGCATCAGTGTCAAATTCCTTGTGTGTTCAATCACACTTGGCTAATAAAGAATATTCTACTCTACTCTACTCTACTCTACTCTACTCTACTCTACTCTACTCTACTCTACTCTAAAGAATAGTCTATTCTATAAAATAATAGCTGTTAAATTAATGTTATTGATTCATTAACCTGGTCAAATCCATTCTGGACATAATCCACAACATATTAACTTGGAAGGCAGAAAGGAGGGAAGAAAGTTCTAAGTTTCGTGCTTGCTGAATGGCTGCTTGAAAGTGTTCCACAATTTTTTTTTTAAATGCAGCTTTCATCATATTGCAAGCTTTCTACTGGTTACCTGAAATTCAATCTGAACTCTATATTACATCTAAAGTGGATCAGGTCCTTACAATGCAGTGATGACAACGCTCATAATGCACCCATGTTCACCCACACCCATGCACATGCAGAAAGGATTCCTTTGGTCATCAAGCTTTTTAGAATTGTCTACTGGCAATGACTGAGGAGGCCTCGCTATGGCGTGATGAGACAATTTTGGAAAGGGAATTGAGTATACAGAGTGGCTCACATTTGAAGACTTAATTGCCTTGTGGGGTTGGATGTCTCTTGAAGAGAAATTTCAATACATGAGAAGGCATAGTCCTTTCTTCTCTAAGGATGTATTTTTCCCCAACTGTCTCCCTGCACGCAGCAATTATGGCTTTAAAAATTGTCCACTGCTGCCAATAAAAACTTCTTAAAAGCCTAGTTGTTTTAGACAACTAGACAGCTGTGGGCCAGATGGAAACAGCCCTCAATGTTACATCTGGTCTATGAGGATTTATCTAGAGTGAAGAAGTGGGTTGAATTAATACAAGAGTAAAGTAAGTACATTCCACTAAACATTTCTTCTCCGTCAGGAAGAAGCAACAGTATGTATGAGTTGAGTTTGTTTAAACATTTCCAGAAAGCAACTAGTGAACGCTAAAGGTGTTCTCCTCTTTTTCCCCACAACACCGACCCTCTGAAGTGAGTTGGGCTGAGAGAGCCAGCACCTTCACCACTACATCAAATTGCCTCTTTCTTTTCCTGCTACTTCACAAATAAGTAAATAAATAAATAAATAATCCAGGTTGAACATGTTATAGGTTTTGACCCTGAATTTGGCTGGTCAACAGTTCCTGATGCCTGCAAAGGTGTCCCATAAACTGTTTTACCTAAGATACTATTTGTGCAACTACTGAACACACATAGGAACTGTTTTGCCATAAAATGTAGTTAGCAGTTTGCTTGTTTGTTGTCTTGTTTATGCAAGAAATAAGGTGGTTACTTAGTTTTCCTCCTTTCTTTTCTGTATTTCTGAACAAAAAAAAATAATTTAAAATTCTACCCTTTTTTTTTTGCAAACTTTGGTAACTGTTTTACCATTATATCTAATCTCCACTACCTGTACAAAAAGCTCTAAAAGAATATTTAAAGGACATCTTAGAGATGTTTCTATGTATTTACAGATGGTAGTGGAGTAAGTGTAGGTTAGGGTTCTCCAACATGTTCAATACTATTGTCACACACACACACCAAGGTTTAATTGCCTAATTGTTTAATTGTGATCCATTGCCTTTGTTGTTGTTGTTATTTATGGTACTATTAGTTAAAATAATATTATTTTCTTATTTTCTCATATTTAATGTTTGGAGTTGAACAAAAGGAAGGGAGGGAGGGAGGGAGGGAGGGAGGGAGGGAGGGAGGGAGGGAGGAAGGAAGGAAGGAAGGAAGGAAGGAAGGAAGGAAGGAAGGAAGGAAGGAAGGAAGGAAGGATTGATTTTATCTTTTTCCCCACCGCAAATCTATAAGATACTTTGCACTGGGAGAGAGTGACTAGCCCAATGTCACCCAGTAAATACCATAGTGGATACTGAAATCCAGGTTTTGCAGTCCGAGACCAATAGTAAATAGTTCTGTTTTGCTGAGAGCATGGTTCTGTAAAATATCTTAATAAATTATGACGTTATGAATTGCAAATCTGTCAAATCCACGTAATGAAAATGAGGATTCCAAAGAGATACTTACCGCTGGTCCTGGTTTCCCAGGCATACCATGTGAACCACGAGCCCCCTAAGAGAAAAAGAAATAAAATTACAAGGTAGAAGTTTGATTATATAACCATGATTTCCAACGGGACATTGATTGCTACAAGGGATATCAAAGAAATATGCCACCAGTTTCTATGAGGAACAGAGAGGCTCCATCACTGCACATGTAACTCAAGACAGAGGTTGATTTCTCATTGATTACAAAGTCTTCTTGCAGGGAAGACTGAAGTTGTAAGCACATTTCCTTGGAAATAACTTGGCATAGAAAAGTCATCCCCTGTTATTTTCTTAACTACTTCAGGGGAAAGTGTTGTGTTTTTTTTAACAGAACAGAAGTAGTCTTCTTCTTCAATGTGGTTCAGATTATTTTCAGCTGCTACTAACATATAGGTCTGCACTGATAATTGCTGTTCTCTTTCTACATGAGGGGTCTAAAAAGCCATTAGAAATCCCCAATGCTTTTTAGTTGCTTTCTAGTGCAATTGGCCAAAACTGAGTGTTTCCAAAATTAGCTATTAACTAGAAGTCAGATTTAAAGTGATCAGCAAGCAGAGATATTTAAATCAGGATGGCTTAACAAGCTGCTTCAACAATTACACTGGCTTTATATACGTTATTGTACAAAAAACAGTTACTTACTGGAACGCCCTGTGGTCCAATTCGACCTCTTTCTCCTGCCATCCCTCGGGGACCCTGGAGTCAATAATACCAAAAGAAAAAGATATTAGTCCAAAGTTAAATAGGAAGTGGAGATCATCTGCTTGTAATTCTCCCCAACTGTATGACTGACCTATAATTTCCTTTATCCACCCCAAAACAAATATTATCTGGGCAGTCAGCATAAAAAGAATAAAAGTTCAGTGAATCTTAGGTAAACATACAGACGCACCCAAGCAGTTCAGGAAATCGAATTTAAAACATCTTTTAAACAAGACAGAAGCATTATGAAGTAAACATGTTGTGTCTAACATTTTTTTCTATGAAAGGAACAGCTAGGAAGATGCAAAGAAAATTGCTTAATAGATGCCTACACTAAGAATACTCTTCTGAGGCAATATATAACACGTATGGCATCTCCAATTTGGTGTTAATTATTAGGCAGGTGCATAAAGGATGAGACAATCTATCGTCATCCTATCATGACATCCAGTTTCAATTAAATGCAATTAATGTGAAAGAAAGAGCAGATACAGGGAAAAGCAGAGTCAATCACCATTTAAGGTCAATGATGACAGAAGAGGTATAATACATTAAAAATTATAATACAATATAGAGGCATAATATAAGACCAGATAATGTATCTGCTTTTCCTATAGCAGGGGGATCAAACTCAAGGCCCGTGAAAAAGGAAAGGATTGGCCCGCGGTGCCTCTGCCAGCAAAAACAGAGCTTGGAAGGGCCACGCACAGCCATTCCAGGCTTCATTTTCAGCTGCGACGGCCTCCTGCAGCCCTCTGCCAGTGAAAATGGAGCTTGGTGACCCCCCCCCCAAAGCATTATTTTCACTGGTGGACGGTTGCAGGAAGCCATCGCAGCAGAAAATGGGGTCCAGGAGCCCGTTTTTGCTGGCAGAGCACTTGAGCCACCACAGGCACCCCTGACACAAGTGAAGTCATGCTGGCCAGGCCCCCCGAGGTCAAACACAATCTTGATGCAGCTCTCAATGAAATCGAGTTTGACACCTCTGCCCTATAGCAACAATGGTCATGGATGAAACTGAGGGAGACTTGAGTTCATAGAAAAAAGTTCTTCCCCTGGTATATGGAAAGTAAGTTATGTTGTCTTCGTTTTTTAAAAAACAAAAACAAAACCTCCTTGCATTCTCTCAGTTACTACTACTTCAAGGCCCAATCTGTCTGATTGTCTCTGTAGAAAATAAATTACTAGTATAGCTTCTGTAGTAATTAACTTTTTCCACCTTAAAAAAAAACATCACCCCTTTGCTCAGTTTTCTTACAGTTTGGATGGCAGCTGGTATAGATTGCCATCCCAACTAATTTTATGACCCTGGGGTCTAAAACGAAAGCAACTGAACAAGAGAGCTGAATGAAGAAATAAAATGGACTGAGATATTTCGTCAATAATTAGACTAAAACTATAGTTATACAATAATAACAAAAACTACAGGAGGGAAAAAAGAAAATAATTGTGAATAATGAATATGATACACTCACCATAGGACCTGTTGCACCCATCTGCCCTGATGGACCTGATTCACCCTATACATTGAGTGGGGGAAAAAATAGTTTATTCAAACTTAGGGACCCACATTTCAGCAACAAAGCAAAAAGCAAAATACACCTTGCAATAATCCCTCATCGTATAATGAAATTAAAATGTAATATATACCCCAAATAGAAATGGGGGTTTTTTTCCGGTGAGACTGGTCTATCAGGGCAACCTAGTCTACCCAAATGTGGGATGGAGCATACTGCTTCTGCTTTTGCCTTTCAGTCCCAATCCAGGAGCCTTGGCAGGCAATCGCTTTAGCGACAAACTATTTTTGTGTTGGATTTATTTGTCGGTAAAATACAAATTCTTCCAAATAGAAGATAGTTGGAAATTATTCCAAGCGAAATATCAGATATTTGTGAGGTTTTGTCATATCATTTTGATGGCTTCTCCTTCTTCGTCTACTGATCCTTCAATGACATCTTCTAACATATACATGAAATGTATTGTTCAAACTAGATGGCCTTGTGAGAGTGAGGGATTCTTGAGGACAAATTTAAATATCTTAGAAGGGATGGTTCCTTCTTCTCAGGAATTTATTCCATCCCAATTCTTTTCAAATGGAAGGTTATATTTTTAAAAGGTATCCACTGTTGCCAATGAAAACTTTTTAAAAGCCTAGTTATTCCAAAGGCTAGACAGCTGTGGACCAGATGAAAATGTTACATCTTCATTCTGCCAGTATTTCTCATGTGTGAATTTCATCTAACCTTGCAACAGTGAGAGCATCCTTCTGTGAGTTTCTCTGCAATATTTTTGTCACCTAGCTACAAGCAAACTTTGATGAAACTCTTAACATATAGTTCTTTTTGGCTTTATCTAGATTAAAGAAGGCAGTTAAATTAACAGAAGGATAAAGTAAATCTATCATACTAAAACTTTCTTCTTCATCAGGAAGAAGCAACAATATGCATGAATTGAGTTTATTTAAATCCAATTTTAACCCTCCTAGAACTACTTCTATTGAATAGAACTAATAATACTCAATATTGTCATTTTGTCTATTGCTAAACATAAAGAACTCAAGGATCCTGTCTGATTGGCTACTTGTTATTTACTTGTTTTATTTATTTACAACATCTATATAGTTGTCCATCTTTCAACCAACTCTGACTGACTTCTAGTGAATACTTATTTTTTTTTCTCTCTACCCTTACTACAGCATAAGTAAGTAAGTAACTACATGATAAAACCAGGGTCTCTTTTTTTGGCTCTAAACTTAGCTGCTTGCATGATTTATGCCACTTCTGAATAATAATTATTTTTGACATACTTTTTTGCAAACACATCATGCATCATGATGTGAAGTTTCTTCCATAACTTCTCTAAAAGTATACAATGCATCTCATAACAGTTGAAGCAATAGAACAATAGTATTTTACTACATGGCAAAAAAAGGTACAAAATTTACCTTAGATCCATGGGCTCCAAGTTCACCTTTAGGGCCATCAAGTCCTTTCTCTCCCTGTGATGTAAATATAAATCCACTCAGCAATTGCAGTGGCATATAAATCCAGTAAAAAACAACAACAGACAAATAATTTTGAAGCCATATTCACCGAACAAAGTGAAAAAAAAGAATCAAAGATTTTTTTTTAATTGCAAAAGAATACATGTCAACTCTTTCATTAAGAAAGAAGATATATTCACACTTACTCTAGGGCCCTTTAGACCTTGATGACCTGGTGTACCAGGAAAACCTCGAGCTCCCTGAAACAGAATGAGAAAATCCACAATTATATAATGAAACAAGATACTTCTTCATTTCAAGTCAGACTACTGTCAAATCCTCCTTCCTGTCCCCATAGTATAGATCAGGGGTGTCAAACTGGCAGCCCATGGGCCGGATGCATTACGTGCAGGCCACACCCACCCCGGCTCCGCAAAAGGCAAAAAACATTGTGTATGTCATGTGACGCGATCAAGTTCGACACCTGTGGTATAGATTTTTGTACCACCTATCTATCCACAGATACAAATTGCCAATAGTCATTTGAACCATGTATGGGCTTTGCATGTAAGAAAGATATGCAGGGATAAATGTGGTTCTCTCTACATCTTCTTAGTGGCCTCTTAACATAATAATGAGAGAACCGAGTGCCCTAACCATGACATTTTTTTAATTATCCAGCACATTTGTGTGGTAACGAATCTCCTTTATCCCTGAAAGTATATGTCAAATTACATACTGCATAATGTACATAAGGAGCGTTTAATACAGATTTCTTCTTCTTCTTCTTTTGACTATGTGTGAATGACAAGGAAATTCAAAATGGAGACAATAAGGGCAGAATTATTAAGTTCCCAGATGCAAGGATGGTAATATGTAATCCATTACATTTTAACCTTCAGAATCTTGGAAGTGACACCAACTTTTTTTTTACTACCATGTTTCCCCGAAAATAAGACTTGGTCTTATATTAATTTTTGCTCCAAAAGATGCATTAGGGCTTATTTTCTGGTTAGGTCTTATTTTGGGGGAAATACGGTACTAAATGCATCCATCTGGCTGACAATCTTAACTGAGGCTTATTTTGGGGGTAGGGCTTATATTAGCATCCTGAAAAGTCATACTATGACTTATTTTCCGGTTGGATCCTATTTTCAGAGAAACAGGGTAGGTTCTTTATGAGATGAAAATGGTGAAATATTAAATACTTGGTGCAAGAAGAGGTAACAAATTGAAATATGAGGATTGAAATACACAAACACTGGAAAACATCACATATGAATACTACAGTTGCATATGCCCTGAAGAATTATAGAACAATTGAATGATGGGAGAAGATTTGAGGTACTTGGCAAAGGAGAAAAGGAAAGAGGCTCACAGATAAAATAAAGAAGGGAGGCAACCAACTTTAAAAGGTAAATAAACAGGCATTTGTAGAAGCCACAAATTAACATTCTGGCATTAATATAATGCACACCTGAGCTTTCCACATTACAAAATCTTAGCTTCAGGATGCAAAATTATATCCAAATTTCACTGCTTATGCTTAAATAAAAAATAACTTTGAAAAGCTTCAAAGGAAGTAGCAGATGATAATCTCAAAAAAGAGGGGGGGGAATGAAATTGCAGAACTTCTTGTACAATATCCTGTGAAAGCCTTTTAGTTCCTACAGAGTTGAACGTATTTTCTTCAAGAGTGTGGAAAAAAAGTACCATTTAGTAAGTGGGGATCTCTTCTCTCCTGTGATCTGATCAGAAAGCAACTAAAGGCATTACCCAAACTGAAACAGCTTGATTTTAAGTGTCTTAGCTTTTCTGTTCATTTTTCCCCAGGGCAGATCATTCACCAGATATGCTGACTTCCAAAACTTGCCAGAAACCCAAGCCTATCTTTTACAGGTCTTTGAAATGGCTTGAGATTAATGATTAGTCATTACCTTCAAAAATATTTGCATCTTTTAATGTTTATTTATTTGTCCAAGTTTTCAAAGGATTGTATCTGAAGTTTTTTCTTTTAATTTAGGTTTATTAATAAATAAAATAAATGGTGAAGCACACCATGGAAAAAACTGAGTTATCAGGGCCTTGGAGTTTTTATACCTAGCAGTAATATAAGTTGAGCTGTTGCTGTTCTTTAGCTTAACAAAATAAGAGAGTTGGAAGGGACCTTGGAGATCTTCTAGTCCAACCCTCTGCTCAAGCAGGAAAACCTGTACCATTTCAGACAAGTACTTCTCCAATCTCTTCTTAAAAAACCTCCAGTATTGGAGCACTCACAACTTCTGGAGGCAAAGTATTCTACTGGTTAATTGTTCTCACTGTTGGAAAATTTCTCTTTATTTCTAGGTTGGTTGTCTCCTGGGTTAGTTTCCATCCATTGCTTCTTGTCTTGCCTTCAGGTGCTTTGACACTGCTATTATGTCACCCCTAGTCCTTCTTTTCATAAAACTAGACATTCCCAATTCCAGCAACTGTTCTTCATATGTTTTAGCCGCCAGTCCCCTCATCAACTTTGTTGCTCTTCTCTGCACTCTTTCTAGAGTCTCAACATCTTTTTTTATATTGTGGTGACCAAAACTGGATGCAATATTCCAAATCTTACCAAGGCATTATAAAAGTGATACTGAGACTTCACGTGATATTGATTTCATCCCTCTGTTAATGTAGTCTGTGTTGGTTTTTTTGGCAGCTGCAGCACACTGCTGACTTATATTTTTAAGTGGTTGTCCACTAGGACTCTTGCAATTACTACTATTGAGACAGGTACTACCTATTCTATATATATAGCAGGAAAGCATGCTGCTATATATACATGCAACCTGGGACTATTTATGTGAGATTCCTAACTCAACAATGTAGAACTGTCTGCACAACAATATGGGCATCCTGAGTGATTTTTAAGGCCAGTTTTAAGCATTTCTCATTCAATTCTGAAATTTAAATGCACATGCAAAACAATGAGAGAAAATGTGCCACTGTGGTTTTGCCTGATTGGTCAGGAAATATACATCTTTATAATCAATATAGCTTTGGAATTTGTCCTGTCTATTATGCACAGTTCTATAGGTTTGCTTGGAAAACAATCCATTTTTGAACCAGCAATCTTAAAACAGAATTGTTTAAAGCTTTCTTCTAAAACCTTTATATCATAGGATTCTTTCAAAAGTGCTACTGTATTGTATTTCACAGGATAGCAGATCACATACTTACTTGGAATGGAAGAGAATAATAATTTTGCATTGACTGTTCAATGAGAGAAAAAGTTAGGAGTTTCCTGACCAAACTGGCAAAGTGACACCTACCAGTAGTAGCCATTTTTCTACTGGTTTGTTCTAACATTTTTGTTGTTTTGCTTCACGTTTTTGCTTTTGGAAATTTACTAACAAATATTTTTCTGTAATTTTGTTTAATGATAATACTTAGTATGATATGCTTTTTTTCATGCTGATCAGAAATCATCAATATAAACTATTGATCTTCACGGAGGATAGAGACAACAGAGAAAACTTCTGGCTCATCCTGATATAATTACAGGTAGATCACAATTGAGCCCAAGATTTCTGTTGTTAAGTGAAATACTTGTTAAGTGAGTTTTGCCCCCTTTTATGACCTTGCTTGCCACAGTTGTTAAGTTAGCAACATGGTTGCTAAGTGAAGCTGGCTTCCCCATTGACTTTGCTTGTGAGAAGGTCACAAAAGGGGATCACATGACCCTGGAACATGCAATGGTCATAAATATGAGTCAGTTGCCAAGCATCCAAATTTTGATCACATGACCATGGGGATGCTACAATGGATGTAAGTGTGAAAAATGGCCATAAATCTTTTTTCAGTGCCTTTTTTCAGTGCCATTGTAACTTTGGATGCTCACTAAATGAACTGTTGTAAGTCGAAGACTACCTGTATAAGTCTATACTATATACTTATACTATACTTATACTAGCAAGTATGCTAGTATAGCATATATAGTATAGCAACTATGATACATACTGATACTCTCCATATGAAAATTCTTTGTCTATTTAGATGCATTTCCTCAGTGCATTGCATTAACATTCAGTTTGCAACAGAAACTCTATGGATATGGATGGATACATCTTTTGATCTTTTACATGTTGTTTTTCACATTTAAGACCATTAGTCAAGAAATATAGGTGAATATTTTTTTTTCATTCTTATCTTTTATCCCCAGCTCTCCTTCCTAGGCTAACAATATAGTTTCCAAAGATAAAATCTCTTGCACCTTCTAAAAACCAGGTAAGTTTAAGAAATTAAGCTAACAGGATACAGGCCTTTTATTTATTTTTTTCTTGTTTCAAAAAGGTACACTTCTTGATGACACATATACATTGTGTAAGTGCAGCCTAGGATCCTTTACAGATTTATTCCAAATTTAAATGTATGGTTTGTTCAGAAGAACAAATAATTGTACATACTGGAGATCCTGGAAATCCAACTTCCCCAGGTTGTCCTGGTCTGCCAGATTCACCCTAAAAGAACAAAACAATAAAGTCATAAAACCCCAAAATAAAAGCAGAGGTTGATCTGATTGGGTTGCTGCTGCCAAGAAGGGAGGGTGTTGGTTACATGTTGTGGTTTTTAATGTTGTAAGACACCTGGAATCACCTTGTGTGAGTTAGGCACCCTAGAATTTCTTTAGTAAATGAATAGATAGTGTTCTAATATCTTGCACAACAGTGAGTTTCTTTTCTCTGAAACATGTTATCGTCATTCAGCCTGAAGGCATGAGAAACTCTTGAAAGTTTATTTCTTCAAAAATAATGCATTTTGAATATTGTACCAATATTTTCAAAAATAAATATAAATATGTGTAACTATTACCAACCAAGGTTTCTGTTAACCCACATGTAACACTCTAGTCATTTATAATAAGTGTACATCTCTTTTCTTTGAAAACATCAGCAATAGTAGGTAAGTCAAGGTTCCAAGAGACAATGAAGTTATATTAGAATGTAGCAATTGCTCTACTAATGAAGGCTATCTCACTATGGAGTTGTTGATTGTAGTAAAAACCAACAGCAGATTATGCTTCAGAGTACTATATATGTCTTCCACTGTCATAAAGCACAATTTTGTTTTATTGAAAACTCTCTATAATAATTTTCTGTGCCACATACCACATTATACCAGAGGATAATAGTTTTCAGAGTTGAGTTACAATGGATTGCGAGGAATGGCTCAAAATCAGGCAACTTGTCATGCAGGAGCAGCTACATTTTTCACTAATACAAAATCTGTGTTGGATCAAGCCCACTGTATTCATGTAACTAAGGGTAAGCCAATATTCCATATTTTAATGGACCATTGTATATGTGTGAAAATGGTTGCAGTATTATTTAGCCACCAATGTCAGTGACTGGTGTAAAATAAAATAACCATGATTTCCTCCCGATTTAGGCAAGGAATATTTAGTATTGAAAATGTTCAATTTAGTACTGAAACTAGATCAAAATTTATTGCATCACATTATTATATGGTTGACTATGCCACCTTTCCTCAATCTAATATCATCTGGACATCTTAGGAAAAAATTCCCAGAATTCTGAGCCGGTAGAAGTTGAATCTCAATATATAGGAAGGTTAGCAGGTGAAGGAAGGGGATTTTTTTTTAACATAAATGCTTGCTTTATTATTAAAACAGAGAAGTGAAAAACAGGATTTCATTTAGTGACTGCTCCCCTCTAGAACTTCCTGACCAAAGAAGTTTCTTTTGCTAGTGTTTAAGATCCTTTCAACAGATGGTACAGAATCTTATTTTACAAAAAATGTTTTATGGGTGACAGTTGCCTTGACATAAGCTTCCTTGCTCTGCTAAATAAACTAAATGTTTTCTGATGATTATTATGTAACGTGCCTAGCACTGTTGAGAAATCTATTTTAAAACTTACATCTTCACCAGGCTTTCCTGGAGGACCTTCTGGGCCACGAACACCAGGTGAACCCTAGTAGAGAAAAGATGCACATTTACAAAACATTAAGAAGTTAAATGACATTTTAAAATGCTTAATGCAGAAAACAAATACAACATAAAATTAAGCAATCAAAATTGTATACAGCTATTTTGATAAGAAATTTGTTCCCCAGACTGATCAACATAACTTCTGAAAAAATTGTGACATACCACAACTTATAAAGCTCTATTATACTACTTCCCCACCACTAGGTAGTATGTGCATAATTGACCTTACCATGGATCCTGGGTCACCAACTTCACCTGGAGCACCTGGAGGCCCAATAGGACCCTAAAACATAGATAGATAGATAGATAGATAGATAGATAGATAGATAGATAGATAATAGATAGATAGATAGATAGGTAGGTAGGTAGGTAGGTAGGTAAGTAGGTAGGTAGGTAGGTAGGTAGGTAGGTAGGTAGGTAGTAGGTAGGTAGGTAGGTAGGTAGGTAGATAGATAGATAGATAGATAGATAGATAGATAGGATAGATAGATAGATAGATAGATAGATAGATAGATAGATAGATAGATGCATATATATTAGTAATGAGGCAAATCAGGACAATGATGTAGCCTATCAATTAATGAAAACAATCCACAAAAATAAATGCAATATATTATAAGAATTAAGATAGCCTCGGTCCAGAATTGATTATCCATAATCCTATTTTCTTAATTTGTAATTTTGTAAAAATAATTTTATTCTTTCATCATCTCTAGAGCCTGTGAGACAAAAGAAACTGAAGTTGAACCCAACCAAAACAAGTTAACTTTTGTTCAAGTTTCTTTGAGGTTTTCAGTCATGACTCTTGATACAATAGCACTACCCCTGAAAAAGCAGTTCATTGGGAAATTTTCTGGTTGGCTGGGAGTGAGAAATATTGTTCTGCTCTAGCTCTATCTGGAATTAAAGGAGGACTAATGCCTTCAGTATTTACTTCTCTGGACTAGACTACCACAATGTGCTCTACATGGGGCTTCCAAAACTCCCTGGAAGTTTCAATTGGTCCTGAATGCAACATTCCAATTGTTAGCTGGTATAGGTTAACATGAGAGTGTGACACCTATTTTCTAAAGCCTAACTCTCTACTGACCCCTTCCCATATCCTTCTTAATGTGCTGGATTTAACTTTTAAAAGGCAAATGGCTTGACACCAAGGTCCTAATGGCTTTTTCTTCTCCAACTGATTTCAACCTGTTCAAATGATATATCTAAAGAGAGCCCCCTTTCTATGACATGAGGAGAACAGAGGCATACAGGTGCTGCTGTTGCTGTGCCTGTGTTTCGGAATAGCCTCCTTCCAGAAGTTTGACCAGTTTCTCCTTTGTTGGTTTTCTTCAAGTTATTAAAAAGTGAGTTGTTCCAGGGAGCATTTATGGAATGAAATCTCACTAACAACTGTTTGGTCCTGTAACTATATGTCCATTACTGCTGACTACTTATGTTCATTTTCTTTTCATTCACCCATTCATCCATTCATCCATTTATCCATTCATCCATTCATCCGTCCATTCATCCATTCATCCATTCATTCATTTTTGTATGGCCATCCATCTCACCAGGTAATGCTGGGCAGAAAATAATTTTAAAAATAAATAAAAACAATGACAATAATGTAAAAATCAAAATACATAGGAGGAGAAAGGTGTGCTGGCTATGTTTGCAGTTCTTGAGCTATTTGTAAAAAGAAAAACATAAACAAACCAACGAATGAATAAATGCAAGACTATACCTCACATCACAAATTGTTAAATTAAACAAGAAACGGTCCCTGCACAGACTTGGGTTTTTACTGTGTATTATATATTTTTTATTGTGTTAATTGTAACTTTGTATTTCATTTGTTTTGCTTTTATTTTTGTCTTGCTTGCAGAGCTAAAGGGTCTCTAAGAGTGCAGCAGACATAAATAAATACAATAAGAGGGCAGACACGAGCCAGGAGGGTAAATAATGAAAAGTGTGTGATAATATTATTCAAATTTTGTGACTTACTGTATGTATTTGGGTCACATATCATGACATCAGTATTCAATTTTGGTATCATTACTGTATACTATGAATGCCATTGATGGTATGATATATATATATATTATTTAGAAAAACTAGAACAAGGGGCAAACCTGTAACTCACCATCCCTTTTGCAATAACTTGGCATGCAAGCTTTATGCAAATTAAGCTTTCTATTTGCAGTGCCGCTCCTAAGTAGAGATGTGAATTACTCTACCTCTACTTTAGATCAAGCAAGAGTTGTGAGTACATCTGCTTCAAGATAAGCTATGGATAATATTAACTGTGGTTTGATTCCTGAAATTAGCCACCTTAAACCTACATTGTGAGTTATAAAGCTGGTGTATTTCAACAACTTTTAAGATAACCCATGCATATAACTTAAACTGTGAAGAAGAATAAAATGTAAACAAATTATTTCAGGCACCACCTTGTAAAATGAGGAGACATGGAACATACAAACTCAAAAATTATTCCCTAATGGTAAATATAATTTAGCCTACTCGAATATGGCATCATCAAACACATCAGCTTTAACTTCCATAACCCACAAGTCAGCATGACCTGTATGTCTGGAGGGCACCAAATATAGTCAGTATATTATAATTTTAATTACATGCAAATATTTTTTTTTGAAACAAGTTACTTACTTGTTTCCCATGATTACCTGGAGCTCCTCTTGGACCCACAGGACCCTAGGAAGAAGGACATATAATCAAATAATAATGAGAACTAGTGCGGAAAAGCACCATGCAGGCATCATGTTGTCAAAAGAAGTTTAAAAAGACAAAATGCAAAGAAAATTATGAAAAAAATATATATTAGAATTTCAATATAATTGTTAAAATATATGCCAAGAAAGTCAGTAGAGAAATTGCAGCCTTAGGTGAAACAACTACTCTATATATTTCAGTAACTAAGAACTTCTGATTCCGCCTTTAGTCCCAAAGAAGAAAAGAACAGACACCTCCCAAAAAATATAATAATATTAAAGCTAGTTTATGAACATAAACATTGCCATGAAAGAACATTTTGATTAAAATTATTTAAAGAGCTTTCCCTTTCTCTCATATAAAACACATCCAAGTCACCTAAATAAAAATAAATATTGTTTGTTATCATACTGCATTATAATCTCTCTTACTATTCTCCAGTTGATTAAATTTATTTAATTCCAATAGTCAGTATCTAGTCCTATGATGGTGAACCTACGGCACGTGTGCCAGAGGTGGCACGCAGAGTCCTCTCTGCTGGCACATGCGCCATCGCCCCAGGTCAGATCTCCGTGTCATTTCTTTCATGAACTTTGGTTTCCCTGCAAACACAAAACAGAAGCTCACGAAAGAAAAAGATCTTACCTCTTGCCGCATTGCTGGTGTTGGGATGCCCTGCCTCCCACCGTCCAGCTGGTCTTTGGGTCTCTGCTGTGCATGTCTATGCATGTGCATGCACAGACATGTGCATGCACACATTTGTGCATGTCTGTGCATGTGCATGCATGCATGTGCATGTCTGTGCATGCACACATTCGCACATGTCGGTGCATCTGTACATTCACACGCATGAGCGCACCTTTCAGTTTGGGCATGTATGCACGTGTAGTTTGGGCACTTGGTGTCTAAAAAGTTCGCCTTCACTGATCTAGTCTACTATTACTATTATATTTAAAATTTTCTTGTTTCACAAATTTCATACAATATTGAGTATAACCTCTAAAAACAGCAACATGAATTTTTCCACATAAAATACCTGAACCTTTATAGTGCCAGCCAATACATATACAATTTCTTTCTTAGATTTGGATTTACATATCCAACAAACAAAACCTTAAATATTTGCCCTGTGTCATTTCTATTCATGAAAGGCCAACTGGCCAACATTTTAGAGATTCTTGAGATTTTATGCAGTTCGTACTTAAAGTGAGTCAACCTGACTCTTATTTCTTAAAATAATGTTTAAGAATATGTATATCCTTTTAATTAAGCAACTTTTGTGATAAGATGCTTTTATATTACTAACAACATACTTTGCTATTAAAATTATATTGTATATGCATATTTGTATATGTGTTTTGTAGTTTAATACTGAAATAGGCTCTTGAAAAGATACAAGTGAATTGGACTAGAATGAACATTAACTCTTTGATCCATCTCAAATGTGGACAGTCTACAGCCAGGTGGTTAAAAGTTAATTGTTCTCAAATAGCAAAATGTGAAAGTTAAGTAATGCGATTTTACCTTGAAAAATTGGCATAAAGATTTCCATATTTTCCTTCAAAATGTTCTCAAGGTTGCTTCTTCAGGGGCAAAAATTCATTTTATAAAAAATGTGCAACCCCTTGATTGGAAAACATTGTCCACCTTTCATTTTTCTAGAATTCACTAGATATTTAGTCTTTTGTCTTTAGCCTTTGGGCTATAAATTCTGACTTTAAATTTCAATCCCAACATCTAAATCTATGGAAACTGCTGCAATGGGAAGAGCATAATCCATTTACCACACATAGAACACAGAATAATGGCAAATTACTTTACAGAATGAAAAGTTCAGAAAAGCATTTAACAGGGTAACAGAATATCAGAGTTGGAAAGGTCTTCTAGTCCAATTCCCTGCTCAAGCAGGAGACCCTATACTGTTCCATTCCAAACTGGCTATCCAATCTCTTTTTAAAAGCCTCCAGTGATGGAGCATCACAACTTTGGAAGACAAGGCATTCCATTGGTAAATTGTTCTCACCATTAGGAAATTTCTCTTAGTTCTAAGTTGCTTCTTTCCTTGATTAGTTTCCATCCATTGGTCTTCTGGTGCTTTGGAAAATAAATTGACCCTCCTCTTCTTTGGGGCAGCCCTCAACTATTAGAACACTACTATCATGTCACCCCCCCTAGTCCTGTTAGCAGTTTATTTGATTAATATTTGAGGAAATATTAATTCCTTCTCAATAAATACTTAAAAATACCCTGAGGACCATAGAAGAATAGGGTGGCATTACATAGAGCTAGACAACATATCACTCCAGAATTTACTTTTTGCTCTCTGATCTAGTCCAGAATTTACTTTTGATTATAAGTGTCTTACTTAAGACACTTAGTTAATATACCTATAATGGCATATAAAGGCAGAGATCTCTGTAATGGTAGTTTAATACTCGATGATGTCAGCAGATGGGTGATGAAAGCTTAGTAAAATAAAATTTTAATTTTTTAAAAATGTTAAAATTTTAAGTTCCGGAGCTCGCAGGATGTCTGCTTCTTTCTTTACATATATATATATATATATATATATATATATATATATATATATATATATATATATATATATATATATATATATATATATATATATGTATATATAATATGTATATGTATATGTATATGTATATGTATATGTATATGTATATGTATATGTATATATGTATATATGTATATATGTATATATGTATGTATATGTATATATATATATATATATATATATGAGTGGGCATGGCCAACTTTTTTTTAAAAAAAACTTTTCAAATTTTTTCAATGCTTTGAAAAGCCTCTGCCGATCAGGCAAATCAGCTGGGATCGTCAGAGAGGCTTTTTAAAAAATGCTTTGAAAAACGTCTCTGACGATCAGGCAACTCAGCTGGGATTGTCAGAGACTTTTCAAAGCATTTTTTTTACCACCTCTTCAGCCAAGAGGTTGCAGAAAAAAATGCTTTGAAAAGCCTCTGACGATCCCAGCTGAGCCGTGCGATCATCAGAGGCTTTTTTTTTTTTACTTTTAAAAGCATTTTTTCGTCGGAAGAGGTTATAGAATCCCTGGCTATTGGCCATTTTTGTAGGAAACAATGGCAATTAGAGTCAACATTACCTTGAGAAAAATTTATCTTCTCATGTTTCACAGAGCAGATTTACCAAAATATGTCTATTAAAAAGCCTCCTACAAGAAGAATTGTGGCCATTTAGGGTGCAAAAATATAACAACTGAGAATATACTTCGAACTTGCTTTACTGATGTACATAGTATCTATATCACACCACTGTTCATAGATTCCCAAATCACCCCAGGCATTTTATACATCTCTCCTATTGTTTGACAAGTGCTCTACCATAATGGATAAAGCTGTTGGGATGCACCATGAACAGAATTTACTGTGCTATAAGATCCATCCAGTTCCACTTTCATTTTTTTCAGTGTTTATTTCATATACATTTCATTAATTAATTAATCAATTCATATCCTTACCACTGGACCAGGCATCATCATATGTGCAAGGGCCTCATCTTGTCCTGCCATCTGAGATGTAAATGGCTGTAAACATAAGAAAGTCCATTATTCGAGAAACGTATGAAAGGTATTTTTGCTGCCATCATCAGAGAATTGCAATGATGAATTCAAAAGTGATTGAATTGTGTAGTGACATTCATTTGTGGGCCTTGTCTTTAAAAACATGAGAAAAATTATGCTTCACCTTCTTTGAGGTTTATTAATGTATTTTACAAATTAATAAACACTACATGCTGTTAAAATTTTATTCTTAAAAAAAAAGTAGCTTTAGATTATGGAAGAAAAAACAGAAGTGTCCCACTGTCATGACTGAATAGGGAAATTCTTGTTCATATCTACCACTTTTCTCTCCTCATTATTTCAGTCAAGTTCAGCTGTGTTTACTATAATGTTTGAGTATTATATCACAAATTGATAAATATTTGCCAGCCCAGGGCCATACTTCTATAGGGATATTTTAGTTTCAGGGCACAGTAACAATTATGAAGAGGCAAGGGCACATTAGCCAAAATGTTTCATTGTATTGTGTTTTTGCTATTTAAGGACAGCTTTAAACCTAAAATGTAACAAAAAAAGTTTGTTACATTTCTCTGTGGTTTGGATCCTCATTCAGATTGTAAGCTATGGCATGTCCATCTAGCTATTAAATTATTTTTATCAACCCATTTCAATAGTCCTTGAAAACAAACACAAGTTTTGTTATAGTTGGATATATATTTGCTTTATGTTTTTCCTTAAGGATTGATTTCCAAAGTTCAGTAATCATTTGAATTCAGCTCTGAATTTTCCATAGTACAGACTACTTTTGTTTCCAAAGATATACCAAATTTAATAAAACAAAACGTATTAACTTTTCATACAGGTTTGAGGATGAGAAATTAGCAAAATTAAATTATCCAATGTCTGAAACAAATTACCTGTCCCATAAGGATGATTGTGTTCTCTTTCAAATAGTGATAAAAATAAGGAATGGTTTATAATTAAATCCAAAATAACCAAATTTTCTGCAAACCACAAAAGCCCAAGTTAAATATCAATATAAGCACATATTTGAAACTGTTCATGCAAACAAAATACTCTTTGTCTTGCATGACTCCTAATATTTTATGCTTCTTTTTTGTTGATCTAACTCTGGAAATGTCACAGGTAAATTGAGTATCACTGAAAGACATAATTCTTCCTAAGCATTATGAATAACAATTATAAATTTTACAATCACAAGGAAACAACCCTGCAGCTCCAAAGATTATTTTCTTCTGAAGTAATGGAGAGGACAGGAATATTTCTGCTATTCTTTTTTGCATCTAAGATCCATGGGTTCATTGAGGTTCAAATTGCCCAAAACTATACGGAAAGATTGTAATCAGTGGCAGTGGGAGCACAGAGGTAGAAATAGTTATAAAAATCCCCAGTGATAGTTGCAGCAAAATATTTGGGAACCTCCACTTTCCTTTGAAATCTCACATAGAGAAAAGAGAAAATATAAATGTCTATTGATGTGCATGGATTGTGCAAATGTGATAACCCCGTCAAGAATCATAAAGGTGCAGTATAATTAATAGTAATCTGATGGCAGACCATAGGAAATCATCACTATTTTATCACATGTCTACAGCAATGCATAGTGTGTGTGGCTTCCAAAATATTTCGATATACTCTTCAACGAATCCAAAAGTTGAGTTAACACTGTGATTTTTATTGTGACAGAAGGTGGAAAATGATACATACAGAACATTAATTATATCAGGTCTAATTTTGTTAAATATGTCACAAAATTTGGAGTACAGTTCATGAAATGTTATCCCTAAAATCTGGCAGTTCAGCAAGGGGTAGGGATGACCTGATACACTCAGCCTCCCATTAGTAGAGTATGTGAAAATGCTCCAAATTGAAAACATTTTCAGGTTGACATGCCCTATCCACAGTTGTTTTGAGTTCAAGAAAAGGTTATTTTCAGCATTCTGGAAGTTTCAAAATCAAGCAGTCCTCAACTTATGACCAGCTGCTTAGCAACTGTTCAAAGTTATGACAGACCCCAAAAAAAGGGACTTATGACCTGGATTCGAAGTTATGTCATCTACCCTACTGTTATCACATGACTGCATTTTGGGCACTCGGCAACTGGCCCACACTGATGGTCATTTTGCAGCATCCCAATCATGTTACCGCCATTCATGTTACTTTTGCCAGAAATCTGTATTTACTTTCAGTTTCTGGTAAAAAAAAAAAAAAGCACATAGCGAACAATGGGTTTGCTTAATGATCACAGTATTTGTTTAACAACTGCGGTGTTTGCTTAGTGACTACAGCATTTGCTTAACAATTGCAGCGATCATTTTACAACTGCCATGCTTAATAATCACTGCAAAAAAAAAAAGATTGCAAACTCGGCCACAGTCACCTGGTATCCCCCTTAATGACTGTCATGATTTACAACCGTAATTGCAGGCTCAATGATGGTCATTAGTCAAGGATTATCTGCAACCACTACCAGTAAGATCAAGTCATCCATTTTGAACAGGAACATTTCAGATTTGAAGCCTTTTGTACATTATGACAAACTAAACAATTACATTTTAACATGATGCGTTTGCAAACCAGTTTGTGTACTCGGTTATTATTCAGTTTATCCTTACTACAACATGCACATGTAGGAAATGGGGTTAATTACTACTGTCACTCACTCTGCCTATGCCATCTGGTCCTGTGGATGGTTGTCCAGGAGGTCCAGGGTCACCAGGTTGTCCAGGTACACCAGGTTCCCCATCTATTCCTGGAGGGCCACGGGCACCCTAAAAAGAGATTGGATATAAAGTGCATTTAAAGAAAGCACACATACTCCTTAAGTAGACAGCATATCATTTCAATCATTAGGCCCAACAACTGATGTATCCATAAACTTACTTCCACAATTACAGTGTTCCAATGGACTCTTCACTGCATTAAATTACTAATGGTCTTTACATAGGATCTAAATGAAATCTCACATGATAAACTAATACAGGGGTGTCAAACTGGTGGCCTGCGGGCCAGATGCATCAATGCAGGCCACACCCACCCCAGCTCCGTGAAGGGGAAAAATGTTGCAATACAGCATGTGATGGCAACGTGATGCCATGAGTTTGACACCCGTGAACTAACCGATCTCATGAAAAAAATATCATTCATTTGAATGGAATCGGCACCATGCTTACTGCAAAGTAATACATTTCTAAATAACAAGACCCTGAATGAATGATTTCGCTAATTTCATTCTCACATTTTCTTCTAGAAGAATTATAAATCTGGGGATTGACATTTTTTATCAGCTGTGTTTTGTCCAATGCAAATCCTTGACCTTCAATGAGAAAAAAAATTCTTGGAATGACTATATTGTATGTTGAAATCACAGTATATTAATATTTATACCAGGAAATTAATTTTGTGGATTTCAGATATTTACTTAACAAAGGCACAACTGCATATTTTGCATCTCCACAAGGTTTAAATACCAACAGGCATGCACACAGCTTTTATTTCCATTTATGCAGGCATAAATTCAGAGAAATATCTCAAAGTCTATGGATACCATTCCAGATTTATATTGGCAGAGAGTATGGAGCAAGAATGTATATTAAAAGTAGAACAGGCTGTTTAGAAGACAGCTGGAAAAATCACAAAATAATTAATGCAAATATTTCATAAATCTGGAATAAAACCTGAAGTATCTTGGTAACCTAATATATTCTGCAGCCTTCTCCATTTATGCACTGCTCTACTGCTTTGAAAATGAATGAATGAAGTTGATAGCTGAATAATGGAGGTCAAGGAAAGAACGACTTAAGTGATACTTAAGAACTTATTTTAATACTCATGCAAATAATGTGAGGGGGGAAATGATTAACCTGCCTTTTGTCAAATTATTTCGTAAAAGTTTCAGATTAAGGCAGTGTGAAAACCAATTTTTTTTACTACCGGTTCTGTGGGCCTGGCTTGGTGGGCGTGGTGTGGTGTGGCTTAGTGGGCGTGGCTTGGTGGACGTGGCAGGGGAAAGATACTACAAAATCTCCATTCCCACCCCACTCCAGGGGAAGGATACTTCAAAATCTCCATTCCCACCCCACTCTGGGGCCAGCCAGAGGTAGTATTTGCCAGTTCTCCGAACTACTCAAAATTTGCACTGCCGGTTCTCCAGAAACTGTCAGAACCTGCTGGATTTCACCCCTGGATTAAGGGATTCTGGTGGGAAATCAAGCTAGTCCTGGTGAGATCCACAGCTTTATTAGGCTTTTAACTAAGCTAGTGTGAGGGAAAACATCTGGGTTTCTTTCAGGGAAACAGGGAGTTTTAAGATTCAGAAGTTTAAAAGTCATAATACCCATTCCTGAAATTTTCTATGTTGGACCCACCACCTTGGAAGTTTGATTAGCCTAATGAAGCATATGGGATAAATGTGCCCCCCCCTCACAGCCCATGCATTATCTCTCCAATATTTTTATTCTGTTAGGGTTGAATGGGAGAGTTTGGATTATTCTGTTCAAGTAAAACCTGGTTTTAAGAGATCAGTTTTTCACTGATTTCTGATTTTTTAAAAAATCTGCATGTAATTATAAAAATCATTCATTTGTAACCTACTTAACTGATATGTATATATTGTCTCTATCACCTGCTTTGCAAGTAATATGTCAAGAGTTTTTAAACCTTCAGTATTGTGATTATTAATTTAAAATATGTAAGAATTTTTATCTTCTCATATCAAAATGTCAAATCTCTGAAGTATGGAATTTGGAGATGGGACCACTCCATTTTATACATTTACATCTTAGATACAGCTATGGTTTCAGGTTAAAGGCCTATATGTTACTTCTTTAAATATTGGTGTTACACTGCAGTTTATTGGTGGACATTATGCTAAGTGTGTAAATGAGTAAAAATAGAAATAGCTACCCACAAACATACTTAATCAAAATTCTAAGATCATCAATGCAACTGAAGTGAAAATTAACATTTTTCTGCAAAAAAAAAAAAAATTGATGGCTCAATTGTTTGAGAAACATATGAAGAGTTTGAAAATCAGTTTTCTAAAGGTAAGCCATACTGGTCTTTTATGTCAATTACTTCCACAATTGAAGGCAACTTATAAACAAGTATTTGCTGAAGAAGGCCACTAGATGGCGCTTCAACACACATACTCTTGCACTACCTCTTATTCAATACTTAAATGTATTTGAGAAATATTTCAGCAATGGTAAAATTGTCAAGTCACTGGATTATTCATTCATATAAATGTATTGAATTAAATACACACACACACACACACACACGTTTAATTCGCATTGATCTCTTAGAGGTAGTGAGAATTATTACTATATTTTTAGGCAACCAAAATGGATATATTTCCTTATATCTATCATCTCCTTAAATTTAAAGCTCTTAATGCAGCTCTATAACAGAGTTCAAAAGTTAACAACTTGGTACCTTTCAGATATTATGTATCATTGGCCAAAATTGGTTAGATTAAATTGCCTATTCCTGCTAAAAATCTAGAAAATGTAAATTGAGTTATCAGATCAAACAGCCTGCTACCTTCTACCCCAGTACAATGCTATAAATGACTGCCAGTGATACAACTGTTGTCCATTGTCATATTCCCTGCATCTTTTCAGCAGGAAGCTTCAGTAAGCTTCAGTATCCCCTATCCCAGGTTCTCCGGCAGCCGTCTGCTTTCATCCTAATGAAAAAGATGTAGTTAGGCTGATATCAGGTAGGATAGGGCTTCTATCCTACCTGATATATGTGAATTTGAATAGGCATGACTTGCCTGAAAAGCTACATTGGTTAAAATTTTCTCTTCTTTCCTAGTTAAAGTCTTTTACTTATACTCTCCCTTTTTGCAAGTATTACAAATTCCTTCCTAATCATAGGTTCACTGAAGAATTCTCTTAAATTTTGTGTTTCATATTACAACACAAGGGTTGGATCCAGGGGTGGAATCCAGGGCTACCAGTTCGCAAATGCAAGCGCATGCACTCGCTTCGCTTGCGCATGGTATCTCTGTGCATGCACAGGACCTTTTGTCCATGCACAGAGTGTCAAAAATGGGATGTAATGACATCCGGGCGGGTGGGTGGAGCCTCCCGCAGCCGCCGCTACCAGTTTGCCCAAACCGGGTAAAACCGGCTGGTTGGATCCCATCTGGGATTGTCTTTGGAGGTGGCACTGAAGATAATGTGACATTAATCTGACTACTTTCATTAGATGGAGCAATGTTATACCTCTTCTGTTCTATAGATTTTTAGTTTAACATGCAAGCATTGATAACCAAATCTTCCCCCCATAAGCCATGCTGTGACATCAGTAAAGTTGTGGTCTTTTTATTTACAGGGTGACTTACCTACATGGAGAATATATAGTGCCCTCAGTATACAAGTGACCAGGGCCGGATTTAGATGAAAAGAGGCCCTAGGCTATTCCACTTATGAGGCCCTTTCACCTATAGTGAAAGTGTAATTTTAATTTTGCTAACAATTTGAATGTAGGCCCCTCTTGATCTTGAGGCCCTAGGCTGAAGCCTAGTTAGCCTATAGGAAAATCCAGCCCTGCAAGTGACCATACACTGCAGGATTGTGTGTGTAAACCTTCACATGAGCAACTGTAAATGACAAGATCTCTATAGAACGATATACATGTGAATGACCATATCTTCACTGAAGGGAGATGCTACTTGCTACTACTCAGATAGTAATCTATGGAAATTCTCAGTCATCCAGGTCATGGTTGTCCCCAAAGTACTTTTTCAAGAGGCAACTGGACTTCCTGGTTTTTCTTTGAAGACGTTTCGCTTCTCATCCAATAAGCTTCTCACCTTCAGCTGAAGAAGCTTCTTGGATAAGAATCGAAAGTCTTCAAAGAAAAACCAGAAAGTCCAGTTGCCTCTTGAAAAAGCACCTCTGGGACACTCAGGTAGTAGGTTTTACATTTATTTGTATTATTAGAATATTACTTTATAAAGTAATAAAAGGTACTTGTATTCTTCTGTCTGCTTTCATGATATTGGTATTGACCAGTGGTGGGATTCAAAAATTTTTACTACCGGTTCTGTGGGCGTGGCTTGGTGGCCGTGGCAGGGGAAGGTTACTGCAAAATCTCCATTTCCTCCCGATCAGCTGGGACTCGGGAAGCAGAGAATAGATGGGGGCGGGGCCAGTCAGAGGTGGTATTTACCAGTTCTCCGAACTACTCAAAATTTCCACTACTGGTTCTCCAGAACTGGTCAGAACCTGCTGAATACCACCTCTGGTACCACCTTTATTGACTCTTAAAATTCTAAGTAGTTTGGAAGCTAAAAACTGAAAGGAGTGCTTCATCTCATTTCACTTGTGGCTCTTATCTCGATTCCATTAATCAGAAAGATACAAGAGGATTTTTACCCCTTTTGGTGGCCGTAACTTCAGAGCTTTCAAAGAAATATTTCACTATTGCTAGCATTGAAAGTCTTTCCATGTTCAATCAAAATGTGTCTGTATTTGTTTTTATATTTATTTGTTGGTTCTTAGCATTGAATTGCTCTGGTTTATACCTCACGTTTACTGTTATGCTTAATCACTATTGTTCTCCCTTTATCATTGAATTGGTAACTGGAATGTTTATATACTTTAGTTTGAATTGGTGATTGGAAATTTTATGTTTGGAATCCTTTTTTTTTTTTTTAATTTGATTTATATGCCGCCCTGCTCCGGAGACTCAGGGCGGCTTACAATGCACTAAGCAATAGCCTTCATTCTTTTGTATATTTATACAAAGTCAGTTTATTGCCCCCACAACTGGGTCCTCAATTTACCTACCTTAGAAAGGATGGAAGGCTGAGTCAACCTTGAGCCTTGGCGAGATTCGAACCTGCAGTAATTGCAGGCAGCTGGTCTTAATAACCAGCTTAATAACAGGGTGCCTTAGACCACTGTACTACCAAGGCTCTTTTTTAAAATCCAGAGTGGATTAAATTGCTATATATGGTATTATACATTCTAACCAGGGGGGAGGATGCTTCATTTTTTGAAAAAAAAAGAAATGCCAAGGATAAAGGGTAGATGTATTTTTCTGAGAACTAATTATCAGAGGTTGATTTTTTTTTTTAGTCATCCATGGAATGTCAGAAGTTCAGAACTGTTTAGTATATGACTCATTGTATGTGAAAGAATGCAAAGTCTGGGAGATAAAAATGAATCGCAGAGTACAAGAGAGAGATTTGGAAGGAGCTAGAAGCTGAAAGACTTCCAGGTACAACTCTTAGAGTCTGCTAAGAGCAGTGCATTTACAATTATTACAGTGCATTTACTATAATTCTGCCCACTGCCAAGAGTTCGATCCTGACCGGCTCAAGATTGACTCATTTTTGGTTGTTGGGAACAATATGCTGACATTGTAAACCACTTGGAGAGGGCTATAAAGCACTGTGGGGAGGTATATAAACCTAAGGGCTATTGCTATGAGTTTTTATGATGTTTTCCTGAAGCTAACACACATTTATATTTAGGAGACAAACATTATAGAATGCAACTGAACTTCAATCATCTTGTCTCTCAAACAGAAGCCAAACCTAGGTAGCTCTGACACAAAAACATTTCATCTCGGGCATATGGGGAAGGAAGAGCAATCTATTCCTATCAATAGAGAGCTGTGATGGCTCAGTGGTTAGAATGCCGAACTGCAGGCTATTTCTGCTGAGTGCCAGCTGCCTGCAGTTCAACAGTTCGATTCTCACCAGCTCAAAGTTGACTCAGCCTTCCATCCTTCTGAGGTGGGAAAAATGAGGATCCAGATTGTTGGGGGCAATAGGCTGGCTCTGTAAACTGCTTAGAGAGGGCTGTAAAAGCACGGTGAAGTGGTATATAAATCTATGTGCTATTGCTAAGTGCTATTAAATTGTTCTTGGAAGAATGCTTTCCAACTCACCGGTCTTCCTTTGGGTCCTCGAGCTCCTCTTGGTCCTTGTGAACCTGGAGGTCCCTAAATCAATTATTAAAATAATTACAGACATTTAATAAAATGGTGACAATATCACACATTTGAAATTAAAAAATAAATGCATACATTTTGTTGCGTACTTGATAAAGTACGATGGCCTTGGGAAAAAGTGACTCGCAACTCATGCCCAAAGTTATGACTGTTGCACCACCCTTGTCACATGATAGCAAATAGGGCAGTTGGCAACCAGCTTGATTTACAGTAACTGCAACATCTTGCAGTCAAGTGATCATGATCTGCAACCTTTCCAGCTGGCTTCCAACAAGCAAAGTCAATGGGAGACCCAGATCTGCTTAATGACTATGTGATTCACTTAATGACCAGATGATTCCCTTAATAACTGCAGTAAAAATGGACATAACATCAAATCTGGTTATGTGATAACTCATTTAATGACTGCATTGCTTAGTGAGCAAATTCACGTTCCAATTGTATTTGTAAGTGGATGACTACCTGTACATTGTCACAGTAGTTTTTAAATTGTGTGATAAGAACTACTGAGCCTCTGGGAGTTATTAAGGAACTAACAAGGAAATTGATAACAACAAACACATTAGCTAATATTTCCCTGTTATATGGAGTGAAAAAAAGAACTTCAGAATCTTACTCTCAGTCCATAAAAATGAATGGAAGGATCCCAACAAGGCAGCCCATACTATGCAAGGCAATAAGGTACCCTAGAATTTGCCATTTGGCAAAGTCATTGATAAAGAAATCCATATCTATCTTCACATAGCTGGATTTTAATGTACAGTTTCTCCCAAAGCCATATATTCAGCATTAAGTAATGGCAATGATCCTGCAGGGATTCCCCATCCTTCCACAATACTTCTTTTCCCATAGTACTAAAAAAAGTTAAGCGATCATTAAAAGTGATCACTATTTCCTAAAAATATTAAGAAACTATTCACACTTCTACAAAGAATACCAGGAATGATACTTACAGATTGTCCCGGCCGTCCTCGTATACCCGTAACCTATTTTTTTAAAAAATAAACATAAGTGTTAATAGGACATAGTAATGACTGTGGCAAGCATATCATCTTTTTCTCATTCCTAATTTCTATTAAGGAAAGAAAAGGGAAAGAGAAATGTAAAACCTCTGATACGGACAATTGCCGTATTTGTCTATTTATTTAGCTTCTATTGTTCTGTTTCATAAGCTCTTTACTCAAACATATGCAGATAATGAAGATAAACAAAGTTGTGCATCACTGTCAGTTTCACGCCTTCAAAATGCTTTCAAGGGAGGCTTCCTCTTCAGAGTTTCTGCTGTTTATGTGCTTGCTGGATTTTTGGTTTTTTTTAAAGTCCTACACTACAGCAATTTCCCAATATAGTGCTATACTTCAACTCCTATAACCCTAAAACCCCCAATGGCCAAATCACTTGGGATTCTGGGAACCAAGAAGAATTCTTTCACACTTCTGGAAAGCACCAGAACAGAAGAGGTTGGCACCAAATAAAAAGCCAAGATAAAAAAAAAATCATTTGTTTCTTTCATTACTCACTTGATTAGCAAAAAGAGGTGAATAAGCAATTGTAATAAAAATAAGGAAGGTCAAATGTTATGGATTAGCAATCCTCTTTCACTCTACACAAATCCACATGGGCTCTGGCAAATTCTCAGCCTGTTGATCCTGGCACTTCTCAATCCATCCTGAGACTCATTCTATCTCTGACCTTTAGTGTACTGTCAGTATCCTGAATTGTTTCAAGCACATTTTTTTGTAGATTACTTTGGGGGGGGAAAAGATGAAAGCCTTTTAAGGGCCAAAATATAAGCAGCAGACAATGTGCTGAAAAGACATCTGAACATGTGTCATCTGGGATACAGTTATGAAACAAATAAGAACTGTAGCTTCTTCCTATAATTTCAGCAAGGGGCAACCAATTCTGGAATATGAGGGCTCTATACAAAGGAGAGGATTTTTTAAAAAAAACAAAACAATGTGGAGTTCTTTATTTCAAATCTCTACCTTCTTTATCCACCCATCCCCCCTTCCCATCTATCTGGTACTACAGAATATGAAATTGATAACATCTCATACCAATCATTCTGTCCCATAAGGGGAGCACAAATGGTAAGAATGAGGGCAAACCCTCCTAACTATGCAGTATCAGTATTGTAAACAATACAGAAATAATTACGTAAATCTGTAATTGATTTGAAGGGAAGGAAGAGGGGGAGGATAGGATAGGATAGGATAGGATAGGATAGGATAGGATAGGATAGGGGAGAGGAGGAGAGGGGAGGGGAGGGGAGGGGAGGGGAGGGGAGAAGAGAAGAGAAGAGAAGAGAAGAGAAGAGAAGAGAAGAGAAGAGAAGAGAAGAGAAGAGAAGAGAAGAGAAGAGAAGAGAAGAGAAGAGAAGAGAAGAGAAGAATGGTGGTTAAGGTTCTGGCCTAGAAACTGGTAGACTGTGAGTTCTAGTCTTGGCTTAAGCATGAAAACAGCTGGATGACTTTGGGCCAGTCCCTTTCTCTCAGCCCAATCAAACTCACAGGGTTATTGTTGTGGGGAAAACAAGAGGAGAAAAGACTGTTTATTTTTTTAAAAAATGGCTCTATTTGGGAAAGGGGCATGCAAGAACAATGAATCAAATAGTTAAATATGTGGGAGTACATCATCATAATCCACTGTAGGATATACAGTAATCTTTGTTTTGTTCTGTTTTTTTTTTTTTCAGCAAAATGCTTACCAGAAACAAATTGTGGAGAAGCCCCATTGCATTTCCATTGAATAAAACATCGAAACCCAAACAAACTAGTGGCTGTCAATTGGACCCTGTCTCAAGAGCCTGCATTATGCGCAAATGCAATAAAAAATGATTAAACTGTTTATATGGAGGCTCAACCTTATTTGGGAATGGATAAATCATACAAAACTTGTATCCATCAAGAGACAGCACACAGCAGGAAATCTGAGATATTTGCCTTTCCTATTTCCTCTGTAGCAGACAATTATTCCATTAGATAAAGGGAGAAAAAAGAACAGCTAGTCTCACAATATCAATATAGGTATCTGTGGTACTATCAGATGTAAACTAATGTATAGAGTTCTTATCACTGCATTACAGGTATGGCTATAGAAGGGAAAAGATTAAGAGGAAGAGATCGAGCAATTGATCTTTGTCAGTCTTATTTGGAGATACCATGTTTCCTTGAAAATAAGAACCTGTCTTATATATTTTTGAACCCCGAAATAAGTGCTTGGCCTTATTTTCGGGGAGGTCTTATTATTTTGGGGCACGTGGAGCAAGACGGGTCTCCTCTTGCAATCTTACCTGATTTCCAGCTCTGTCTCCCCAACCCTATCTAGAGGAAATGGCGGGGACTGGCTGTGCTTGCGTTTAAATATTTGCGGGGAGGGTTTATTTTTCGGGAGAGCTTATTTTCAGGGAGGCTATTTTAGTGCTTGCACTCAAAAGCCCAATTGGGCTTATTATCAGGGGATGTCTTATTCTACCCAAACCAAGAAACAGGGTATTTCTTGGTTTGGGTAGAAAGACAGCTCCCATAATTGTCACATACTATTTGTGCCAAATGCTAGTAAGTAATTAGGTCCAGTTACTAAAATCTTGCTTTGATGGTTCCATCCACTTAAGAGAAAGATTCCCATAGAAGAGAAAGAATCATACTGGTGCCAGGTTTTTAATGTTTAGTATTAATAGATATATTTATTATGTTGTTTTATTATTGTTTTAATTGTTGATTGGGAACCTCCCAGAGTTCAATATAAGATGGATGGCTATATAAATATTTTAAATAAATGAATACAGTAGTCCTCAATTTACAACAATTCATTTAGTGACGGTTCAAGCTTATAAAGGCACTGAAAAGAAGTGACTGACAACCATTTTTCACACTTACAACAGTTGCAGCATCCTCATGGTCACGTGATCAAAATTCAGCCACTTGGCCATTGACTCATATTTCTGACGGTTACAGTGTCCCAGGGTCATGTAATTTTGTGACCTTCTGGCAAGCAAAGTCAATGGGGAAGCCAGATTCATTTAACAACCGTGTTACTAACTTAACAACTGCAGTGATTCACTTAACAACCCTGGCAAGAAAGGTCATAAGATGGGGCAAAACTCACTTAACAACTGTCTCGTTTAGCAACAGAACATTTGGGCTCAATTGTGGTCATAAGTCGAGGACTACTTGCAGAGGGGGGAAACAAGAGAAATTCTGCTATGTGCTACAGTTTGCATGGCATTTGGCAGGGGTGTCAAACTCGATTTCATTGAGGGCCGCATCAGGGTGGTGTTTGACCTCAGGGGTGGCAGGGCAGGGGGGGTTGCCCTCTCAAACTTCATTTTCACTGGCAAAGGCACCGTGGGCAGGTCCTTTGCTGTTTTCAGGAAGGCCCTGTGGGCCAGATCTAAACCAGGCCACGAGCCTTGAGTTGGACACCCCTGGCATATGGAAATAACCATGAGTAGAATCTGTTCCTCAAAGTTGGCAGATAAAAAAATTTATATTCGACTGTATTCTAATATCTATAGAGAGTACAGATATTTTTCCCCTAAAGAACCAAGAATTATACAGTTAAAAAAAAATATCCTAACTGCTTCCCAAACGAATAACAGTTTTTTAAGATTACATTCTATAAAATGCTTGTCAGTAAAGAGTAATATAACACACATCCGGACACAGACACACACACATACACTAACTTACCACTGGTACTACTCCAGGTTCTCCTTTTTGACCCTATAAGGTAAAAAAGACAAAATTTATCTGAGGAAAATAGTATTTTAAAAAAAGCACCGAGAAATAGTTTTTCCACTTTTTCACATTTCACAATGAAGCATAAATTGACATGATTGTGGAAAGTCTTCCCTGATTGCTACAAAAAAATTTCAGCATTAAAGGCACATGCTAGGCTCACTTAGCCGTGAGATGTAATTTCCTAATTTAAGATCCAAGATTTCAGGGCAGACAGAGCTGGCTTGTGAAATGAGATAAACGTATTCCGGTGTTCTGCTTTCTGTCTCCCCCACCTTAAAACAGAATCCAACAATCCGCTTAGAGAGAAAAGTACACACCCTAAAAAAATGTCTTTTTTCCCCCCTGTTCACAAGAATATTTATTGATATAGTTAGTACTTCCGTGACTAAGGGCCTAAATACCTGAATAAATTTTCATCAATAGCCTTTTTCCAGACACTGATTGATGACTGGGTAGAAAAGGCCTTCCCAGATATTGTTTCATTTTAGCTGAAAAGCCATTGGAAAACCTGTCGTTTTAGTCATATTGCCATGTTTAGTCACCTGGTACTTGCTTTTATACCATTCAAGCACCAGACTTATTCTTAGGCAATTTAAAAATCAGTTTTCCTTCCTCCCTCCCTTCCTTCCTTCCTTCCTTCCTTCCTTCCTTCCTTCCTTCCTTCCTTCCTTCCTTGTATAATCACTATTTTTCTATTTATTTATTTATTTATTTACTGACTGACTGACTGATGGTATTTCTTCAAAAAATAAATACATTGAATTGGCTTTTCATTCTCCAGGTAGCAGAAAGATACGTCAAGTTTCTTCCCATTCAGATCAGTTTATGATATGCTAAAGAATCATTTATGCATTCTTTATCCCATATGCCTCAAGCGGCAATAGTGCTCCACTGAAATCCACATCTGTCATTTCATTGTTTTTTGCTTACTTTCTTCCCATATCTAAGCATTCCCTGTTATTTATTTCAAGTCAGAGAGTCTGGAAACTTTAGAAACCATGGTAACAACCTTGTCTTGCTAATGTTAGTCAGTTTATGAGAGGAAGACTATTTCTGGAACCTTGAAGTTCTTGAAATATTATTGCTCTCCAACTACTTCCAATTTGAGATAGATAGATAGATAGATAGATAGATAGATAGATAGATAGATAGATAGATAGATAGATAGACAGACTAAATAACAATAATTAAGCTTACCTTTAGTCCTCTACCTAGAAAAATGGAAGCAAAATGAAATAATTAATTAACATAAATAATTTCCAAGCACTGGTGATCATGTCTGTAAAGCCATATCTTATGAGCCAAGCATATTTAACATTTGAAAGCTAGTGTCTATACTTTGTCAAGGCCATCCTACCTATTCTCTACCTGTGACCCATCTATTGAGTTTTGGACTGGCTCATGAGATTGTTCACCACAGATGACTATTTAAGCCACTGGTTATGTTGCTATGTCCTGTTCTGGAAAGGGAAGAAGCCTCCCCCACCCCCCCAAAAACACACACACCAACAGCCTGTCGAGGGCACTGCACAGGGGTGGGCTGCTGGGAGTTTGCAGGGATTCGGGAGAACTTCTAGCTAAGATTCTGTGCAGTTCAGAGAACCCTCAAATCCCACTCCTGGCTGGCCCCGCCCATCCCACCCTGCCCCTCCAAGGAGTCCCCACGCGGCCCGTATTGGATGCAGGTAAGTGCAGGGCGCACGGGGAGGCTCAGGGAGGGCAAAAAATGGGCCTACCGGAAGTTCGGGAAGGCTGGAAATGGGCCCGGCCTCCAGAGCTTGGGGAGGCCCTTTTCACTCTCCCGGAGGCTCGAGGAAAGCCTCCAAAGCCCAGGGAGGGCAAAAATGTCTCCCCCCCTCCCCCATGGTGAAGGAGGCCAACTAGGCCACGCTGACCCAGAAATCGGGCAGAGAACACTTGCTAAAATTTTTGAAGCCCACCCCTGGCATTGAGCAAATCCACCTCATCCAGGAATAATATTTTAATAATTATCTCAATTCCCCCCCACCCTTTTAACCTATTTTACCAAGTTTAAGCCATTTTGGAAGTCCACAGTGAAAGGACAAAACACAATGTCTTTGTGCTATTAAATTTGGTGTGTGTGTGTGTGTGTGTGTGTGTGTGTGTGTGTGTTGAACAAACAAAGAATCAAGGATTTTAATTTTTAAAAAGGCAACAGACCGATTTCAGAAGCATAGACTGCTGAGATTTGAACAGAAAAAATTACTCTGGACAAATAGAGAGAGGGGGGGGGTCAGTGAATGAGAAAAAAGATGTGACTAGAGAACTAACCACTGAAAAGAAACAAGACAATGGTCCATTCACTGCCAACTTCACCTTATTAATTCTCTGAACAGAGGCCCTTTAGGCAAACTCTGAATCATATGCTGGTCCAGTCCTTCTTGCTTCTCTGAAGAATGTCAACCGAGACTCCTGAGGAGGAAAGAAACATCCTCGCTCTCCTGAATCCCATCCTTATCCCAAAACCTTGGAATAGGGCAGTGGCTAAAGTCACAGAATACTTAGAGTAGCCAGATAGCCATTGGGCTAATCATACTAGAGTCACCGGTTAGCTTCCAGTCCTCCAGATCTAATACACCGTCATTAGGCATATACAGATTGTTTCAGTTTTAATTGCTGCTGGAGTGCAAGTATACAAATATGGAATATAAAACATTTGGCTTATTTTATGTTCCTAAAATCAGCTTTTTACCAGTATTAGTTAATCCTCTAGAAGAGAGATGCTAACCTCCTCTGTCTATCTATGACTGGTTGACTGCAAGGCACTGACATGATGGAAAAAACAGACATCCAAGAGCCACGGTGGCACAGTGGTTAGAGTGCTGCAGGCTACTTCTGCTGATCACCGGCTGCCAGCAGTTTGGCAGTTCAAATCTCACCAGGCTCAAAGTTGACTCAGCCATCCATCCTCCCGAAGTCGGTAAAATGAGGACCCAGATTGTTGGGGCAATAGGCTGACTCTGTAAACCACTTAGAGAGGGCTGTAACGCACTGTGAAACGGTACATAAGTCTAGGTGCTATTGCTATTCTTAGGTGGAAGTCGTTTTGGGAAGAGATTTGGCATCAGAATCATAACTCTGAATGAAACAAAGACAGGCAGGAAAAAAAATCTAAAAAGTTGAGCTGCAGTCCATTGATATCTAGAAAAGCATTTGTCGCCTATTCCTACTGAGCAACGTAACTGGGAATAAATTTAACTAATTGGGTCTTATTTCGGATGGCACAGAAGTTCACTTGGTTCAGATTTTAATGCAAACTAACTAAATCCATACTTTAAACACTTAAACTTATTTAAATACAGGTATTTATGTGATTTTTTTAAAAAAATTCAAAATGCAAGTTTAAAAAATGCATGCAGAAATGCATAAGGGTAAAGTCTGCTGAAATCTGCACACTTGGGAGAAATCATGCCAAACAGCAATGTATTAAGGAAAAACACAGACAGAAAAATAATTACTATAACATGTGCATCAAAAGCACATATGTTTTAATGCAGACTCGTTAAAATGCATTAATGCACTTGTGCTGAAATGGGATAGAAAAATGTAAGGTGGGAAAGAAAATAAACTTGAGTGTGCTGTATCTATTTACTGCGCACTGGGCTTTTAAGACTACATTTAACCTCAATATTTTGCATTTATGTCTTTATTTCACATAGTAGAAAATCTTCTAGGTAGCATGAACCATTAGGTAAAATATTTCTAATTATCTCCTGAGCACATACCTTTTCTTTTAGGGAGAATGCTAAAATCAAACCTGCATACATAGGCAGGCAGGCAAGCAGACAGACATATGTATGGGAGAACATATATATCCTCTCTTAGACATTTTTGAGATTCCAGTTCCCAGGATTGTGAGGGCTATAATCTCACCACATCTGTAGGACATCAGGTTAGGGGCAGCTGACATGAATTAATATATTTAAGAGCTCTTATGGAGTCTGCAGCTTCCAAACATATTTCTCCCTATTTGTATTACTGAATAAATATTCAGCCTTTGACCTTAAAAAACACCTAAACACTCTCCAGACACGTACCATCTGTTTTGTTGCAATATTTTCAGGATCAGACTCAATAAAGATAATAGGAGTTAAAGCTTTAAATATATTTCTTTTTAATTATGATAGGCATTCTATATTCACTGAATATTCAAGGTAGAAGCGACGAGAATGGTGAGGGTGGCTCCTTATATATACAAGGGGTGGAGCTAGGAATGGGAGTGGTAAGTTATGAATACATTAAAGTCCAAAGAATAAGTTAACCTCTGATGTTCCATATATACATTATTTACACATTGGAGAATAAGGCATTTACATCTGACATGTTTATTAAAGCAACCATATCTGGTTTTACTGCTTAACCGATGTAGAACAACCAGCACAGCATCCTTTATTCATAATCAGTATCATCACTGACAAATCATTTTCAGAAAGTATAATGCACTAGGATGTATACCAGTGGTGGGTTGCCCCCAGTTCGGACTGGTTCGCAAGAACCAGTAGTAAAACCAGCGGGAGGCCCCGCCCACCACCCCGGATGTCATCATCAGCGATCTGCGCATGCGATCCTGTTGCGAACCGGTAGTAAAGGTAAGTGGAACCCACCCGTGGTGTATACAAATGTATTCCATTGTATCTAGATATAAGCCCTTCTGGCCTGGATGGAATTTACTTCAAAGCAAATATGGATAGGAAAGGACTGTGGATTTGCATGCATGCTTTGCTGGCTTTCCAGTTTGAAAGAATGTCACGAAGTTCCTCCAACTATAAGTTCCTTTTTTTCCAATTAAGGGTCATTCCAGTTTCTGTTTCTCTGGGCAGACAAATAATGAATCATTCCTGCTGTCATTTAAAGAGATTTTGTTTTCCTTTTGCAGGGAACTATATGGTATGAATTTTGGAAGAAAGTACTCCATGTGTAATAGTACTACATTTCCTTCTTAATCATGGAAACATTTAAATAGGTTAATTTTTTTTTAAAAAAATACTAAAGCTTCTATGCCATTAAATTCCCATTGGTTCTGAACAGCTGACAAAATGCCAGAACATAGGGTTAAAAACATGTTGTGTATAAATTACCATCATCCATCTATGCACAGTGACATTGCCAACTGTGACGGTAGGCTAAACATATGCCTAAATGTATCCTGAAGAGCTGAGTCTTTATGGCCCTCTGGATGCCAGGATGGAGGAGGAAGAATGGATGATGAGGTAAAAGCCATTCCCTAAAAGGCCATCTCAGAGAAGGCTTGTCGCAGAGTCCCTGTAAACAGCATTTTAGTTCTGCTGTTTCTATTCTATTCTATTCTATTCTATTCTATTCTATTCTATTCTATTCTATTCTACTCTACTCTACTCTACTCTACTCTACTCTACTCTATCACATTTTTTTATGCCACCTTTATGACTTTATAACTCAAGGCAGAAAATATACCCAATCTTCTTCCGTTTTCCCCTCACCTCTGTGAAATAGATTGGGCTGATGTAGAATGACTGGCCCAAAGTCACTCAAGTGAGTTTTTATGCCTGCAACGGGACTAGAACTCACAGTCTCCTGGTTTCTCGGCCAGCACCTTCACCACTACCCTGGCCTGGCTCTCAGTGATTACCTCCCTCCCTCCCTCTCTCTCTCTCTCTCTCTCTCTCTCTCTCTCTCTCTCTCTCTATCTATCTATCTCTCTATCTCTCTATCTCTATCTCTCTCTCTTATTGTACTGACAGACCTGCAGATAGCAGGTACAAGTAGATTGCTCAGTTCCTTCCTTTTTGTCTCTTAAACTATTGATTATCAATAGATCATCTAGGGTGGGTTCTTCACCAGGATATTTTAGAATCTTTTGTGATTCTCCATGGATACTGAATGAAACTTGACTCTTATAGGCTGCACTACAATGTCACAGTAAGCCCAAACTATAATGACTCCTTGATTATTATGTGATGGTGTGCTTTGCTTGATCAATCCTGCTTCACTTTTTCAGCCAGCTTCACTTTTTCATCCACCAAGCTTAGTTAACATCTCTTGCATATTTACTCTAATATCTGAGCCAGAAACTCTGGCTTGTCTCCTGGCAGGTTCCATGCTATGGCCCATTTGAACTGCCAAAGCAACATGTTTGTATAATAAGCTGGTTATTGTCAAGCAGTGCTTTCTCTATGATCTGAATTCTTCTACAGAGCAGAGTTTAACAGGAATTAAGTTCCACACAATAAATATATTACTAATTTCAATTAAAAGTTTCATCCCTGAACTCCTGGACTACATTTTTGTTTTGCGTTGACCATAAATGTGGGATCCATGGCTGAAAAATCTCTTAGCTGTTTTTGTCTGGTTTCTTAATCATCAGATTCTATTTTATTATTTGAAGAGAGTGTCTATTTTTGTAGCAAGATAATGCTGCTTTTGCTATGAAAGAAAATCAGAGGAAACACAGTAATGTAATAATTTGGCAATTGTATCTGAATGGGCTTTAAAACAAAATGGACTATTATTATTCCGGGGGGGTGGGGTCTAGCCTGATGCTACCTGAAAACAGCTCCTATTATCCAAAGAATATATGATATGCCCAAGTAGCAATTTGATGCTATAACACTGGCAAATGTGACTTATACAACATTAAGGTCATAGTCTAGAACAGGTGTATTCAACCTGCTTGTGGCCCTGGACAGCTAGTAATGAGGCCCCACAAGATTTATAAAACATTTGAGAAAGTTTTGTTATTGATATACATTAATAACTCCCTTTCTACAATACTGTGATTCCTTAATTCAGGGTAGAGTCAGGGTGACTGGATAAAGCTGAGCATTTTCTGACCAGATGCCCTTCCTGACACCATGTGGAGTTCACAGCAAATATTTTTTTTCTTTGTGCCCTAGGAAAGAAACATCTGCCACTACCTAGAATTAAGCTCTCAGTCTTCCGAGTGGGAGATGTGACTCTTTACCACTAGGCTACCACGCTTCTCTTTTATTTATATACATTAATTATATTATACACTTTATATGTGGCCCAAGACAATTCCACTTCACTTGGTGTGGCCCAGGCAAGTCCAAATGTTGGACACCTGTGTAACCAAATTGTTATTTTCAACTGTTTTTAAGTCTCAGGTGGCAGCATTCAGGTCTCAAAGCTACGGGTCTTCAGGTCTCAAAGCTAAGATTAACTGGTGACATGAGTCCAAAGAGGCAGAATGTTAAGTAGAAGCTCTACTAATTATATCAGGAAAAGGTTTATTTAGACGTCCTGACAATTTTACATTTACAACTTGAAACATAATGCATGTTGCAGATCCTCCCAGCTCTTTAGCACTATATCTAACTACAGAGTTCTGCTTCCAATTAATTTCAAATAAATTCAGCATGAATTAGTCATGCATTCATTGGATATTTTGTTTAGGAATGTCTTAGCAGACCCATTCATTGATCTTGATCTCTATGTGCATGGTAGAAGAATATGAATTCATAGATCTAAAGGCCTGACTCACTATATATCTTAAGAACATATTTAAAGTTGGTATTACAGGGATATATCAAACTTAGACTGAAGAATTAGAATCTCTGAAAATGCTCCATCAATGGCAGCAAGCTTTTAAAAATATTAACACCCACCCAATGTCAAATTTGATACTAAAATTGATTAATCAAAACTGTATTTTAAGTTGACAACTTCCCCACCTCACCCCTGCACCCCGCCCCCCAAAAAAATTACTGTATTCAAAAGGATGAGTATTAGATTTTCCCTACTATATTTTCCCTGGAAATGTAAAAGTTCATTGGCCCATCCGATTTGATCTTCTGAATTAATGCTAATCGTCTAGAATAATATTTCCACGTTTGTAAGTAGATTCATGGGGAAATCTCTAAATGTTAAAGATGTTAATGTGCTTTAGAATCATATTCCAAAACTCTGGAATCTTACTGTCTATGAAGAATTCTGGTTATTCTGGGCACGGTGGATGGAAATATATATATATATTTTGAGACAGTGGAAAAGTGATATTATTCAAGACAATAAAAATTGGCTTTGAGAAATGTGTAACTTGTCCATCTTAAAAAAGGCAGCATTTTTAACTAATCAATGATTGAAGCAATACATTCCTCTTTAGTATAGATTTTGTGATATAATTTTAGTAATATGTGAAAATAGTTTTGTAAACTAGTGACATGTATTTGTTTTACATATTAAATGTTTAGTATTAAAATTTGATAAGTTCTGTTAGGGTCTTTAAATGTTAGCGAAATCTTTTCATCTATATTTTGGTTTCAATTTGTTTAATTTTTTTTCTTTATTGTTGTTTTGTATGGTTCTTTTTTATTCTGATATTTTGTTTAGTTTGTGCAATCTTAACAAAAGGTATTTTTAAAGAAAAAAGAAAATAATTGAGTCCTTCTATATCTATTTTAAAAAGCATTCTATTGAATTTATCAATCCATTCTGTGTTCCTGAAATTGTCAACATCTCTTCAAGGACCTGGGAATGGGGATGAAACAGGCACAATACGAGGGATTGTCACTGAACTGTTGCTTTCTCTACAATCACCAATGCCATTTTCATACATAACACATATTAACAGAATAACAGAGCTGGAAGGGACATTTGAGGCAGTGGTGAAATCCAAATTTTTTTACTATTGGTTTTGTAGGCGTGGCTTGGTGGCTTGGTGGGTATGGTGTGGTTTAGTAGGCATGGCTTGATGGGCGTGGCAGGGGAAAGATACTTCAAAATCTCCATTCCCTCCCCACTCCTGGGGGAAGGATATTGCAAAATCTCCATTCCCACCACACTCTGGGGCCAGCCAGAGGTGGTATTTGCCGGTTCTCCGAACTCAAAATTTCCGCTATCGGTTCTCGGAACTGCTAAATATTTCCGCTACCAGTTCTCCAGAACCTGTCAGAACCTGCTGGATTTCACCCCTGCTTTGAGGTCTTCTAGTCCTAGCCCCTGCTCAGACAAGAAACACTATACCAGGGGTGTCAAACTTGATTTCATTGAGAGCTGCATCAGGCTTGTGTCTGTCCTTAGAGGGCCAGGTGGGCATGGCCAGGGTGGGCGTGACCAGCTCAACATCACTCGTGTTGGGGGTTCCTGTGGGGGCCCAAGCTCTCTGCCAGCTTAAACGGCACTGCACTGCAGGATGGTCCTCCACTGTTTCCAGAGCAGCCCCACGGGCCATATCTAAGCATTCCGTGGGCTGGATCCAGCCCCCGGGCCTTGAGTTTGACACCCCTGAACTATACCATTTCAGACAATTGGGTATCCAGTCTCTTCTTAAAAACCTCCATACAAGTTGTGGGAAGCACCCACAATTTCTGAAGGCAAGCTGTTCCACTGATAATTATTCTCACTGTCAGGAAATTTCTCCTTAGTTCTAGGTTGCTTCTCTCCTTGATTAGTTTCCACCCATTGCTTCTTGTCCTGCCTATATTGTCCCATAGATATGCTTGAAGAATTCAGTCTACTTCTATATGCATATCCATTCCTCTCAAATTTTGTTGTCAGTGAAAACTTAGTCATTGCTGGGCATTTTAAGTATCTTGCATGTTCTGGAACAGTTTTCAGTTGAAAAATGTACTAAAATTATTGAGCATTGGAAAGTTTCATTCAATCTATATTTTGAACCAAGCTAATCTGATTTTGGTACCCCTGATTATTGTCTTCTAAGCTGTGCTCTTCTCATAATCAAGTCTTTGGTTTTAAAAGAAGTGTTTGTGTGTTTGGATGAGGTATACATGAAATGCTCGTCAGGGGAAGGAAATGTGAGAAAAAACTGTGTATTTTAGGAGAAAAGGTATACAAATTAAACTTGCATGTGTTAAAGATAACCAAACCAAAATGAATTAGCAACTTTATACATGTAATACTTGCACACTAGAAAGATAAACCCATCCATTTTTAAACAAAAAGTGTTGGGGGGGGGGAGAAAATGCTTTAAATAAGTAAAAAATAGAATAAGATCACTTTCTAAATTTACAATAAACATTTCATAGTGTTTTGTACATTTTGATATATAACCTTTTGGTTTTTTAGCTTCTTGGGTTTTGTTTTTTTTCATAATCAGTGATCACAGTATGCTGTAATATACACATGATCTTCTCTTGTGTCATACTTTACTTAGACATTATTGTTGTGACCCCGACTCCCGAGCCTGTCCTAGCAGAGGAAGAGGACTCAGAAGGTGATGGGGAGGAATTGACAAGGCCTCTGTCTCCAGGACCCTCCTTTCTGGCAATGCCTCAGGTTCCATCCGAAGGCCAGGAGGAACAGCCTGGGATGTGCCAGGAGGAAGGCATATTGGAGCGCCAATTGATAGGGAGCGAGGATGATGAATCCTGGCTTAATCCTAGGCAGCGTCAGAGGGAGAAGCGCGCGCAGCAATGGAAGAGGCGTGGGAGGGGCAGAGATTGAGCTGAGTCACGGAGCCATGCCCCACCAGGAATAAAAGTGGGTGGGATTGCTCAAAGTTAAACCCTGAAAGTCATATTATGATCTCTGAAATTTGGCTTGGATATATTTTGGACTGAACATTGACTAAACTCTTGTCTCGTGGATAATTTGTTGCTCCTGGAATGGACTGAAGATAAGTCCTCTTCTGCTTTATGGGAGTGAAAACGGTCTTGGCAGGCATTCGACAGTTTGCTGCCAAAACCTTGATCTGCCAAGAATTCTAATCTGTTTACCTAATAAAATATTGGCAGGCGTGCTTGGTATTACGTTTGCCTGTGTGAGGAAGGGGGACAGAACAATTACTATCAAATGGTCACTGACTGTACAGATTTTAAAAAAACAAACTGATCTATTAAAAGTTATTTTTTTTAAAAAAAAACTTTACCGATAGAACCTTCAAATCCATTTCGGGCTGTGTTTGGGCATGTAGGACAACACTCTCCAGGGGGAACTTGTGGGTTTTCACATTCTAGTGGTTCGAGACACTGGATAGCATCGCACAGAATGGCTCCATTGTCGCACACACAAATCTGGCATTCTGTAGGTTTCCAGATGTCCCTGTTCAGGTACACCTGGTTATTCTGAGTGCAGGCGATTTCTTCTTCTTCTTCGAAGTCTAGAAAAGAGAAAGGACAGAGAACAACATTAGTATCATTGGATTTCTGCTGTGAAGAAAAAATGCTTCCAACACAAGAACAGGGAAATATTCCTGACTCAGAAGACTTATTGAAGGTGTCTTGAGCATAGCTATGCAAAGCATTTCACTGGGCAGATGTGCAGTCTAGAACCAGGAGAGGCGCATACCAATGTGGTTATGACACTGGCATAGATAGCAGGACCAAATCAGCCTGGGAGCTTTGAAAGCTACACATTTATCCATTTCATACTAAAAAAAAAAAAGGAAAAATGAGACGTACTAAGCAAGTCTTCCCAAAACAACATCAGACTCTGGTCATCTATGCAAAATTGCAGTAACATTTGGCCACAAAAACATTTTCTAATATAGTGAAATCTTTTAAGAGAAAATCCCACTAAACTGAATTAAAAGGACAGATGGGCTGTCATTTATATTCTTGACTTTCAGAAGGGGAACCTTGGCTACAAGTTCAACTATTCCAGCAAGAATCAGCTTTGTTTGTTTAAATATGTTGGTGATAGTCAAGCAAATATAGCAGTGGAATGAACATTATCCATGCCCCATGGCACCATAATTCAACAGCATTGGAACAAAGGCTGAATTCTTGAGCTAAAGCTCAGGGACAGGGTTCAAACAACCCCTTTAACCCATATTTTTGACTGAGCCAGTTCGGTTTAATGTATTAGGACATAAGAACACAAGAATAGCTCTGCTCATTTTGGCCAAAGCCTCTCATACTCCCACATTTTATTTCTCATGTTGGCCAACTCAATGTCTTGAGATGCTCACAAGCAGAAAGGAGACTCAGAATCCTCTTTCACCCCTGCAACTGATACTGTATTAACAGGGCTGCTGCTGCCCCAAATTTTGATAGACCTGCCCTCCATAAGTTTATCTCAATCTCTTTTGAAATCATCTAAGTTCACTGCCATAGCCGTGTATTGTGGTGATGGATTTTACCAGTTAATTGGCCATAAATCAAGCCAGTGAAATTTGCAAACCATAGCTGGACTTGCAGTGTGAATCTAGGCAATGCCTCATTTAGTCAACAAATTATGTTCAACCCACAACAATTAGTGCAACTTCTGAATCCAGCTCCAAACTACTTTGTACTCCTTTGAAAGCACTACCCATGCCTAAACCTAACATTTTATTATATTTATTTGATTTACCCATGCATGCAATTATAATTTTTTAAAAAAAATTAGAACTAGATGATGATGAAGAGGAGAAAAAGTAAAAAGGAGCATCAGAAGAATAAACATCAAGATTTTCAGAGTTCTCATAGCATCTTAAAATAGTACGAAATTTGAAAGCTACTTAACACTGTAGCTCCCTTTACTTTCTGAACTAAAAGTTGCATAGTCAGTAATTCCTCTTCTGATTTATCCACTCAATACCTTCATGCTATAGGAAAGATAGTACGTAGCCCAAAGATACTCAGAGAGCTTTCAAGCTAAAGGAGGATTTCTCTCCCCAGTCCTAACCCTGTTCATTAATAATTCACATCCCAACATGGCCTAGTTAGCCTCATATCTGAGTGTACTTAGCGAGATAAATTTGATATGGGGAGTTTATCTGGTTTTCTGGTTTTAATAGGTTCAGTTTTAATATTTATGCCCAACTTCAATCTTTTTTATTGCAGATAAAAGTTGTTATATTTTTGGGTTGTGAGTTGCCTGGATTGTGGGATGGGAAGCTGTAAAAATATTTCAAATAAAATGAATATATAAATAAAATATCTTTGACAGCAAGCAATAAGTAATGAGCCTTTATTATTTTTATAAATCACTGAAGGTGAAAAACATACCTAGTACTCTTTCCTTCTCCTATTTTCTCCACAACAATCATCCTATGAGGTAAATTGAGCTGCAAATGATTGACTCAAGGTCACTCAGCCAGCTTTCATGCCTAAGGCAGAACTAGAACTCAGATCTCCTGATTTCAGATCTAGTACCTTAATCACGACACTAAATTGGCTCTATTCTACGAAGGAATTTAACATTTCCAAGGTATCGAAACAACAAATGAACAGCCAATTCTCTCATATAAGCTCAACCAATCTCTAATAATTAGTTAATTTCTGTATTCCAAATATAAATCGAATGAAATATATGAGGGAAGCCAGGAGAAAAATCTTTATTTCTGAAAAAATAATAAAATGAAAAATAGTGGCAGCAAAGAAGAAAAAAAATTAGCAAAGCTGGTCTCCATCATTCAAAAATGTATTAAAATATTATATACAAAGGGAAAAACAACACATGCATTCAATCAATGAAAAAGGCTGAATACCAATTAGTGTGACTTTATTGTTTTCCCGTAAGGAGATACAAGTACAACAGGAAAAGTATTCCTGCTTCTTTTTTTTTTTTTTTTTGCTGATTTCCTAGGATAGAGAATCCTTTCATTATTTACAGGGGGGAAGTACTAATAAACAACCACGAGAGGGCAGAAGAAGCCAACTAAAACTATGCGAAATTCTGTTTGCACCAAAAACAAAAAACAGGCCAGAAGCTAACTTGACTTACTTGGAGTCATCTTGGACTCTGACTTTCAGCCAAAGGAAGTTTTCTCTGCAAATGTAATAACCACATTGCAGAGATGCTGAGGAAAATAAGTAGCCTGCCTGCACTCTTTAATGAGAGATATAAACAGAATTGCATGTTTGTAGAGCAGTGAATGAAACTGACATTTGGAAGTTCATATTCCAGTTTCTTAGAGCAACCCATTGGCTTTTTAGTAATACGATTCAATCACAGCTTGGCAAAGCAGGTACCAAAATTGACAAGATAATTGAGGGATGGAAGAGAACTAGTGTAAAAAAAAGTAGGTAGCCCATAGTATCAAACTGCCCGTTTCTTCAAAATGAAGCGAAAACAATTGTACTGCATAAGCTTTCAGCCTGAAGACACTGATGTGCCAAATACATCCAAGTATAAAAGGACCGACTCAGTTGGCGGCATAACGTCCCTTCGCCACTGGCCTGGCAGGCCTTCCCAAATCTACTCTTTAGGACTGAACGATCCTAGAGAACAGGACTGGGAACCAAACAAGAGTGCAGGGCTGAAGAATATCCACTTATATCACTTTGCTGCTGTACATTTGAATCCAGTCTAGAGAGGAGTTGGCAGTTGTTAAGATTATTAAAGAAACAAAGTACCTGCGAAGTGTAAAATCTGGCCCTGCGTTTGGGCCTCAAGCATCTAGTAGATCTGTGTACAATTTAAAAATGTAGAATTGTGGAGATCTATTTTGTTTTATTAGAAGCTGAAATCCATCAGTGTTTTTTTATGTATTTATTATTACATTTGTTTGCTGTCCATCTCACATCGATATGACTCTGAGGCAGCTTACAATGTTAAACCAATTAGCGCCAGAAGCAAAGCTTGGATCAGTCAGGTAAATATATACTACCAGTTTTTGACCACGTATTTGTGATCGGCATCAGAATGAAGTCCCTTTCACTGAAAAGGGTATCTTCTTTTAGAATTCCCCTTCACCTCCAATGTTTTCATTTTAGAGTCGCTACTGTTGTCACACAGCTGACAATTAGAAATCCTTGTCATGTTTCTGGAAATGACTCAGTTTTCAGAGGCCTCCTAACTTAGAACAACAGCTATATTACTGCCAATAGTTGGAGATAAACTATTTTAGTCTTGAGATAAAATCCTATTCCAAAAATCTTCTGCCATCTATCAAGCATGCTAGTGTCTCTTCAGATTTCTAAGAAACAGTGCAGCTTTGTATAAGCCCACAATTTAGGAGCAAAGACTGCCTAATTTAAGAAATCAAACAAGATGTGCTTTTAGATACTCTCATTAGAAACTATAACATTTTCCCTATTAACAGCAGACAGGGACACTATTTTCAACCATACATAGAAATACAAAGCTGTTCCCAGCAACATCTAAACATACACACACCAAAAGGCAGATGTTAGACATACAGAAAAGGAGTTCTTACTGACAAAATTAACACACATATACCCATCACAGATAATAACTGCACTGGGACAATGGGCGACATTATAATCATAGGCAGGAAAATAAAGATTAAATTCCTTGTGGTTTTGTTTCCATTAACAATTACCCCTCCTCTTCATTATACCTAGATTGGGGTTTTTTATATGTATGTATGTTGTAATTCTAAAAAATGGCACTGATCCTTAATAGTATATTTAGTGTCAGCCCCACTAAGTAGACCGTATCAGGAAAGCAACTCCACAGGAAGATTAAAACTACTTTTGTTGACATTGGCTTTAACAGCACATTCATGCAAGTCTAGTTATGCTGCATCCTTTACCTCTTCTTACACTTCATTGAATTCAGGAAGTGCCTGTCTGAGTGGAATGTTATCTTCTTGCTTCGGAATCTAAAATGTTGCAGATCCTTTTGCCTAGTTAATGGTTTATGCATATTCCTGATGAGAAACGTAGAATCTTTATATTCTACATTTAATTTCACATCTCCCTTGCTTTAAGAGGTGGAGGGTGGACACATGGAACATTCTGGGATTATACATTGAAAGAATGAAATCCCAAAATACTACTTTTCTTGCATCAAATGGTATCTCAGTAAAATTGATTTTGGAAAGCTAGTTTAAGGCTAAGGATTGGAATGACCTTTCACGTTCCTGCCGCTGGAGGATAAAATATCTCAGCAAATGAGAATAATGATATAAAGATATATATCAGGTTGATAATATGAGAAATTAGATAATTAGTAAAATATGACTATGGGGAAGAAGCACAAGGGATTTGTAACCAATCGACACACTGCTTGAAATTGTAATGGATGAAGGATGTTTTATGTTTTGTTTGTTTAAAAATAAAAAAAATTGGGGAAAAAAAGATGTTTTGCTGTGAAATCCAAATTTCACAGGTGGGTGGGGGGGAAGAATGCTGATTATAAGGGAAAAACTTAGTTTATTAAATGAAGTTGTAAGGCAATTAACATCTTGAACTAGGCTGCTTTGAGGAT